TAGGAGAGTGTATGGTTCATGTAAGTTATAATGGTCAAAGTGTTAAACTTCCTCTTCTTGTGGTTGAAGGAAATGGACCGCCATTACTAGGTAGGAACTGGTTAAGTGATCTTAAGTTAAATTGGGAGAGTATTTGTTCATTGAAGAATGTAAAAGAATCTAGTCTTACTTCACTAGATAAAGTAATATCTGAAAATAAATGTGTTTTTGGTAATCATGGATTACTAAATGATAGAACAGTGAAGTTAAGCATTAAAGATACAAATCCAAGATACTGCAAAGCTAGAGTTCCACCTTATGCAATGAGGAATAAAATTGAAAATGAGCTAAGTAGATTGGAATCTAATGGCATCATAAAGAAGGTAGACTATTCCGATTGGGCGACACCCATTGTGCCAGTGTTAAAGAAGGATGGTTCTATAAGAATTTGTGGAGATTATAAAACTACACTGAATAAGCAAATAGAGCTAAATAGGTACCCTATACCTAACATTGAGGAAATTTCTTTGAATTTGGCAGGAGGAGACAAATTCACTGAATTAGACTTTAGTCATGCTTACACTCAACTAGAACTGCATCCAGATTCAAAAGTCTATACGACAATAAACACACATAAAGGACTCTACCAATATGAAAGACTATGTTTTGGGCATATCATCTAGCCCTGGAATTTTCCAAGCGGTCATGGACAGTATTTTTAAGGATATTCCAAATGTTTGTGTGTACTTTGACAATGTGTACATAACTGGTAAGAATGACACTGAACATCTTAAAACACTAGATAAAGTCTTGAAAATTGTTGGTGAAAAAGGTTTAAAGATAAACAAAGATAAATGTCAATTCATGCTGACAGAAATTAGTTTTCTTGGTTATATATTAAGCAAACAAGGCATCAGACCTCAACCTGAGAAAACAAAAGCCATTAAAGAAGCACCCAAACCTGAAAATACCCAACAACTAAGAGCTTTTTTGGGCTTGATAAATTACTATGCAAAGTTCATAGGAAATCTGTCTGGTAAACTATCACCACTGTACAAGCTGCTACAGAAAAATGCAACTTGGCACTGGGGTAAACAACAAGAAGCTGCTTTTAATACAGCAAAAGAGGCTTTGTCTGCTGACACCTTACTAACTCACTATGACCCAGGGAAAAGACTTATATTAACATGTGATGCTTCACCAGATGGTGTAGGAGCAGTCTTGTCCCACATGGATGAGAAGGGTGACAGACCCATTGCTTTTGCCAGTAGATCTTTGAACCAGGCTGAGAAAAATTATTCTCAGTTAGATAGGGAAGGCTTAGGCATCATTTTTGGTGTTAAGAAATTTCATAAGTTTCTGTTTGGTAGGAAGTTCACCATCTTTACAGATCATAAACCATTGCTAGGTTTATTTGGAGAAAACAAAACCCTACCTGAGCATGCCTCACCAAGAATTCAAAGATGGGCTATCACACTAACTGCATACAAGTATGAATTGAAATACAAACCTGGATCTGAGAATAGTGCAGATAGTCTTAGTAGATTACCTTTAAAAAACCAAAGCCTGAACTATGTACCAGAAGATGTATTTGTTCTCTTCACTATCATGGATAACTCCAATATAAATGTGAATGATATTAAGAGAGGAACACAAAAAGATGAGTGCTTAATAAAAGTATATGAGTACTGTAAGAATGGTTGGCCTGAAGAGTCAGTGAATGAGGACTTAAAGCCATATAAAATAAGAAAAACAGAGTTAAGTCTAGAAGATGGATGTATACTATGGGGGTCAAGAGTAATTATCCCCAAAATGTTACAAAAAGAAGTTTTAAGAACTTTACATGATACTCATCTTGGTTCTTCCAAAATGAAGAGTCTAGCAAGATCATGGTTCTGGTGGCCACATATGGATGCTGATATTGAAAAATATGTAAAACTTTGTTCAAGCTGTGCACAACATTCAAATCAACCAGCTACAGCACCTTTGCAAAACTGGGACTGGCCAATTGAACCATGGAAACGTATACATATAGATTTCGCAGGACCTTTCATGAACAAAATGTTCTTAATTGTTATTGATTCACATTCTAAATGGTTAGAAGTTAAAATCATGAACACAATCACTGCAAATGATACCATTATAGAACTTAAGGAAATATTTTCAACTCATGGATTACCAGATCAAATTGTTTCAGATAATGGGCCTAGTTTCACAGCTCATGAGTTTAAACTGTTTTGTGTGGCAAATGGTATTGAGCATATAACCACATCCCCCTATCATCCTGCTGGGAATGGTTTAGCTGAAAGAGCGGTAGGCATATTCAAAACCGCTATGGTAAAAATGAATACCGGTAACAAGTTTTCTCTTAGAGAAAGAGTAAACAGGTTCTTAACCAAATACCGCACAACTCCTCATATAACAACAGGTGTTGCACCATGTGAATTGCTATGTGGTAGGAAAATTAAAACTCATCTTGACCTACTACATCCAACTGTTCAAAGGTCTGTTTCCCAACATCAACATACACAAAAAGTAAATCATGACAAATCATCCATTGAAAGAGAATTTGCAGTTAATGATAATGTGTATCTAAGAAATTATGGGAGAAAGGAAAAATGGATTCCAGGTCAAATTGTTCAATGTACAGGACCTGTGTCTTATAAAGTAAAAACAAATGATGGACTTATTGTCCGTAGACATGCAGACCAGTTAAAAATAACTTGTGCAGATAATAAGGGTGAATCTGTCAATCCCACCAAGTCTGATCAGTTCACACCAACTCAGTTTGTTCCACAACCAAGTTCTGTTGATATGAGTGAACCAAGTTGTCTGGAGTCAGAAAATGTAAATTCTGGAGTTAATGATTTAAATCCTAGACCTCCTGAGATAGAGAATCCAGATGGTCAGAATCTTGAGTCACCAAATCAGAAGCCACTGAGAAGGTCAAGCAGGACAATCAAGGTCCCAAATAAGTTAGACCTATGATTCTAAAGGTCAAAAGGACTTTGACATTATTGTTTTGTATTTTGATTATGTTGTAGCATATTGTGCATTGTTTGTAAGGATGTAATCTACCATAGTGTTCATGTTACAATATAATTGGTGATTTTAGGATACTATCAATTGTTCTATTGAGAGATGTGTTATTGTGTTCTAAGGGTAAAGGGATGTAATAGATTGAAATAATTGTGAGGTCAAGGGAACTCACTCTTCTGTATTAGTTATATTTATAATATTGTTATCTTGAGTGATGTCCCTTATATACTTCCTTCCGCCCTCTCGGTGTGTTTCCATCGTGATGTAGTTAGACCCATTAAATGTGTTATAAACAACAACAGGCTTCTGTCGTCAATCTATTATAATAGCGAAGAAAAGTGCCAGAATATGTCAATGTGGCAAGCCAACCAGTTCTATTTATATTTATATGTTGTTCGCTTTTTACTTTCTCGTGTGTACGAAGTATAGAGAAAGTTTAGTAATCGTGCAACAACAAAAAATCGAGAATTTCGCAAAACTCGCCGTTTTACTCCTCCCTGAGTCGGAAAAAACATTTTTTGCAACCATGTCTGTGTGTGTATGTGTGTCTGTCTGAAAACACGATAATTTGAGTACCGCTATAGCTAGGTTGATGAAATTTCAATATAAGTATTATATTAAATTTGTAGATACGTATCAACTTTTGAGCGATTTCCGATAACCGGAAGTGGAACTTTTTCTACTTTCAATTTTTTAAAAGCCTGTAACTTCAGTACTATTTTAGATAGATAAATGAAATTTCACATGTAAATAAAAGATCTAATTCTCTGCCTTCTATCAAATTTTGAGTAATTTCCGAAGTAAGAATTTGGGCTATTTCCTTTTTCTCAAAAATCGCATGTGAATTTATAAAGTACTAATAATAATCCGCATTATTATACACATTTTATTTGGCGTTCACTTGGTGTGTAATTCTTTTTTTCTACGAGATTCTATTCTATTTTAAAAAGTTTAAGTAATTAAAAATGGATTTAAAATATTGTCTATATCCCGATTTGCCATCCCCCGTAGTGTTATATAAAAATATCCGAAAAGTTTAGGGGAGATCACTCCCGGTTTATTATTATTTGTAAATATCCAATGTGGGTTCACCCCAAATCACTTCAGTGGACGGTGTATTTGATGACAACCCCCCCCCCCCCCTTCCTTTAGTTGAGTGGCATCCATCTACATTAATCTACCTAGAAAAAGCATTGAGGGCCTAATTCTAACAGTTAATCATACAAGTGGAAAAATCATTGCCTTTGTAGTAAATTAAAAATTTTAATAAATTAAAATTAAATTTGATGTCACCCCCCTCCCCCCTCTTGTCGGGATTTGTCAACTTTGCTCTTAAAAGTCTATTTAACTAAATAATCACATATTTAACTGGAACGTTCATTGTTTTTCTATATATATATTTTGCTATTTATGCCTAGGTGTCACCTGGTGCAGTCCGCACCCCCCCCCCCCCCTCTTCGCTACACCTCTGGATCTAGCTACTGTCACCTGTTTGATTCTACTGAAAACATCTGTAAGATTTCACAATTGTTTGCACTGATCAATCCTTTCAATTTACTCATGTCTTATAGTAACGTTTCAATTGGTGGAGTTCAGTCTTAAAAATTATGTAACTTTGCCCCCCCCCCCCCCGTGACTTCATTTATGGTAAACTCCCTTGGTGTGTTAAAAGGATTACCGAGTGCGAAAGTAGCAGTGTGTTGGCCAAGGTGGGTGAGTGTGATGGAAACTGTGTAGAAAACAAGTAGCAAATTTCACCAGACCATCTGATAACCAGAAGGTACTGTTTTCATCTATAAGAATTGTTCACTAACCCTCAGCAAGCACGGTTAAAAAAAATTAAGAAAAAAACCTGAAGCTTGAAGTCAAGAACAAGAACAGCAAGGCCTGGAAACAGCATGGCAGTGTAAGGACCTTGGATATCTCTTCATGAGACAGGAGACACAGAGTAATGATTATGTTTTATAGTTAAATAACAAGAGTAGTAGTTGTATTACATTTATTTTTTTTACACTTAATACAGTCACTTAGCATATCAACTGAATGTATTTTGTTCAAATAAACAACATATAATTAGTAACATAATTTGAGTACTTTAAATCAGCTGCTTAATTAACAACTTATTACCATGAAAATGTTTTACATATTAGGGTCAAATAGGAGGCTGAAATTGGAGTCAATGGCCTCAATGGCGCATAACCAGTTGACACGTAACGCTTAATTGTGTTGGAGGCGTGGTCGAGTCGGCAAAAAGTTCACGGTTGATAAATTCTAACAAAGTCTCAAGTTCAAACCCACTGGCAGATAAATCTCGATCCCCTTCAACACTAATAATTAGGAACGAAGAAGAAGAAGAAGAAGGGTCAAATCACTAATGTCTAGTTCATGATATAAAATAATCTTCAAAAGTTTAAGTTCACATGTGGAATATAGAATAACCTTTTCATTTCATTAGACTTCCCACAATAGCAAAAAGTTTATACATCGTATTTTAGTTTAAAATGCTTTACCAGAAAAAACATTTTTCAAAAGTAGATATCAATTTCTGAGGTAAAAATTGACATAAATTTACATGCTATCAATTAACAAACAGTTCGGCACATATTTCAAAGTATTTCTTAATCATTTAAAGCGAAGAGTATTTATTCTAAAAAGCTGAAATTCTTTTTTTGTTGTTGATTTCCTGAATTAAATACTCTGTTTTATTAAATTCTCAAACAAGCCTAAGGTAATATATGTACACTACACATTCAATTTCCCTAAAAACTTTTACTCTTCTTTTAAATGCACCAGAACTTTTCCTTTGGGTACAGTGTCACCAGGCTTGTGAAAGACTTTCTCCACAACTCCATCTTTTGCTGCTCGTATCACATACTGCAGACAAATAGAATGTATTGACCAGTTGATTGTTGTTGTATTACACTAAAATTTATTGGTAGTAATAATAATATGCACATTTTAAGTAACAAAACCTTTAAAGGTAGTTTTATGTTATTAAAAAAAAACTTAGAAAAAAGAATTGTGTATATTACTTAGCAAGTACCAATTTAAACCTTACCTCCATCTTCATAGCAATCATCACGACCAGAGGATCCCCTTTTTGTACTTTAGCTCCTGGCTCTACTGCCACCTTTTCTATAACACCTGGCATTGGAGCAACGGGATCAAAAATACTGCCAGCACCTGTAGCAGACTTGACATACTTGGGTGTTGGCTGAGTCAAACTGTGGATACCATCCTGATGGGAAAACAACATACATTTGTACACACACAATTAGAAATTAGTATCAAACTTGTATAACTCATGATTAAAAGAATTAGTGCATCTCTGCACACTATAATATTTGGACTGCTATAAAAAAATATAAATCTATTATTGTCCATTACTTTTCGTAATAAAGATTTAACATGATAAAAAACCTCCTTGAAGGTAAAAACCAACAAACTGATAAAGTAGGTACTAACCACTGTAAATAGGTGTACAGAACTGCCCATTAGGACAACAGAAGATGAAGATATTACATTGTCTACACAACATCTGACAGTCAGTTTGTCATCACTGTCATTGCTCAGACTGATGTCAGTGACTAGCATAGGTTCTCCATTGTCTACTGACACATGCCAGCTATCTTTAGATTTTTTCTCTAGCTTTATCTTATGCTCTGAAAAGTGATTCACTAATAATTATAATATCTACTATCTTTATAAAGTTCACTTATCAAGTTATCAGTGTCCCAACCTTTTCACATTTATTATTACATCTTTTAAAATTGCAAATATTGTTTTCGCTCATATAACAAATAATATCTGTTGCTATTTTTTTAACAAATACTTTATTTACTTATTAGCCATTAGTGATTTATTTTATTTATCTTTTGCATTTTACAACAATTTAAATGATACATAAAGATCTTTCATGGTAAAACATATCATAAAAAACATCAGCTATCTAGCCATCTCACCAGTTTCTCCATCAAGCAAGTTGATTGTGTATGATGGTGAAGAATTGATTCGTATTCCGATATTCTGTGCAAACGGGGAAAATTTATCTAAAAATGACATTAAAATATTAAAATGAATAACAATATTAATGCATATTACATTTAAGATTTTCACACAGTGCATGTGACTGTTATTTTAAAACTAGTTTTGTAAGATCCTGATAATGTATGTAACCAAGATTCTGATAATTTATACTTTAAAGATCTTGAACATTATTATAGCAATAATACTGATAATTTATTTATCAAAGATCCTGATAATTTATTTATCAAAGATCCCAATAATTTATTTATCAATGATCCTGATAATTTGTTTATCAAAGATCCCAATAATTTATCAAAGATCCTGATAATTTGTGTATCAAAGATCCTGATAATTTGTGTATCAAAGATCCTGATAATTTATTTATCAAAGATCCTGATAATTTGTGTATCAAAGATCCTGATAATTTGTGTATCAAAGATCCTGATAATTTGTGTATCAAAGAATTCACTTTGACCTTTGGAGGCTGCAGCACCTTGAACAACACTAGCCCTGTGTCTGGCTGCCATAGCAAGAGAAGCATGGGCCAAGGAGGACCTCTTCAAACTGTGAGGAGGAAAGAGCTGCTTCTGGTGCTGTGGAATAAAGTCTGTGTTCACATCCCCAGCCTTGAAGGATGGGTGAGACGCCAGAGCCATAAGAAAACGGATATTGGTATTCAGTCCAACAATCTGGGGACGAAAAAAACAGATTATTCTGAAGTTTGACAAAACAAAATTTTTAATTACCAGAGAAAACTAATTTAAAATAGTTTTACTAAAACTGAGTTAAATAACTTGTTATAAATATTACTAAAAACAACTCAACATGATAATCCTGTAAGGCAGAGACTGTGCGCTTGAGAGCAGTATGGCGGTCATCAGACCAGACAACTAATTTAGCAATCATTGGGTCGTAGTGTACTGATACTTCATCTCCTGTTCAGAGAAAATCATTCGTTTCATCCGATGTCAAGTCATTACTTTAATACAATTGAATGAATTAGGTAAAAGTATCATACCTTGTCTTACACCTGTTTCAATCCTCAGGTCTTTACCAGGTGTAGGTGTAGTCAGGTGTAACAATGGCCCGGCACCTGGCATAAACCCATTGTCAGGGTCCTCTGCATAAATTCTAGCTTCAAAAGCATGACCACGAATTTTTATCTCTTCTTGTTTCATGGGTATCTTCTCTCCTGAAGCCACCTGATAATTTGAGTCGATTAATACAAAAATTACAGTTCCAACAGATGTATTTATTTGTAACTACTTATCTGAAGATCAACTATAATATCAAATAGCTTAATTATTTTAAAATAACTACTTAAATCTGTATTATGTAAACAGAAGGAAACAAACAGTAAAAAGCTATGAAGGAACCGTAACCAATGATCAACTGCAGCTGACATAAGGAACATGGGATGATGAACTTACTTGACCAATGATCAAATGCAGCTGACATAAGGAACATGGGATGATGAACTTACTTGACCAATGATCAAATGCAGCTGACATAAGGAACATGGGATGATCAACTTACTTGACTAATGATCAAATGCAGCTGACATAAGAAACACGGGATGATGAACTTACTTGACCAATGATCAAATGCAGCTGACATAAGGAACATGGGATGATCAACTTACTCGACTAATGATCAAATGCAGCTGACATAAGAAACACGGGATGATGAACTTACTCGCAGCTGCCACTCCACCAAATCAGTGCCAGTTATCATCTCTGTTATTGGATGCTCCACCTGTAGTCTGGTATTCATCTCCATGAAATAAAACTTCAGGTTCTTGTCCATGATAAACTCCACAGTTCCTTTCATTGAATATTACACATCATGGAAAATTGTTGCTAACAATAAAAAAAACTACTCCATTCTTAGGATAAAATCAGCACAAAAAGAAAAACTTATAAAAGTTAATAGATTTTAATGAAGTACAGAATAATAGAGTTAGACATAGAACATAAATGTAACTTATTTATTTCTTGTAATGAAAATGTAGACTTATTTAATGTATTTATTAACTATAACTACAATGGGAGAGGGGGTGGTGGGTGTAAAACCAATGGTACAAGATAGAATGTAGAGTGTACCTGCCCCAACATAACTGACTGCTTTAGCTGCTCTTACTGCTGCCTCACCAATTTGTTTCCTCACTTCTTCTGTTAGTCCTGGCTGAAATAGATTCATTCCTTAGGTATACAACAGAGGATAATATGACATAGAAGATTTCTACATAACTAAACTGATATTCAACATTTCTTTGACATAAAAAATTCATGGATGTGAAATACAGACTTACAGCTGGAGCTTCTTCAATAATTTTTTGATGCCTTCTTTGTACACTGCAGTCTCTTTCAAACAAGTACACATAGTTGCCATGGTGATCACCAAAAACTTGCACTTCCACATGTCTAAAAATAAATGTATCTGTTAACATTCTTGCCATTAAAATCATGAGCTGTAATTTGGTACATAGCATAAAAACTACCTTGGATTCTCCACAAATTTTTCAAGCAACATAATTTCATCTCCAAAAGATTTCATGGCTTCTGTTTTGGCTGATTGCAATTGACTTTCAAATTCTGATTCATTCATTGCTATTCTCATACCCTAAAAAACATAAATGTTGAAGAAGTTGAAATATTTGACTAAACCAGCAAAGTAAATATGAAATAGATTAAAACTGCTCATCTATTTCTAATGTTTTACAATTTAAATTTATTAAACAAGCCCTTTCTACTATTGACCAAAATGAATATAAAGTAACAATCTTACCTTACCACCTCCTCCTCTAACTGCCTTAATCATCACAGGATATCCTATTTTAGCAGCTTCTGATTTGAGTTTATCAAGAGTTTGGTCTTCTCCATGGTAACCTTGTATAATGGGCACACCAGCAGCTGACATAATGTGTTTTGATGTGCTGTCAATACAACAAATATTTTTGTAACTAGCAGTTTACATAATGTCTTAAGATGTACTACCAATCCAACAGATATTTTTTAAAGTATTAAATCATTAAATTGTTTAAAAATAAACTGCATGTCTAAGAATGATCTACAATAAAGAAAAAATCTCAGATAAATAATAAACTGAAAAATTCTACCTTTTAATCCCCATATCACGAATAGCTGTAGCTGGTGGTCCAATAAAGATAATATTTTCTTTCTCACAAGCACCAGCAAATTCTACATTTTCTGACAAGAAACCATAACCAGGATGAATGGCCTGCAATGTTTAATAATTCAATGTGTTGTAAAAACAAATTCCTAAATAACTCAGCATTATTTTAAATGTCAATCATCAAACATATAGTGTTTTAAGAAACTGATGACAAGTACTCATCATTTATAGTATTGGATTAAGCTGACCACTACAATCCTCAACTATGAAGTTTTGTTTGAGAAAACCATTTCTCCACACAACTAAATACCACAACAAAAACTACAATCAGTTAAAAAATAATTTTAAAATACCTGGGCTCCTGATAGTTTAGCAACATTGAGAATTTTGTCTTGCCTTAAGTAGCTTTCAGATGCTGCAGGTGGACCTATGTGATAAGCCTCATCAGCCTTAAATATTTGATATCAATTTTAATTTTCCTTGTAATTAGGAACTCTGAAACTGAACTAAAAAATCTGGCTTTAAGAAATTATTTTTATAATAAACATCCAAAATTTACCATTGCAACATGCATTGAATGCCTGTCTGCCTCACTATACACTGCCACACTACGAATACCCAGTCTTTTGGCAGTTTTCATCACACGACATGCTATTTCTCCACGGTTGGCTATGAGAACCTTGTCTATTGTTTTTAGTGCAACTGTTAATATTTAAAACATTTTAAAGCAACTTATAAAAACTTGAACAAGAAGAATGTAATGCAGTCCTTCAATTAATTTAAAATGCAATGGAAATAAATTATAAAACAAAAACAGACAAATACTAAATTATTAATTTTACACCAAAACAAATCTTAACTTAAAGTTATGCAATAAGGTTTATTGTTCTATGAAAAGAGAACAGCATAAGTATTTAAGTAATTATCTGCAAAAGTAAAAGCAATATTTTATATTGAAAACACACCTGACTGTGAAGTCCATTTTTGGAAGTAGAGTATGTGAGTTCTGCAAAACAAATATTTTCAATCAAATGAAATTTCAATTGTGAAATTGTTCTGACAACATACATAATACATAGTGACACATAGTACATATTATGGTAAAACTCCATTTTAGCGTACTTTATTCGCCGCTTCACGTTAACCTCTGGTTGAGCGTATTTTATTATAAACACAACTGAAACACACAAAAACATTAGGAAAACACTAGGATTAGAGCTGGATCTTATTTTTTTTTATATGAATGTGAGTTTTAATTAGAAAAGGTAAAAAAAAAAAACATAAAAAAGCATTAGGACTGTTCCAATTAAATAGGGTGTGATCGTCAGCGGGAGAAAAATCTCCATACGGTTTAGGGTTCACGGTGAGTTCACAGTGACTTTAATTATTAGCATACGTCATAAGTCATAGCTTGGGCAATAGCCTAGCTATTTGAAATGGGGTTGGCCTCAGTTTTGGGGTCATCGTTAGTTCATAAAAGTTTATTTATAGCATTCAATATTCCAAATTAGATCTAGGATTTTTCTCAAGTTTTGACAAAAGTAAATTATCAAAACTAATCTAAATCAAAACAAGAAATGAGCCCAATGTTTTCCTAACGTTTCTGTTATTATAATAAAATAAATATTAAAATAAACTCAACTGGAGGTAAACGAGAAGCTGAGAATAAAATACGCTAAAATGGACAAACGGAGTTTTACCCATACTACATACATAGATTAGTACTATTAGTACATAGGCCTATGTCGGCCTTTTGTCCGGATCCCCATAATTAATAATTAATTAATTAGGCCTATGCCTTCTATTTAATTCTATTAGTTCTATTCTATTCCTATGCCTATCACTTAAATCACTATCCATTTTGTTACTATTTTAGTAGTTTAGGTCAGTTTAGGTGCGTTAAATCGGGCGAGGCTAGTATTTAATGTGCGAAAAAGCTGCCTCATTGTTAAGTCTTAACTACTAGCTAACCGCTATTAATAAATGTTATTCATTTGTCGATACCTCTTTAAATCCCTCAGCAAAGCTGGGAGATGTTTGGTTCTTAGAGAGGACATCGTCAAAAGTTGTACTAAACCTAGATTCTAGATGTCAAGATCTAGCGACAAATGAACTTTCAACAATTTTAGAGTTATCTACCTTGAAGTTATGCCTATTTATTATCGCCACTAAAGTTTTTAAATCATCAAGTTACAGATCTAGATCTAACTCTAATCTAATAGCTTAAGAAAATTGATATTAATTTTATTTTAAGTAAATAATAAATATAGGCCCTAGATCTAGATCAACATTATTTAATAAGCTTATTATTATTATTTAGCCTATGCCTAAAACTTAATAAATTGTAAATGTTTTTATTTTTCTGTTTCAAATTTTTACTTTTTAGTGGTTTTTCGTAAAAAAAAAGTCATAAAAAAAATTCATAAAAAACGTTTTAATAACAAGCTTTTATGTACTGATGCACTAAAAAGTAGAAAATAAATTATACACTACTATTTAAATTACTATAAAGAAAAGCGTGGGTCACTTTAGTACTTTAGTACCTATTGGATACCTTTACTAATATTTGAGAAGAGACCCATGCTTTTCTTTATAGTAATTTAAATAGTAGTGTATAATTTATTTTCTACTTTTTAGTGCATCATTACATAAAAGCTTGTTATTAAAACGTTTGTTTTTATGAAATTTTTTTTCAGTACTTTACATGTTTTATTTACAATAGTGTTACATGACTAAAAACCATTGCGCGTCTATTGAACGTCATGGCGCAGCTATTAAACCTGATGGCGCAGCTATTGAAAGTGATGACGCGTGTGGTGTGGTTGGATTGACATGCCTACTAATTCGGTCCAAATTTTAATTAATTCATAAAAAATTAATTAGGCATCCAATTAAGTCAAATTTAGTTTCAGATTGCATTGTCTTCATGTCTTGACCCACGTGCCAACTGTGAATCGTATCGGTCAAGTAGAATTTTCACTCCTACGTTTCGATCTAGACTGACGACAGACTGTCGACTGACGACAGACAGAGGAAGTGAGTTAAATAAAAGCTTGTAAAAACGTTTTAATAACAAGCTTTTATGTAATGATGCACTAAAAAATAGAAAAATAAATGATTTTCTTTACATATATAGTAAAAATATGGTCCATAAATGACGTCACACTCGTAGGGGGAGTGGGGTCCGTAATTTTGTGACAGTGTGTGATGAGGGGGAGGGAGAGTTCAGATGGTGTGATGTCACACTTTTGCATTAGGGGTCGTCCATAAATGACACACTCGTAGGGGGGAGGGGGTCCGTAATTTTGTGACGGTGTGTGATATGGGGAGGTGGGGTTAGATGGTGTGACTTCACACTTTTGAATTATAAAAATATTTAAAAAGCAATGTTAGAAAACGAGTTTTAGCCGTTAACATTAAAGCCAGACCCCCCCCCCCCCCTAAAATGACGTCACACCTCAGCCTACAACCCCCCTCAAAATAACAGTTGAATTTTTCTTAAAAGATCGATACTTTTCCAAAATCTTGTCTGAACTCTGTCAAAATAGAGTATTTTAATCAATTCCTATTGCAATTTATCAACATAGTTTTCTAAAACGAGAAATAACGTCTAAAATTCGTTTTCTAACATTGCTTTTTTATAATGCAAAAGTGTGACGTCGCACCATCTGAACCCCCCTCGTCACACACCATCACAAAATTACGGACCCCCTCCCCCTGTGAGTGTGACGTCATTTATGGACGACACCCTAGGGACCCCCCCTAGCTAACAGTCTGGTGAGCTAAGGTTCACCCCGAATGTTTACAATTTTAGAGCCGGGTCGAATTTGTAACGGCTATTAGGGGCAGATAATTTAGCTTTTAAACTTTTGAAATCAAGGAGAGGTTAAAAAAAAGTTCTGCTTGCATTGTCGTCCGTAAACTGTCGTCACGGACGGCTACTTTCACTGTTGAGGATGGAAGGGAGGGTAGTGTCGAATTCTTGAACTATGAAGTACTGAAAGGTAGAAAATAAAACAACTAAATAGCAATAGCGGCGTATGATACGCCGCGGGTCAGCTCGTTATTCTATTAACACAAAAAAAAAAGATATTGGGGGTGGTAGTCAATGATGTTATATAACCTATTATTTTATTTATTATTCAAATTTCAATTAATTGTTACGACCTAATTAGTTATTAACCATTTAAGTGCCATTTGAGTGGTCATAAAAAATTTCTATACATTTTTCGTTTTTATCGGGGAAAGGGAAGCTTTGACCTTGCACAACTATATTTTAATATTAGGATGAATTGTTTTTATTTAAAAATTAAATTAATTTACCAACAATAATAAACAACAAACTTTCAAAAAAAAATTTGGTGCAGTCACCCAAGAAATAGAATTCTGATATTGTTAATAAAAGTAGAACTGAGTATCTTAAAAACTTTAAGTCTAGATAGGGTGTAAATATTTATTATGACAAGCAACTTTTACATCAGGTTTTAATAGATAGATGTACGATAAATAATGTAACGTTACTATAACTTTTGCTATGAGTGGTGTTTGTTTTCAATTCATTTTATTTCATCGAATTTTAATACAACAAAAACAAAAAAAAAGCCAAGAAACACTAATTAACTAATCAACATTTTTATTTTCAACATATTTAAAGAAGTATTTACATTGTAAATTACAGAATTAAGGTTATAATTATATCACTCCATGTCCTCTTGACTTTTTAAAGAATCAAGGGCAGTTGGTCTTACAGCTTTTTCTTTGGATCCAAAATTTTCAAGGCTGTCACAAGCATCCATGATCACTTTGAGAACACTGGCTCTCTGCTCTGTGATGAATATTCAATTGAAACTATTAATATTATTATTTTAAAGATATTCTTTTATTAGGAATACCAAAGGTTTTTTTTTTCTTAACTTACTAAATATTTTTATAATTTAATATGAACACAGTAAAAAATCAAGTTTTTTCTTTTTTTAGTACTAGTATTTTGCTAAAGATTATAATGTAACTTTAAAGAAACACTATTATATAAGAAAAATCAACACACTAACGGATCTAGATGGACTAAATTACTAATCTATTGGTCAATATTTACTATATTTTTAATTATTAGACAATAGGGTGTTGCAGTAATATTTTGCTATATAACATGCAATTTAAAAAAAAATTATATATATATATGTATATATATATATATATATATATATATATATATATATATATATATATATATATATATATTTTAAGTACCTAACACAGGATAGATTACGGAGGTAGAGTAACAGTAGGGTTCACTAGTGTATTGTAGACTACCAAGGATGTTAGTGTAGTTATTGAAGTAGAGAGTGACTAACATTCTGAGTGTAATATATATATAATTCTCTTCTAGGAGACGTTAGAAAACACCAAGCTGTAAGAGCGCCTAGCAGTCCCCTCTCTTCCTTTCTAGGCATATCGCAACCACCCCCACTCCTCATGGTCTGGTGAGCTGTGGTTCACGCTAAATGTTTACAATCGTAGAGCCCGGTTTACTGACGCCTATTAGGGGCAGATAACTTAGTTTGAAACTATTTTAAACTTAGGGGAGGTAACTATGAATTACTGAAAAGTAGAAAATAAAACTAAATAGCGGTGTGTGATATGCCACGGGTCGGCTCGTATATATATAATTCTCTTCATGGGGACCTTACGAGACACCACGCAGCTTAGCCACCACCCTCATCCCCACCTATCAGGTGAGCTGTGGTTCACCCCAAATAAGTGACGTCTATCAAGATCTAAATTCTGATTCTAATACTTGAGTTTGTTTTGAAGCCAAAAGCAAAAGTAGCTTTCCTAACTTTAAAAAAAAGATTTAATAAAAATATTCAGATTTGAATTTAAAAAAAAGAAAAAAACCGACAGGACTCAGTTTGGACTCAACTGCAACACCCTATTGTGAGTTGGGAATGAAAATTGGCTAAAAATATGATTGAACCCAATTAACTTATTATAAAATTTTAGTTTTCAAGTTTAATCTTTTAAAGTTTGTATGTAGTTTTTTTTTTGCTGTGTCTACAGGAACAATATTGTGAATTATTGTAAATTATGATTTTATTAAACTAATTTTTACACTAACAGTTTGTATAGCAACTTACCATCAGTTTTGCAATTCCTATATGCTTGGGCCATGTTTTTATGATGGTATTTTATTAAAAACTTTTGACAAGCCCTTACGGACCCTAAAACAAAACAAAAAAAGTTTTAAAATTTACTAAGAGAATATGTAAAACATGTATAAAGCACATAGTACTAACAACCCTTTAAAACTAATATAAAAACAAAGTTTAAAATTTTTTCTTTCTTTAGATATAATAGTAAAAGCATTGGTTGCTAAAATGTGTTTATGAGCGACACACGCTTTCACTATTGAATCTAAAGACAGATTGTTGCTTAATGAATGTTATTTTTATTTTGATCTCAATATAAACGGCAAGTGCACCAAAATCTGAAATGCTATCTGACTATTATGGGCCAGCACTTTGTTATAATGGACCTCTTTAGCCAAGATAAAATGTTGCTGCATCAGAAGAATTATGATGCCATCCTTTAGTTTGGTATTGTATGATCAAGCACCTTTCACAAAATGGGGGTGAGTTGATCATCAATTGTGATGCTTCTTCTAAAAACAAAGTATTGGGTGATAAGTTTGTTTTATACTTGACTTGCCTCAGTGACAGTCTGTGATTTTGTTTTCTTGCCATCCCACCAATCTTGAGTGGTTTATTACATAAATTCATTCCGTTGAACAGTTAGCGAGTTAGTCCTCAGCTGTGATATTACGACACTATCCTTAAATGACCCAACAAGTTCACTTTTTTAAAAAAAGCCCAAAGCTATTAGGATTTTCCCCATGACTTGCCAGTTAGTTTAGCAGTCATAAGTGAATCAATTTAAATCAGCTTACCTCCCACGTGAAGAGTTTTGAAAACAACTTTATCAGGTCCAATGTTACGAATCATTGGTAGAGTAGACTTCACCATGTCAAAATGTTTCCTTTCTCCTCTTATAATAGCTATTTTAGTGTCGATGTTTATATATTTGACTGGGGAAAAAAGTCATATATAAATTAAAATAAGTGCATGTACTAGTTCTTCAATATATAATCAAACTTTATCTACATTTTGTTAATTGTTCTTTCAATGAAAGAAATTTTCTATCGAATTGTTTTAGGCCTACCAGCTAGAGAAAACTGTAGAGCTCCTACTCCATAGTCTCCATAATTCTCTAGTATACATCTATTGACTTCTTGGTAGAGCTTGGAGCCAAAGTTAACTGCTCCTGATGGTTGATCAGGAAATATTAGTTCACACAATGCGTACCTACGATAAAAAATTTTAAAAATTAATTTACGTATGCCCGAAACAAAAAAAAACTAGGCGTAACAAGGTTGCTTTGTCTCGTTATGATTGATTGGCCAGTTTTACACATTTGCAACCAACATATGATGGTATGGATAAAAATGCAAAATAATTAACCTGAAAAACATGAATCCGGATTGAGGACTAGAGTAGTCCGTAGGACCACCAGCTCCAACTCGAAATCATGGTGTGTTTTTTTTTAAATATTAATATTCATAGGCTTAGTTAGGGATAGGCCTGTCCTAATTGCAAAGTGCCAGTGGCTCTAACTCTAGCCTAAGCCTATAGTGAACTTCTCTGACCGAGCGAATGTTGAGCCCTTATGTAAAAATGTGCTTTATTTTTTCTTCTTCTGTTAAACGTAATTTGTTTTTAAAGGCCTAGCAGTCCAAAAAAAAAAATGTATAAAACAGCTCATTATACACTACAGCCCCTTTCTTGAACATTTATATTTTGCATGCGTGGTAGTACGCTATAATAGAAGCAATATATAATACAAACACACGATGACCCCAAAAACATTTTTTTTTCATTTCGCTGAGTTGGGGGGGGGGGCACACCGATGACAAATCACGACAATATCAGAAAGCAATGGTATTACTCAGTAGCGTAGCGAGGGGGGGGGGGGGGAAACATATGTCCCCGGGCGCCGACCTTGGGGGGGGGGGGGGGGGGGGAAACATATGTCCCCGGGCGCCGACCTTGGGGGGGGGGGGGGGGCGCCAAATTGAAAGTTTGAGGGGGGTGCAAATGAAAAGTTCAAGGGGGGGGTGCAAATCGAAAATTTGCTCCCAAGGGGGCGCCAAATTGACAGTATGTCCCCGGGCGCCGGGAAGGGTCGCTACGCCTCTGGTATTACGATGACGTATTTTAAACCAATGAGAACTCACAGTGACCTTAGCTAGACCGTGTCTAGAAAACGTGATTGGGGGGTCATAAGAGCAACGGCGTTTAAAATATCTAAATCTAGAAAAGACATAGAATCTATTAAAAAAATAATTTAAAAAAACAACTATTCAAAATCAAAGTCATTGTGAGTTCACACAACCGGTAACTTTATACATTTGGAAGGAACGACGTTCTCCACACAATTAAATACGAGCAAATCCACAAGAAAATCAACTAAACATAGATCCAGAAAGCATAGCCTAATTTACTAATTGTAATACAGGTTATTATATTATTATATAGGCCTAGTGATATAATAATAATAATATAAATAAAGTGTAACTAAAGTATATACGAAACTTAATGCCGGGTCTGAATAGCGGCTGGGGCTATTTGGACCCAGGTAAGAATAGCCACTTCCTTACAAAACAGTTGAAAACACTTAAAACAGGCTAACCCCAATGAGTTATTGAATTATAATGCTGATCAGCTACCGCTAATGCAGAACAACGAAGGGGGAGGAACAAGGGGGTGGCTAATGCACTGGGTTAGGGCTATGGCCTTAAATCATTTTAAACTATTACTATAGGGATAGGCTAATAATACTAATGTCAATGTATATTAGTATATTAGAACTATTATAATTAGTTAGGCCTAGATCTAGATAGGTGTGTTTCTGTTGTTTTTATAATAAAATTAAAAATACGCTCAACTGGAGGTGAACGTGAAGCGGGGGAATAAAATACGCTAAAAAGGAGTTTTACCCTGAACTGTTCGCATCCGCATAGCCAAAAAAAAGTACAGACGACTTATTCTTCAATTTTAAATTAACTGAAAGCAAGAAAGTATTATAAGAAAAAAAATGTTTACACAATCTATTTTTTTTTAAAAATGTAATCACCTGTTTTTAAATCGCACCATTTTGTTTTCTCCCTTTAGAGGTGAAAATAAAAACCGAAATATAACTTAACATTTGCCACTTCGTCCTAATATCCAAAGCGACGGCTCAAAAAGGGGAGAAAATGCACATTTGATTTAGGAAATATGACTTGTCAAGTTATTAAATTAAAACACACACACACACACACACACACACACATATATATATATATATATATATATATATATATATATATATATATATATATATATATATATATATATATATATATCCTATATATATATATATATATATATATATATATATATATATATATATATATATATATATATATATAGACCTAAATATAGATAAAAAGAGAGTTTTCTCTATAAAATTAGCATCATATTGGCCTAGGTGTTGTTGTTTTTTTACTGTGTTATTTATCTTAAAAAAAAAAAATCCTTCCCATCCACCCTTCAGAGTCACTAGTATTGACTGTAGAAGAGTGCTAATCTGTACCTAGCCGTTAGCTGTGCAATAAATAAAAAGCACTGATTTCATTGTGGTGTCATCCCCATTTCTGTTTGGTGAATGATGTATTTTATTGCAACCAGTTAAGAAAATTGTTCAACTGAACAATTTTGGTTCTGTCGACGTGAATAGTCAACAAATCATGCGCTCTTACTATTAATATCTATTATGAAACTAACTGGATGTAGCTATGGACCATCTTGTTGTCGATCTCCTACCATAAATGACACTATAGTACAAGGGAAGGGATTAGACTTGTGCGACGACCGGGGGGGGGGGGTCTTTGATGACTTTTGTGACGATAGGTAGAGGAGCGGGTAAGTAGTATAAAAGGTGCACCGTCAAAACGACCCGGGACAAATCGGCCCCGTCAAAAGGACCCCGACTTATTGGTTCCCGTCAGATGACTCGCGAAATATAGGCTCCCGACATATTGGCTCTGGACAAATGGGCTCTCAACATAGTTGCTACCGACAAAAGCGCTCCCGACATATTGGCTCCCGACAAATAGGCTCAGGACATATTGGCATCCAACAAAGCGGCTCCCGACATATTGGCTCTCGACTCAAGGGCTCCCGACAAATGCGCTCCGGACAAATGGACTCCCGACATATTGGCTACCGACAAAAGGGCTCCCGACATATTGGCTACCGACAAATGGGTTCCCGACATATTGGCCTCCGACAAATGGGTTCCCGACATATTAACTTCCGACAAAATGACTCCCGACATATTGACTCCAGACAAATGAATCGTAATTACCACTAGTGGTATAAAAGTAACTATTTTGTCCTACCCCCACTACCACTATAACCTCTTTTATATGCCTGAATGAAAGGAGCCTATTTGTCGTGAGCCTATATGACGGGGTCCATATGTCGCTGGCCCTTTTGACGGGGTCGATTTGACGGGTCCGTATTGTCATTGACCGTTTTGACGGCGCACGAGTATAAAAAGATTTTGTGCAAGTGCCTAGCAAAAATAACTTAGTTTCCGTTACTTAGCCAGTTTGTATCTGTGTTTGTTTACATCTTAATCTTTGTTTATCTAATATTTTGTCGTTTAACTTGTAATGTTAATTTACTTTAACTATAGTATCTAGATCTGCATACATCTACGTTTTATTATTTTAAGCATACAAATCAGTGGTAATCTATCTTTTTAGGACTTAGGTGCGTAAAATCGGCCGCGGCTACTGGCTAGTGGCTACTGAAGTGACAGTGAGTTGAGTGAGTAATGAAAAAAAGTAAAAAAGGGTAATCTATCGTTTTAGGTAGGTACGTAAAATCGCCCGCGACTAATAATGTGAAAAACAGGTGACTCCTTAAATTTTAATAATTATTTCACATTTTGAGGAGGATTTATGTTTTGAAAAATACAAAACTGTTTGCCCTATTTCATTTATTTTATCATTTATGTAATATCATGTAGATTATGTAGTAATATGTAGGGCATTACTGTAGGGGCCTACCTGTTTTTAAACAATTGAATTAAAACTTTTCAGTAGGAATAAATGAAGACTAGCGATGTTTCCAACAGATGCAACATTGCTCATTTACTATAGCAGCCATCTTGTTGAAGTTTATTTTAATATAAACTTATAGCGTGAGATTCAGGGGAAGCCACTCTAACTTACAGATGGTTTTTATTTAGCAAATCCTGCTCGCAAACACTGCTGTTTAAATTTAATTTCTTGCCTATAGGCTATTGATATATTTACTTAGCCATTGATTTAGGTTTATTATTCATTTATCTATAATCTATAATATTTGACACAAATATATCACAATATACTTCTATTAAAGCCTTGACAATGAGGTAACTTTTTCGTACATTACTAGCCGCGGGCGATTTTACGTACCTAAAATGATAGATTACCAAAAAAAGTTGCTATTACATATTGTTATTACTTATTATTATATATATTAAAGTATTATTAGGCCTAATGCTATCGACACTAGACTATATCAGTTTTTAGGTACGTAAAATGGGCAGAGACTAGTAATGTGAAAAAAAAGGTGACTCATTAAATTTTAGTCATTATTTCACATTTTTAGGAGGATTTATGTTTTGAAAATTACACAAATGTTTCAAAGTTTCATTAATCTACCTGTTTTTAAACAAAATTGTATTAAAAGTTTTCAGTAAAAAAATAAAGACTAGCGATGTTTTCATCAGATGCATCCAAGCTCATTTTTTTAAGCAGCCATCTTATTTAAGTGTAAAATTATAGTTGGAGATTCAAGGGAAACCACTCTAACTTACAGAAGGCTGCTGTTTATATAGCAAATCCTGCTTGCAAACACAGTTAGTGTTTAAGGGTTTATTTCTGGCCTATATGATATATTAAGCCGTTGATTTTGGTTATTATTCAGTTATCTATAAGATTTGACAAAAATATATCACAATATTATCAGAAGTATATAGACTATATTGAATATATATACTTCTGATAAAGCCTTTAACAATGAGGCAACTTTTTTGCACATTATTAGCCTCGAACAATTTTATGCACATAAAACGATAGATTACCAAAAAGTTGCCTCATTGACTCATCATTATTGTTAAGGCTTTTAAATTTTAATTTAAATTAGGGCCTATTTTAAACAATTGTATTAAAACTTTTCAGTAAAAAATAAAGACTAGAAATGTTTTCAGCAGATGCAAGTTAGTGTAGTTAGGGCCTAATTGTAATCACTAATTACTACTTAGAACATGTCATTAGCTTTAGATTAGTTTAGACTAGACAATTAATTAGTAAATAAGAAGCTAGAATGTAGCCTATTTTGTAGATCTAGTTAGTAGTTTAAACTGTTCATTGTCACATGTATGATACTTTTTGATATTCTATGTAGTATGTAGTTTTAGGGCATAGGTGGCTTATATTTTTTAACTTTAAGTAAATTAAGTTAAAAGTAACAGATTTGTGTTGTATTTTGTAAGTTTAGGCAAGGCCTATTTGAAAAATTGTAATATGACAATCATATCATACTTAAACAAAAAAAATTACAAAGTGGTGTTGGTATATTGCGAGGTGGTTAAATTGTGAGAAGGGTGCGAAAACCAATGGTCACGTGATATTTTTGTCTCGTATCTTATCTCCCACCCGATACTTATGCTGGGTGAGGGTAAAATGCAAGGGTGTCAGCAAAAATTATTTCACATCTGATTTACAATGAACTTTGATGTTATAACTGATGTTATAACTTTTAATAGCAGATTTTTCAGTCGCTAGACATGCTTATGTTTTATCAACTTCTTTATTTTGTGCGGCCTGATATATCGCCTTTGAAAATCAATGTTTAGAATTTTAAGTATAGATGTGTAGGCCTATATGAAAAGAATAAATTGTGATATTTTAAATCATTATCATTGCAAGGCACACATACACTCTACTTGCATTGAACTAATTTAATTAGTTGTGAGTAGAGCTACATTTTGATTGAAATGTTATATTCGTGTAGACATCCACATTGAACTTGGGTGGTGGGAGTAATGATGGTGTTCATCAAATTTGTGTTCCATAAATTGATGACTCCTAAACAATTGCTGTTTAATGATTATTTTTCAGTATCATTTTGTAAATGTATCACATTACAATTTCAAAATCCAAATATGAAGTGGCTTAAATTGCACCCTTATCCTGACCTAGTCCCAGTAGTGACAGCAGACAGACTGTCAGAAAACAACACCCAAGTGATACTGAATGGGTCTGGCATGTTTTCTTAAGAACTAATTGATTTCATTTACTCTCTCAAACATCAACAGGAGCAAGTTATTTTCAAACTCCATCTGCAGAACAGAATTCATGGCTCTACAATTGAAAACTATGAACTTACCCTCTTTAAAGTTTTTTTAACTGAACAGTAATAAGAAAGACACCATTCATAATGTTCAGTAAAAGTTCATCTGGAAAAGAAAAGTTTCTGGAGCAAAAAAAAGCTGACAGAGAAGGAAGAGCACAGGATAGGTCACGTGAAAATGCTGCTGTTAGAATCCAGGTAAAGACCAATCATTGCTTTATTTAAACTTTATTTTTTTCTTTCTTTGATCTTTTATGTTTCTCTGTTAAAGTTGTCTAAAGTTGTCTAAAGTTGTACCATTATTTCAGTATCTTTTTTTTTTGTCACAGTCTGAAGTTTTATAAATTTTGAATTTTTTTTTTCCAAAATCTGCAGTCCTCTATGCGAGGATTTCTGACAAGGAGAAAACTCAAGAAATCCATCCAGTATGTTTTATAAATAAAAGATTTACATTAGTCAATTTGTAATGTACATTAAATCTTCCTTCTAAATAACATATAGTTTCATGTAGGTTGGTCAAAGCAATTTTTGGAAAGTAAATATTTTGTTTTGGAAGTTATAAATGGAAAGTTTTAGTATGAAGTTAAACATTTATTATCTTTTAACTAATTATGAATTTGTTTTTTTAGTGAAGAGGTTGATAATTTCTTAAAGATACCACCACCTGAAAGTGATGCTGAGTACAAACCACCTTTACAAGCAGGTAGTTTGCATTTTTTGATGTACTGGAATCTAAGTTAATTTAATCCATACATTTTCCTTTAGTCCCTGTCTGTATCCATTATTCATTTCAGCAGTGACCAAATACAACTATTTGTTAGAATCAAAGAAGTTCCCATTTGTGCATAATGCTAAGTGCTATATTATCCTTCCACAGCTTCTGAAACCTTTAGAATCTCAAAGAAGTTTTTATTTGTGCACAATGCACAGTCTGACCAAGACAGAAGGGTGAGTATTTAACAAACTTTGCTGCTGTTTTTGTGTGTTATTTCTTTATTTACTCTAATTATCTGAAGTATCCAATAAATTATGAGAATTTTAAAATAAACCGGGAGTGATCTCCCCTAAACTTTCTCGAATATTCTTATATAACTCAGAATACAAACATGATTTTTAATTACTTAAACTTTTAAAAATAGAATAGAATCTCGTAGAAAAAAGAATTGCGCACCAAGCGAACGCCAAAACAAAATGTGCACAATAGTGCGCAATATTATCAGTAATCGGAAGTAGCGTTAATTACTACTTCCGGTCAATGGAAATTACTCAAAATTTAACAGAAGGTAGAGAATTAGATCTTTTACTTACAAGTGAAATTTCATTTATCTATCTGAAATAGTACTCAAGTAAAAGGCTTTTGAAAAATTCAAAGTAGAAAAAGTACCACTTCCGGTTATGGGAAATCGCTCAAAAGTCGATACGAATCTACGATTTTGATAAAATACTTATATATGAAATTTCATCAACTTAGCTGTAACAGTATTCAAGTTATCGTGTTTACACACCGACAGACACACAGACATACGGACAGAATTGCAAAGCCCAGTTTTTCAGACTGGATTACGCATAAAACCCCACAATTTTGATAAATCTGGATTGGTAATTTTTGCCCGATTAAAATAAGTCATCTATACTTCGGATGTGATGAAGGACTGAGGTGTAATACGGTCAAAACTGTCAAAATTTCAAGTGATTTTTGTGCACGATTACAATACTTTCTCTATACTCTGTATACGAGAAAGTAAAAAGAACTTTATGCATAAAATAAATATACTGTTTCCTCAGAAATTTGAATATCTTTGTCGCTATATCCTTGCTTCAATGGAAACAGATGTTCTTAAGGTGATAATTTATTACACACAATAGTTCTTGTATCTCTGATGAGTTCATTAAATTTTAAAATTAACTAGATATTAAATAGATGGATAAAAAATGATACTTTAATAAAAGATAGTTAAAAGATGGTTGATGTCTCTCTAGATTAAAGATTGTTAATTCTTAATGTAATTCTTCAAATACTAATTTCTTTGTTTCCTCAGCATTGCTATGTGTCTGTATCATTCAACAAGAAACTCACACTTGTTTGGATTGCACAGCTTAAATCATTGCTCTGGAAATGCTGTCAATATTTTTACACACTAAGGGTAATACAATTTTTAAAGAAAGCCATAGCCCAATATTTAGTGCAAATTAAGTACTTTTTCTGTTATATAAAATTGTCTGAACAAATATTTATTCATATGCTACATTTTAATAGTTTTGTTTTTTTAATTTTATCTTTTATGCTTGCAGCCAGAAAACCACAATGACATCCGTACGGTTATGGTCTTGTTGCGTATGCTGGTCACCTTTACCTCCCATACAAACTGGGTGGCTTTCAAGGATAAAGAAAGTAGGTGTACAGTTTAGGTTGGGAACAAGTCTTTGTTTAATGTTTATTCTAATGATATTAAATCAGCAAGTATTAACTTTTTTCATAGGTGACTTTAAAATAATTAAAGTTTTTTTTTTAAATTAACATTTGATTTCATCCTTATAAATGTGATTATTACAGCACTACACCAAGGATTTGCCAAACTGTGTGAAAATGTAATGGGAGACTTAAATAGTCGTGGACTGTATCCTGCACTAGAGGTGGGTGCTGGTTTGTAGAATATAAGTGTATTGAAATAAAGAAAAATTCCTAGAATTATTTTCCATACTTTTATACCCTCATGAACAAGAATTAATGTAATGTATTCGAGAAAGTAGTATTTGGTAACTTATTTTGAGATTTGTATTTGCTTTAATGTAAGTTAAGCCAACTCAGTGTTTGATTCAATCTAACGATGAAAATCTCTTATAATGCCCCAGTGTCATAAAATTACATTTGAACTTGTTATTTGACTGAATAGGCTGTTAGTGACACATATAACAACACTCTCTATCTTAGGGTCATTTGATAGAAAATTGCATATTTTTTAATGTATCATCACTTTTTCTTTCAACTGACCTAATATTTGTGGTCATAAATTTCAGGCCTTGTTAAGGAGAGGCTTATGTAGATCTAAAATAGCTTTTAACAAAGCCTGTCTCAGTGCAATCATCACTATATCTATGAGGTAAGAAGAATTTGAAATCCATATTAATACAGAAAATCTAAAACTCCAAAATGCCAAATAAATTATCTGAAGAACAGATGTATTATGAATATAGCTTATATTTGTTAGTGTCAAACCAATTTGTAAAGATATATATTCACAGACCACTTGTGGCCTCCAATTTCTCTCCAAATTTGCTGAGTGTATTTTTACTTCATGTGCTGTCTGTACCAGCTGTCATTATTCATATCAATACTATCGCTCAAGATGTAAGTAGACCAACATAAATTTTTTAATCAGGCTTTACACAATGGCTAATTAATCAAATGCTCAGTAATTTTGAATTTTTTGAAAAAAAAATAAAATTTAAAGAACAAATTTCATATTGAACAGAATACAAAGCTGTAACAATTGAATATGTCTTTCACAGTGTATATCAACTATGGTGACACATAGAATTTTCAAGAGGTGTCTGGATCTTTTAACTTGTGAGCAGAGTACAAGAATTATCTTTAACTCTCTTGAAGGAAACTATGCACTGTGTTTAATGGGTAAATTCACTTAAAATACACATCTCTCTTTTAACCACTCATCTTCCTCACCATAAACTACACACTAGCACAATCTGCTAGTCTTTGTTTATATTTGACATAAAGAAAAACTTTGAATAGTTCAACTGTTGTGTTAGAGTGTTACCATGTATTTATGAGGGCTGACTTTAGTGAGCTATTTTGATCACATCTAATGGTGGGAATACATATTTCATGTTCAATTAATCAAACTGAATCCTTGTTATATTTTGACTTGTTTTCATTCACAGCAAACTTAATACAGTTGGGATTTGTCGAGATGGAGGTAATTAAGTGAAATGAAAGATTATGAACTTAAATTATATTGCTTATAATGTTTTATTATTGCTATCATATTAATATATTATTGTATACAGAAAATTGATGCACAATACATGATATGAAGTATGAGATTGAGATTGAACTGCCGGTATCATCAGTGAACATCTAACTAAAATAATTTGGCTGTTAAAATAATTATACTGATACATTTATTTTTCTATTTGTCATTCAATTGATTGTGCATATATTTCTTATTTGGTAAAAAATGTTTTTTTCATAACTTGGCTTCAAAATTTATTTTTCCATACAGGGACTTGTTGAAAACACTGTTGATTTCATGGTAAGATATTCCTGGTTACATAGCTTTTAATTCCAATAATGTAAGTGGTTATCAATTCTAGCTCTATGTTAGAGAAGTGTGAGGAAAAAATTGTGACCATTCTAGAAGTGTTCATGAGGTGATAAGAAAAGTTGAATTGATTGTATGTTGGCCGCAATGTCCAGTTGAGCTTTGGTTTCTTATCTGTGTGTACTAGCACTCTCCTGCATTCAGAGTTTTTACAGGATGTAGTACATTTATATTTTACTGATGAACTGAGAGAGCTGTTGTATTTTATAGTCTGTGATGATTCGTCTCTTGGAGAACTGCCATAAGTATGTGCAAAACAAGAAGTCCAACCTGACACACTGGCACCCAGTGCTTGGATGGTTTTCACAAAACACAGATGTCAGGTAGGCTTACGTCATTGTTATAGACGTAAAGATTTTCATAGTTTTCTAGGCTTACGTCAAGCTAGTCCATGTGACATGAGTCAAGATTTTGTATGTTTAAGAAATGTAATGTTTCTTGTTGACAGCCTCCATGAATCAATGCCGTACGTTGTACGTCAGCTGCAGCTGTTGTGGAGTGACAAAATGATACGCCTCATGTTTGCTGTACTGCTGGAGTACACAGAGACCAGCCCAGTCCTTGATACAGAGCAGACGCCATCAAAAAACAAAAGTGGGTCAACAACAAAAATATGGTGTCCCTTTTAAAGGCTTTTATTTAGCTTGCTCAGTATGCTTGTGTGTGTGTGAGGGGCTCAGCAAATCTTGGAATATTAATTTAACCTACTTCCCATTGTCCAAATTTTTAATCTAATTAATATAGACAATGAATCATTATTATTCAATTTATAAATGTAAAAATTACTATATTTTCAATAGTATACTCAGCAAATCTTAGGATCTAAATTTAATCAAGATTCCTGTTGTCCTATTGAGCTGAAATTTGGCACAGTGATAGATCTTGGATGACAATACAAGAATATCAAATTTTGAATCTAATTAGATAGACAATTTAAAAACCACTGTATTCAATCATTAATAAAAGTGGAGATAACACAATTTTTTTAAAAGTTCAATTGCTTGATCAGAGGGCAGTGGAGGGTAAACTTTTCAGTTCACGGTTGGCAAATTTTGTTGAACACGAACAAATTAATAACAAGTAACTCAATTTTAGAGATCACAAGCCAGTGGGTGGATTTTGATGCAAACATTTTTAGTCTTAGATTATGTACTATCAACTCCTTTTCAAATGAATGGCTAAAAGTGGAAAACAAATTTCACATAAAAATACATTTTTAAAGGACAAATGCTTTTACTATATTTACATATCACAAAAAGATAGCAAATGAAAAAGTAAAAAATAAATTTAGCTATATGCTGGTATGACTAAAAATAAAAGCCTGGGGGGTTCACTTATGGAAAATATATTCCCTTTGATAGGTGTAGGACTACCTAAAACATAAAATAAGACGTATGTTCAATTTTCATGATTGATATGTGTTTTGCAACATCTTAAACCTTTGGGCTGTACTTACAATACAGATATTTTGAAGAAAGCCCTTGGTAAAGCCTCATCAAGCAAAGTTTCAACAACTCAAAAAATCAAACTTGATAGCGGCATAGCTTTTAGCACCTGCTTGCCATGCTCCCTCTACCAACAGATCATCAACACTTTAACTCAATTAAAGATGGACATACTAGGAGGTGAGTTGATTGAAATCTTTATTTATAACTCAGTTGTTATTAATATCTTGAAGATTAAGTATAGACAAAAAAAATGTTATCGTCCAAAACATCAAGATTTTGATAACTCTCGACATTTTACAGCTCCCTGAGTCAAAAAGTAGTTTTGCAAATTTCTCTGTGTCTGTCTGTCTGAGCTATGAAAACACAAAAATTTTAGTAAATGGTACTTTTCTATTCTCATGTGAACAATATAACTTAAGTACTGTTTCAGTCAGTTATATATATATAAGTATAAGATCTTATAGTTCTTATGCTTATGCTTTCAATTTTTGAGTGACCTCCCAAAATGTTTTACTCTATTTCTGGTTTCTAAAATACCGATAACTGCTTGAGTTCTGTTTCAGTTAGGTAGACAAAATTTTAAACATAGCTATAAGATCTTATTCTCATGATTTGCTCAAATTTTGAAAGTTTTCTGGTAAAGTAAAGTATTACTGCACTATTTCTGGTGAAGTAAAGTATTACTGCACTATTTCTGGTGAAGTAAAGTATTACTGCACTATTTCAGGTGAAGTAAAGAATTACTGCACTATTACTGAAAAAAGATCACTTCTAACAGACCTTTTTTCTTCAAAACTTTTCACATAAGTGTAGACAATGAAATTGCATTGTGACATAAAATTTGGCTAAATCTGATGTGTAATTAACTTTTTAAAAATGAATCCATATTTCCTTTATAAAGCGCTAATTTTCAGCTCTGTTATACACACATTGTTTATGTCCATTTGTTGCACAATATAATTTTAAAATTATTTCCAGGGCTTGCGTACAATGATATACTATTGCCAATATTGTGGCGATTTCTCTGTGACCTTGGTCCTCACTGTGGTTTGAAGACATTCATAGAACTTCTGACTCAGGCACCAAACTCTACAATTCATCCAGTCTTCAGCCTCCTCTCATTATTCTGTGAAACAGCTTCTCATATGATTACGTAAGACTATTTTATTTTTTTAATTTTTTTAAATAGAAAATGTGTTGGGTTTTTTATTATTATTTCATGCTGTTATTTCATTCTATTCTTGTCACAACCCAAAAAACTTGTTGGGGTTCATCCATAAATGACGTCACTCTTTTTTGATGATTTTTACCCCCCCCCCCCCCCCTTTGTCACACATTGTCACAAAAAGCCAGACCTCCCCCCCCCTCCTAAAATTACATCACAGCCTACAACCCCCCTCAAAATTGCAGTTGAATTTTTCTTAAAACTTCTATATTTTTCCAAAATCTTTTCTGAACTCTGTCAACACAGAGTATTTAAATCAATTTCTATTACAATTTATTAAAGCAGTTTTCTAAAACGCAAAATAATGGCTAAAACTCTAACATTGCTTTTTTATAATGCAAAAGTGTGACCCTCCCCCCTACTAGTGTGACGTCATTTATGGATGACCCCTTGATAGAAATCTAGATGACACAGCTGCTATTTCATTCTATTCTTGTCAATACATAAAAAAACTTGTTGATAGAACTCTAGATGACACAGCTGCTATTTCATTCTATTCTTGTCACAACCCAAACAACTTGTTGATAGAAATCTAGATGACATAGCTGCTATTTCATTCTATTCTTGTCAATACATAAAAAACTTGTTGATAGAACTCTAGATGACAAAGCTGCTATTTCATTCTATTCTTGTCAATACATAAAAAACTTGTCGATAGAACTCTAGATGACAAAGCTGCTATTTCATTCTATTCTTGTCAATACATAAAAAACTTGTTGATAGAACTCTAGATGACACAGCTGCTATTTCATTCTATTCTTGTCACAACCCAAAAAACTTGTTGATAGAACTCTAGATGACACAGAGATGCTGGAACACCAGAAGGTTTTTAAAGTTGGGGATTACGTCCGGATGAGTGAATTCCTCAACTTGTTCACCTTTAAAGTAATATGGGGAGGACTAATTAGTAAGTTAACCCAATTGAACTATTTTAATTTGTTAATTCATTTACTCTCTGAACTCAGAAATGTTTACAGTATAGTATGTAGACACAATTTTTAAACTGCTGGAGACTAACACCTTTTCCCAACTGTCCCATTAGGTCTTGAGCAAGCACCTACCTGTGATGTTTTCACCTCCACCCTCACCCTGCTCATGATCCTACATGACAGGGACAGTCGTAGAAGTTTTACTGGTCCAAATCATTGGTTAATTAGGTCTGGGCTCTTCAAGTCTCTATTTGTTTCACTTTCATGCAGAACATGATATTCTTTTTTTTAGTTATAAACTTGAAGCTTCTGTATTAAATTTACTTACTTTTTATGTAATTAAATTAATAAATGCACATAAATAATTTTCTTTTTTAAATAAATAAATTTTAGAGATGTAAAACCAAGTCATTTTATGGCAGAACTTGAGAAAGAGAAAAAGACAGCACTATTCCTTATGCAAAAAGTACCTCACATCATTCCATTTAACGAAGTAAGTACAATAACTAAGTAATATAAACAGTAAGTAATGAAATCATTAACCTGCAAAATGGCAACTCTTTTTCTAACAATACTTTTTTTTATATTAAAATATCTTCATATATAACAAAATTAAAATCATTACCCAGGAAATCAATCTTAGTTTATTTCATGAGTCTTCATAACTTAATTATTTACTAATAAATAAGTGAAAATATCATTAAACTTCATTTTTCAATTAAAATGTTTAATATGTTAAAAAAAAACACAACTTAAGACATTGGAACCTATTGTATTAGTTACATTATTATCTATGCCCTATTCATGAATAATAATATCAATGTTAATATAACCAGTAATTTCAGAACAAAATTTTTAACTCTCGGAAAGTAAAAGAAATGTAACTTAAGTGATAGAACAAAGAAATTATTTTTTTACAATGAATTGTTTCAAGCCATCGCCAGTATATTAAAAATCTCATTACCAGTAAAACTTTTATTTAAATATTTTACACATAGTTAGGGTGCATTGCCGGTTTAAGTAAAAACATGCATTAACAAAAAAAGTCATAATGTAGTTTTGTGTATTTCCTTGTATGTGTTGGATTGTATTCTGTTACCATATTACAAAGTAACAACATTTTTGCCCCCAGCGAGTGATTCTCTTCAGGAAAAATGTCATGAGAGAAAAGGAAATGCTGGGGCTGACTGAGTCATCTTGCACTACAGCCCAGTCCACACTTATCACTGTACATCGGAGTCGAATAGTCGAGGTACACTCACAGGATTAAAAGGCTGCTTTAAAAAGATCAAACAGCTACTCTAAGAATACCAAAACTTTATTTTAAAAAATAATAAAGTTTACTTTTAAAAAAAGAAGGCTTAGTAGCATTGTCTTGATGCATAGTTTAATAGAGTATTTAAAAGTTGAACACTTAACTTTATTTGTGCCCAAACTATTGTTTTGTTTACAGGATGGGTACAGGCAACTGGCACAACTACCAAGCCGGGCTCTTAAAGGTGTCATTAGGGTGAAGTTTATCAATGAAATGGTGGGTCATTTTTCACAAGCATTTACTTAGATCAGTTTTTAAATGAAGTGGTTGGTCATTTTTTTACAAGCATTTACTTACATCAGTTTTTAAATGAAGTGGTTGGTCATTTACTTACATCAGTTTTTAAATGAAGTGGTTGGTCATTTACTTACATCAGTTTTTAAATGAAGTGGTTGGTCATTTTACTTAATCAGTTTTTAAATGAAGTGATTGGTCATTTGACATACTACACCAGGTTATCAATTCCATGATTTGGTCCATTTATACAAGCTTTTACTTAGATCACAATTTCTGGATGTCTGTATCAGATAGGGTTTGCTGGTAAATCTTGCTTGTCAATTTCACCCATTTCTAATGCAGCAATTTCTTCCCAGAAAAATTACTTGCCTATGCCAGTGAAAGAATATTCCATTTCCATTACAATAAGTTATCAAATGAGTCATTAAAAACTAAAGATTGTGTTGTATTCAATAACAAAAGGTTACATAACTAGGTAGTTGCAGGCACTTGACTTATCAGGTCAACTAGAATTCCTGACAAATGTTTCAAATATTATTTTGGCAAGTTAGGGTAGATAATACAATTACTATTGAGTGATTCAGTAATAAGGGAATGTTAGTGACATTCAGTTGGTATAAAGCAAACTTTTTTTCAGTATTGATGGGTGTTGATGAAGAATAATTGGAAAAAATAAATATAGTACAAAGTGTTTTTTAATATATTTGTTTTAAGTTACAAATATCTAAATAGTAAAAACAAAATGAAACGATTATAAAAACAATTTAAATTTAAATGCACCTAAAGTAAGTCAATCATATCATAGCTAACACACATTTATGGTTATTTGTACTAAAGCTGTTATTAAGATTTTTATACTTGATTTATTATTTGTTGAAGGCAAGTGATAATGCCAATGCTTAACTAAAATATGAAATAGACTTAAGAACCTAAATATATTGTATAAAACAATGCAGCATATATTCCTTACTTCTATTAAAATGTCACACATCATAACAATGGGTACTTTGTCAACAAAACATTTCTCTACATTTAGTAACCTGTTAACTTCACAAATTGCAAACCTTCAAATTAATACTTCCTAAACTTTTTGAGCCATTGACTGTTGACATTTTCCTTCTGAATCCTTGAACAATTGTTGTGTTTGTACACCCCTTCTGAATCCTTGAGCAATTGTTGTGTTTGTACACCCCTTCTGAATCCTTGAACAATTGTTGTGTTTGTACACCCCTTCTGAATCCTTGAGCAATTGTTGTGTTTGTACACCCCTTCTGAATCCTTGAACAATTGTTGTGTTTGTGCACCCCTTCTGAATCCTTGAACAATTGTTGTGTTTGTACACCCAGGGTCTTGATGAAGCTGGTATTGATCAAGATGGTGTTTTTAAAGAATTTCTCGAAGAAACTATCAGCAAAGTTTTTGATCCACATCTTAACTTGTTTAAAGTAAGACTTTTTTATAATTCCAGATTTACTAATTTGTTCCACTGAGTCAAAGAAATAACATAATTTATAGTTAAACAACAATTTAGTTTTTTATAGCTGTATCACCATATGGTTTTTCAAATGTTTTTTGCGTAACATTTGCTAGATCAAGGTGTAAGTTAAAAATTAACAATTGATATGTTTGCAATAACAAGATTTTAGTTTCTGTTGAAAAGATGCATGTAAAAAACAAAGAAGATATAAACCAATAAAATATTTAACTAACACTCGCCCTCATCTATTGTGTTTTTATTGTATAGATTAAGATAGTTTTATAAAAATACAAAAAAAAAATATTGGAGTTATTGATTGTGTTGTAAAGATGAGGACAGTTTTTTAATAGAGTTGTGATTGATCCTTAGGTAACCAGTGAACAGAAGCTGTACCCATCATCCACCTCACACATACAAGACAGCCACTTGGCTTTGTTTGAGTTTGTGGGGAAAATGTTGGCAAAAGCTGTCTACGAGGTTTGTAGCTTTAATTTTGTTTAAAGGCATTCAGCTGGGAGATTTTATCCTCTCAACTTTACTCTTCTAGCTGCTTTTCAGGTTATTCATTTATAAATGCACCAGTAGCTTTGAAGGCTTATTGTAAATACTTAGTAAAATGCAAGTACATTTTCTATTTTTAGGGTATCATAGTGGACGTACCGTTCGCACCGTTCTTCCTGATACAGATACGTGGCCACCTTCAGAGTGCAACATACAGTTTTCTTGATGAGTTACCTTCTCTTGACATGGAACTGGCTAAATCTCTTTCATACATCAAGGCAAGTTAAAAAGTTATGCTTTATTGCCATTTTAACAACAAAATCTCTCACTTTTTATTTGACAAGAAAACACCACTGGTGCTCATGGTTACTGGCCCATCTATTTTTAGCACTATGATGGGGATGTCAGCAGTCTCGAATTAACCTTCTCTTGTGATGAGGATATTTTAGGTCGTATTGTCACTCATGAACTAGTACCAGGAGGGAAAGCTATACAAGTCACCAATGAGAACAAGTACCTTTTTTCATACTTTCGTTTAACAGAACTTCTTTGTTATTTAATTTCTACATTACTTAAAGCAAAAAGTAGCATCATACCACTGTTTAAACTAATGAACTTTCTTGAACACAGAATCAGATATGTCCATCTGATGGCCCACTTCCACATGTACAGACAAATCAAGGAACAATCCTTGGCTTTTGTCAGGGGATTTAAATCTGTTGTCACTCCAGACTGGCTCAGCATGTTTTCCTCCCCTGAATTACAAAAGCTCATCTCAGGAGATGGAGATTGTTTAGACATGGAGGACCTGAGGTAAGTTTTTTTTTATTTTACCATAACATGTATGTTATACAGATATTATCAAGTACCACATGTATATACTGTATGTACAATTGCTCAACCAGGCGTCACACACAGTACTATGGTGGCTACCACAACAACCACAAGGTGATTAACTGGCTTTGGGACATTGTAGAGAATGATCTGAGTATTGAAGAAAAGGGTCTCTTCTTAAAGGTAATGTTTTTATAACAAAATGTAGAAGGTACAAATTTTTAGTTATGTTTTAATTCAACAATTCTTCATTTGAATGTCCCATCCAACTATTTAAACCCCAACAGTTTGTTACAAGTTGTTCCAAACCACCTTTACTTGGGTTTGCCCACATGGAGCCGCCATTTTCTATTCGCTGTGTAGAAGTTAGTGATGACCAGGTAAATAGCACAAAAAACATTTTCGTTTTGGTAGAAAATTGGTTGGTCATTATTTTGTGTTTCTTTTCAAATTTTCATATCCTTTTTTTAAATTCATCTTTTCTTCAAATTCTTCAAATGAGTAAAAAAAATAATAGATTTTGGCAAATGTTTTTTTTTTACCACTGTAGGATACTGGGGACACAGTAGGCTCAGTACTGAAGGGATTTTTTAACATCAAGAAGAAAGATGCTGGTGGACGTCTACCCACATCGTCAACATGCTTCAACCTTCTCAAACTTCCCAACTACTCCAAGAAATCTGTGCTCAGAGAAAAACTGAAATACGCCATTCATTCACATTCTGGCTTTGAAATATCTTGATACTTGTGTCAATTGGTGCAACATTACTTGATACAACCTTATGTTTACACTTGTGCAACATTACTTGATACAACCTGATGTTTACACTTGTGCAACATTACTTGATACAGATGTTTACACTTGTGCAACATTACTTGATACAGATGTTTACACTTGTGCAACATTACTTGATACAACCTGATGTTTACACTTGTGCAACATTACTTGATACAACCTGATGTTTGCAGTTGTGCAACATTACTTGATACAACCTGATGTTTACACTTGTGCAACATTACTTGATACAACCTGATGTTTACACTTGTGCAACATTACTTGATACAACCTGATCTTTACACTAGTGCAACATTACTTGATACAACCTGATGTTTGCAGTTGTGCAACATTACTTGATACAACCTGATGTTTACACTTGTGCAACATTACTTGATACAACCTGATGTTTACACTTGTGCAACAGTACTTATAAACTGGTCCATTAAAATTTGGCCGCAAACCCTTAAATTCAACATATATTCCAAAACTGTGATAACAAAACAAGTAGATGTCACTCACACATGTTAAAGATGGTGGATTAGCTTTGTTTCATTCACACATTAATAAAACATCTTTGTAATTTAGTTTTATAAGCGATAATTTTGTTTTTAACATGGTTGTGTCAATTTCCTTTGATTCACATTGTGTAATAGAGGTAGACTTTTAAAAAATATTTTATTTCTTTAAGCAACAAGTTTTATTTTCTATTAGTTATTTGAACCAACTTTAAGATTAAATGTTCAGATACCCCATAGAAGTCTCTGATTTAGCCAAGTTTTCATGCTGGCTGGGACATTGTTGTTGATACTGGTAGAATCAAGTAGACGATGTTTGGGGTCATTCATAAATAACGTCACACTTTTTAAAATGATTTTTACCTCCCCCCTCCCCTCCGTCACACGTTGTCACAAAAAGCCAGACCCCCCCCCCCCTAAAATGACGTCACGCCTCAACCTACAACCCTCCTCAAAATTGCAGTTGAATTTTTTTAAAACATCGAAATTTTTTCCAAAATCTTGTCTAAACTATTACAATTTATTAAAACAGTTATCTAAAACGCGAAATAATATCTAAAATTCGTTTTCTAACATTGTTTTTTTATAATGCAAAAATGTGACTTCGCAACCCCCCCCCCCCCCCCCCCTCCCCCTCATCACACATTGTCACAAAATTACGGATCCCCCTCCCCCCTACGAGTGTGACGTCATTTATGGATGACCCCTTTACACTTTAGATTGATAACAGTATAACAGTATAAGCTGAAGAAAATAAATCTGTACCTGATTAGATCTTGCTATTTGTATGACTTTTCTGTTGAACTTTTTGCAGCATTTGACAAACATTTTTTTCAATCTATAATCTTTATAAGTAAATGGCAGTGTTTTACTTTTTTATTTTTACTTAAAATAAATCAGTGGGAAAATTTTTTTTCAGAAAGTTTGTGCAAAGTTTCTATGAGCAGAAGCGATCCATAAACATTTTGCTTTATAGAAACTTTTGTATGTGGGGTGATTTAATGTTTAAGCTATTTTTAGATTCCCTGTACTATCATTTAACTGACAGCTAATTATGACATTCCATTCATTTTAATGCTAATTAATAGTATAGTATATTTTAATTCATTCAATCTTACTAAAGCAATGTGTCTTACTCATGGAAGAGAGAATAGTCAACAAATTGTTGTAATAAAATAAAAACCTTTTTAACAAAATATTTGATTTCTTCTATGCTTAAAATGGAAAACTATTAGTTCATTAATTAATTTAAAAAACATGTATTAATAAATGTTTTTTTAATTAATTAATGAACTAATAGTTTTCTATTTTGAGCATAGAAGAAATCAAATCTTTGAGCTACTTGTTTCTAGAACAAAACCTCAAGCCTCACAAGCACTATTCCAATGATATTTTCTTGTTGTTTGATATTAAATAAAGTAATTTTGTTTATTTCTAAAACTGTCAACATTTGAAATGTAAATAAACCAGATAATATGTTTTATGTTTCTTACATACCAATACCTTGTTTCTCAACCATTCAATGTAAACACATTTCATGTTTCTTGCATACCAATACCTTGTTTATCATATAGTTTGTTGCATTATTTGTTTTTACATTACAAATGAAATTTTACCTAATCATTGCTGCATGTTTTAATATGGTTGTTTTGTGATCATGTGACTTTTTAAACAAAATTTCTGCTTCTAGTCCATATTATTCTGTTCCTTTTTTGTTTCCAACAGTTATTTTCATAACACCATAGTGAAATTAGTGTATTGTAATATTATGCTCATTTTACTACCGTATAAGAATAATTTAAGTGGTAAAATCCATCCCCTTTATTTATAGATATATATATATGTAAATATCGGCTGACAAAAGCGCAATAAATTTGTAAAAACAATTAATACTAAGTTTTCTTCTATTTATAACTGATACAACCTGATGTTTAGGGGCAACACAATGTGTCACGGATGTCAAGTTTTATTATGGCTAAAATAAAAGTATCAACCTTTTACATCTGTGTGAACTGTACCAGTTTATGTAAGATAATAATTTTAAATCAAAAGTCAACAGTTTATTATGTTTTATAAGAATTTTTTCTTCATAATGCTAGATGTAATAAAAATATTCCAGTTAAAGGTAATTGAGATACCAGTATATAAATTGAGATTACTATATTTAAAAAGTTATCTTATTAATATATTTTTAAAGTGTTTTTTGGAGCACCTTTTTGACTGATACCTCCTCCATTATTAGTTAAATTTTTTTGAGGTTTTTGTGTAGCTGCTTTCTAACATGCACAGCAAAAGGGTTAAAGCATGTACACCAATCTTTTGTTCTGGTAAAGAATTTTAAGTTAAGCTTACCTGATTTGTATTAACAAATCACCTGTGACTTTGGGGGTCATCCATAAATGAGGTCACGCTTTTTTTGACGATTTTTACCTCCCCCCCCCCCTCCCCTCCGTCGCACATCGTCACAAAAAGACAAACCCCCCACCCCTAAAATGACGTCACACCTCAGTCTACAACCCCCCTCAAAATTGCAGTTGAATTTTACTTAAAACATCGATATTTTTCCAAAAATCTTGTCTGAACTCTGTCAAAATAGAGTATTTTAATCAATTTCTATTAGAATTTATTAAAACAGTTTTCTAAAACGCGAAATAACGGCTAAAATTCGTTTTCTAACATTGCTTTTTATAATGCAAAAGTGTGACGTCGCACCATCTGAACTCCCCCTCATCACACACCGTCACAAAATTACGGACCCCCTCCCCCTTCGTTTATGGACGACCCCTTTACCCAAAATGGATTGGTATGGCTAGCCCTACTACACATTTTTAAGGTCAGAAAAACTTGAAAACAGTGATCAGACTCTAATACAGAAGCATAGGGCCTAGATCTACATTTAAAATTAAAGTAAGGTTTTCCAATGTCTTCAGGAAAACACAAGGCCATCATATGTGTTGCACGCAACCATATTCATATTCAAACGTAAAATATCAAGCAAAAAATGGTTTGTTTATTTTTGTGAGGGGGGGGGGGGAGGGAGGGTAAGGATTTTATAATATTAATAGGTTGAGTATCATTGACCAAGTGCAAAATTGTTTGAGGGGTGGTTTAACAACCCAGTTATCACACTAGGTGACACCCGATGTAGTAACGCCAATGCTTTCTGTATTTTCTCACTTAGCTTTGTCTAACCGAAAACTCAACATTTCTAGATCTAGACTAGTAAAACTTAAAAAAAATCTCTCAATCAATGCAAACAAAAAACAATGTTCGAAAAGTTTGAACTTAAATTTTTTATTTCATTTATGGTCCTGGTTTTTGGGCTCTTAATTAATGGTCCGCCAACTTGCACTTTATGCTACTTTTACCTTTTCATTAATGTTGATAAACGCGGGTCACATGACCTCTATCATGCTTTTTTTTTCTCCCCTCAACACATTGGCAAAAAATAGGTCAGAAGTGTTGTTTACTTGATTTGTGATCGTGGTTGGTGACCGTGATGCAATGGCAACGAAGTGCATTTTCGCCGGTAACATTTTAAGTCGTAAAGTGGGAAACAAATTATTACTGGGCTCACACAGTCTATCGTCGTCACATCAGTGTGTTATCTTCGCCAATAAACGCAAATCAACACAAGCCTGCCAAGAAGAAAAGCCACAGAATACCGACCCACGGGCAGATTTTGAAGCTCTACCCAGAAAATGGAAAAGTTTGACTGGTAATCACCAACACCCTGAAATAGATTTGACTTTCGAAAATGCCAGAGAGGCATATAAAAGTAAACGAACATCAGAATTACTTCGAGCTCTTGTTGTCTTTAACTTGTGCTCAGTGAATTTCTTGGTAAATAACCAGAAACAGGTAGGATACTTTTTAACTTTTTTTTTTACTTTATTTATTTAGATCTAGATCTAGTAATATTTAGTTAGAGGTCTATCTCTATTCTCTAGACTAGACGTATTTTACCACCACTCGATACTTAGTAACTTACGCCTAGGGCAGATGAGGCTCGTTAGCTGGGGACAGCCACTCTTCTAGGAGAGACAACTCCAAAATCAAACAACTGCTGCCTTGTAGTTTGTTCTTGGTTGGACAAAGGCTATGGAAGCAAATCCAAAAAGAAAAGCAGGCTGAAATTGGAGTCAATGGCCTCAATGGCGCATAACCAGTTGAGACGTAATCCTTAATTGTGATGGAAGCATGGTCGAGTTGGCAAAGCTCATGGTTGATAAATTCGAATCGAAAAAAAAAAGTCTCGATTTTAAACTCTCTGGCAGATAAGGCTCGATCCCTCCCAACACTAAAAGTTTAGAACGAAGAAGAAGAAAGATACTTACGCAGGGTGGTGGTAGTATGCAAAGCTATCTGCGAAAATTTTAAAAATTTGCTGTGATGTTTGATGCAGATTTCAAAGTCAAAGACATTGTTAAAACTTCCGATTTTTCTGTTGCTAGACATTCTGATGATTTGTCAACTTCATTTTAAAAGTGTTTCTAAGACCTTGTATAGTAAAACAGTTATTTAAATGTAAAGAATGCAGTCACTAACCTATATTTCTAAGATAATAGTTGTTGAGGCCAGGTTTATCCACACTACCATCAAGAATTCCTTGACTACATTAATCACCCCAAAATAGTGAGGAAGAACACACATCAGCGATCAACTGGGCATAGCAGGGCGGGCACTCATGGTAGCAACTGGTAACACTACCGCAGGGGTGCCGGGACATTTCCTAGTTAAATTTAGTTATTGAATGTAGTGGCCCATGGTGTCCTTATAATGTAAGGTGTGTTTAAAAAATAATGTAGGTGTCATAGCGTTGATGGAAGAGCCAGTCTGGTTGATTTATCAACAATTATTGTAGCCCATCGTATCCATAGTGTATAGCACTCCTTAACACAAATGTATACACCATGGTGCTCATGGGGGAGCCCGGGGTGCTCCTGGTCACCAGGGCGTTGGCCTAGGCACCTTGTGCAGTTTGACCATTGAATCAAGTAGCACATCTGACTACCTCTGTAGAATGTCCAATTAATGGATCCCAAATATAAGTTCAATGATGAGCTAGGGTGTTAACTTGAGAACAGTAAGTATCACCATACGATATTTATATTTTTACAATTTAACATTGAACAGTGTATGATTTGGAAAAAAAAATGATGAAAACCTTTATTATAATAATAATAATACTAGCTGACCAAGTACACATCCCTGCCATCTAAGAAGAGAGGAAGTTAATTCAATATAATATAGTGCATTTACTGTGTGAGTTACAGTTACAATATCAGCATGCAATATCAGTGAGTGCAATCAGATATTGCTTGTTACCAAATTTATTGGTTGATAAGAACTCGAGTTATTTAGATGTTAACAATGTTGGCACAGCCGTTTCAGAAGTAATTAAAAATAGAAGATGGCTCTAGAAGATCCACCATGTATTAAGTATGAGACCAGATGAGACACTGCCCGGGTTGCCCTGGGCATTGGAGCGAGTGAAAGGAAAAGATGATGATGTTGAATGTTTGGCACTACATTAATGGGATCTCAGTTGTTGGGGTTTGTCCACACTACTGCCCAGATGCCCCAGGTGTGGTTAATGAAAAGGGTGAGCTAGAAAAACCCTCAGTGTTACGGTTATTAAGTTGCTGTGAGAGGGTTTGATTTACTTGACTCAGCCAACTACCATTTGACTCCTCTCCAATACCAGGGAGAGAGTATTATACCTTGAGAACCACTAAGGCTGTATTACATTCAGACAGATCAACGATAAACGATCAGGAATAAGATGAACCAATAAATCCTTGTACGAATCTTTTAATCTTGTATCTATAGATGTCTATCTTCCTAAACCCTATCTCTCAACTTGAGTCCTGTCAACAAACACACGTCCTCTCACACGGATGATAAGGATTCAACTGCTCACACATAAACTCATAGCAACCAACTCTCTAACTTTCCTATGGCATCACACATTCACTCGTTCAATATACGGCCGCACCATCAACCATGCACACCGATTTCCCCAGTGAAACATACATCATAACACTCAGATACTACCCAGGTATCAGGGGCACAACACCAAAGCAGGGACGTCTGTGCTCCACAGGAATTGTAACCATGAGGGGATTCAGAGTGGCCACCACACACTACCATTTAGACTACACCCCTCCGATATGAAATTATTTTTTGCCAGAATTATTTGCTATAGTGCACTCAATACTTTTTATGGCAATATAGCTAGTTTTAATACCACAGGGGCCCTCCCTGTTCCATATAGTGATTGACTGTAGTGGCCCAGTTGTAACAATGTAGGGCCCTTTTTAAAATGACCACAAGTGCATGTTGACAGTTGATTTAACTAATACCCTGACCCCTGTGCAGGATTCCTATTTAGTGGAACTTAAGGCCCCCCCCCCCCCCTGCTGCTGCCAGGGTGACACTTCGCCAAAATTCAGTAATTTTGTATGTCAGAATTCTTCAATGTGACAAACTCAATGATGTCTCAAAGTTTTATGGTGGTCAGATAAATGGTGTAGTAATGCATAAAAGAAAAAACAAGTTAATAAAAAGTCTAGTGACAATTTAAGCGCAATTTCCTTAATTAATTTTTTAGAATTCACAGACCTAAGTAAAAATCCTTTCGAACCTCCGCTCATTCGCTATGGTAAAATCCTTTCGAACCTACACGATGCTCAGTTTAAATTAAAAACCAGACGAGCAGAGCTAGTCCCCGCCCCCTCGCGAGATCTGCGCGAGTCTGGCCAATGGCAGCGTGTTACAAGTAGACGTTACCTCTCACTAGCGACTGCCTCAGTCGGTGTGCTTGGTTTGGAACTTCACCGCTTCGCTCTTCTAGAAATATTTGTATATTCTTAGTAATCTTAGCCAATACAAATTAGAAGAAATTAATTTTTTTGTGACCGAACAAAAGGATATTTTTGAAAACTTTCTTCGGCAATATTGTTCTAAATTATGGCAGGAATCGATTGGTAAATGTTTCAAGTCGCTAAGTGGTCTGGTTGCCGAGATATGGGCCAAAAACTGTATTTTTTTGAGGTTTTTGGCTTTTCCGGGAAATCCAGGAAGGAATTCCGGGAATTTTTTTGGCCTATGTTCATCCTCGGAACTTGCTTAACATATTTGCTTTGGAACTAGTCCTCGATATTGCTTCGTTGAGGAGGAGATACGTCTTAAAGCTGCGGACACGCTGCGGACACACATCCATCCATCCAGAAATGAGGAGTTAATAATCGCAATCCCCCAGTATGGAAATTGCGCTAAAAATGTATTCATTTTTTTACATGTAGTTTGAATAAACAGTTGTCAAACTGGGTGCACTGAAAATGTGAAAGTAAATACACATGTTAATTAGAAATTAGAATATTATATCTGTAATTTTCTGTATGGTTTAGCTACTGTTTTTACTTCTGCTTGGAAAAATGCTTATTTGTTTTCATATTTTAATGCATTTGTAACCTTTTTGTTATTATAAAGGTTATAAAATATACATTCTTTGACCTTTTTGAGGGATGGAGGGTGGTTATAATTATTCTGGCTATGGGGTTGATTATCTTTCTCTGTTATACTGGCTATGGGGTTGATTCAACCTTCTCTGCTATACCAAATACATAAATATGTATGTGATGGTAATAAAAAATTTCATACTGCTATAGAATGTTCACCTAACATTCACTGGCAATGTTTGTTGAATGGTAAAAAAGATTTCAGATATTGCATTATACTAATTTAACAAACAAAAGTGACACTTTTTACTCCTTTGTTTCCATGATTATTTTTAGGGGTTTGAATTGTTTGTTGCAAGGATCTTTGTGGCTTTCCCAACAGCTGTGCTGTATGAATATTTCTGGTATAATCAAAAAGCTTATGTATGGCTAACAAGATGAATTCATACTGGGATAAAATAAATACCATTGTAAGCTGTGCCAGGGAAGTTTAATATAGCTGTCTGATGCTGTCTGAACTAAATATAGCTGTCTGAACTAAATATAGCTGTCTGAACTAAATATAGCTGTCTGAACTAAATATAGCTGTCTGAACTAAATATAGCTGTCTGAACTAAATATAGCTGTCTGAACTAAATATAGCTGTCTGAACTAAATATAGCTGTCTGAACTAAATATAGCTGTCTGAACTAAATATAGCTGTCTGAACTAAATATAGCTGTCTGAACTAAATATAGCTGTCTGAACTAAATATAGCTGTCTGAACTAAATATAGCTGTCTGAACTAAATATAGCTGTCTGAACTAAATATAGCTGTCTGAACTAAATATAGCTGTCTGAACTAAATATAGCTGTCTGAACTAAATATAGCTGTCTGAACTAAATATAGCTGTCTGAACTAAATATAGCTGTCTGATGCTGTCTGAACTAAATATAGCTGTCTGATGCTGTCTGAACTAAATATAGCTGTCTGATGCTGTCTTAATGAAATATAGCTGTCTGTAGCTGTATTAATAGGTCTCTGCAGCTATTTTTATAGCTGTGTGCAGCTGTCTTAATAGCTGTCTGCAGCTGTCTTAATATAGCTGTCTGCAGCTGTCTTAATATAGCTGTCTGATGCTGTCTTAACTAAATATAGTTGTCTTAATAGCTATCTGCAGCTGATATCTGCTTGATATAGATAAGATCACACAACATGATATAGATAAGATCACACAACATGATATAGATAAGATCACACAACATGATATAGATAAGATCACACAACATGATATAGATAAGATCACACAGCATGATATAATTATAAATATAATCACAGAATAAGACAGATAATATCACTCAATATGACAGATACTATCACTCAACATAACATATATATGATCACTCAACGTTTTGTACACACTATCTTTGCTTGATCTTGACGTTTTTCTGCCGGACTAGGGTGGTCGTCCATACATGACGTCACAACCCTGAAATTTGAATTTTTCGTAAATTGTATTAAAGACTCAAAGAGCAAAGCTTCATGGTAAGGAGAGGTGGTATCACATGATTGAGGGATGTGTCGGGTTAGAATTCAATAGTAGATCTATGTGTATCATTCACCTTTGAGTGTGTTCACATTTTAGTATGTATATCAGTACTTATATTATGTACACATTCATGTGTTGACAGTTTGTACATATATGTGAGTGCACGTAACATAGAGCTTGTCGTTATGTTTCTGTATGGACTTGTTGACAGCAGTTCAAATACCAGGTAGATTTCCGGTAGGTTTCCGTTAGATTTCCGGATGTTGTGCTTTGATATCATTGAAATTATCATTATGCCCAGTGAGCTTGTAGAACTGCATAGACCAGTGGTTCTTAGAGGTACCGAACCACCAGTTTCAGATACGCATTCACCGAACCCTTCATAATAGTTTATCGTCCACACTGACAAAATCAGATCGTTTTAGGGTCAGTTTTTGCGGTTTTCAAAAAAAAAAATTCACTACTTCTAGTTGTCCTATAAGAATAAAAATTATATGTCAATAAAGTTTAAGTCTTTATCTGTCGTAATCTGGTATTTTTATATCTGTAACACATGTTTGAATGTGTTTTATATTTGTTTGAAAAGTATCAGTACGTCAACAAATTTCACCGTTTTTCGAGTACCGAGAGAGGGTAGTGATTAAATCAATTTAATCCTAAGCTGTTTACAATGTCTGTCACCAATAGCCATGCGGGACCATTGTTCAAATTGTTTTTTGATCAGTCAGCTGGGTGAACTTATCATAACCTTGACCTTACCCACGCACTTTAGCATATTATGTACAGCTAAAACATGTAGGTTAGGTTCGTGTCGTGCTTTGACACACTCGCCGATCTAAGGTATTTTATAGAACACGTCCTGAGCTCGCGATGTCCCAGTGCACGTGAGGCATTCAATGACAACTGGACGTGTTCTCTGATCTAAGAAAATGACACACTCCTCAGGACAGGATGCTCTCTCGCGTGCTAATCATTCAATTAGTAATTACACATTGAATACAGCACAGGACACGATGTTTTCTCTAACGTGTCAACCCCATCTACATTTGATTGTTGTCTTATCTTTTTCTCTCTCGGCTTAAAGCTGTACTTGTGCAACTACTCATGACGTCATACACTCTAAAAGCACAAGTTTGGGCGCTTCACTAGGGGACGGGGGACCTATTAAAGTATGTTCTTTCTATATAAATAATACTTTTTTTCTATTTTGTCGGGGGGGGGGGGGGGCATCGGCATCGTGTAATATCAGAATAACAACGGGTTAAGCATAGAAATGACCACAGTAAGTGGTTTCCCTTAAAGTTTATCATTCATATTTTGTGTGTAGTTTACAATCCACGACTAAGATGAAGAGCCGGCTAGCCAGACTCATTCTGTTGATTGTTGCCACAATTTTTGTTTCTCCTGAATACAACAAATGTTTTGTTTTATTCTTCAAACTTTGTTATAATTTCTCTAGGCACGAACCTCTAGGCAAAGATTCTTTTAAATTACACCATCTGTTTGCTTCAGATTTTACAATGGACAAGAAAAGTTCTGGGCAAAAGTTTGTTTGTGGGGATGATGAAGCAGACGTTTTACGGACATTTTGTGGCGGGGCAGGACCAGGATGAGATCAAACCTCTGGTGATGAGGAACCGACAGTTTGGGGTCAAGTCCATCCTGGACTACAGCGCCGAGGAGGATTTGTCGAGTGAGAAGGCTGTACAGGCTGAGATGGAGTAAGTGGCTGGTGTAAGGGGGAGTAAGTGGTTGGTGTAAGGGGAGTAACTGGTTGGTTTAAGGGGGAGTAACTGGTTGGTGTAAGGGGAGTAAGTGGTTGGTGTTAGGGGAGTAAGTGGTTGGTGTAAGGGGAGTAAGTGGTTGGTGTAAGGGGAGTAAGTGGCTGATGTAAGGGGAGTAAGTGGTTGGTGTAAGGGGGAGTAACTGGTTGGTGTAAGTGGTTGGTGTAAGGGGGAGTAAGTGGCTGGTGGAAGGGGAGTAAGTGGTTGGTGTAAGGGGGAGTAACTGGTTGGTGTAAGGGGAGTAAGTGGTTGGTGTAAGGGGGAATAACTGGTTGGTGTAAGGGGGAGTAACTGGCTGGTGTAAGGGGGAGTAAGTGGTTGGTGTAAGGGGGAGTAACTGGTTGGTGTAAGGGGGAGTAACTGGTTGGTGTAAGGGGAGTAAGTGGTTGGTGTAAGGGGGAGTAACTGGTTGGTGTAAGGGGGAGTAACTGGTTGGTGTAAGGGGAGTAAGTGGTTGGTGTAAGGGGAGTAAGTGGCTGATGTAAGGGGAGTAAGTGGTTGGTGTAAGGGGAGTAAGTGGTTGGTGTAAGGGGGAGTAACTGGTTGGTGGAAGGGGAGTAAGAGGTTGGTGTAAGGGGGAGTAACTGGTTGGTGTAAGGGGAGTAAGTGGTTGGTGTAAGGGGGAGTAATTGGTTGGTGTAAGGGGGAGTAAGTGGTTGGTGTAAGGGGGAGTAACTGGTTGGTGTAAGGGGGAGTAACTGGCTGGTGTAAGGGGGAGTAACTGGTTGGTGTAAGGGGGAGTAAGTGGTTGGTGTAAGGGGGAGTAAGTGGTTGGTGTAAGGGGAGTAAGTGGCTGATGTAAGGGGAGTAAGTGGCTGATGTAAGGGGAGTAAGTGGTTGGTGTAAGGGGAGTAAGTGGTTGGTGTAAGGGGAGTAAGTGGCTGATGTAAGGGGAGTAAGTGGCTGGTGTAAGGGGGAGTAACTGGTTGGTGTAAGGGGAGTAAGTGGTTGGTGTAAGGGGGAGTAAGTGGCTGGTGGAAGGGGAGTAAGTGGCTGGTGGAAGGGGAGTAAGTGGTTGGTGTAAGAAGGAGTAACTGGTTGGTGTAAGGGGAGTAACTGGTTGGTGTAAGGGGGAGTAACTGGTTGGTGTAAGGGGGAGTAAGTGGCTGGTGTAAGGGGGAGTAAGTGGCTGGTGTAAGGGAAGTAAGTGGCTGGTGTAAGGGGAGTGAGTGGCTGATGTAAGGGGAGTAAGTGGCTGATGTAAGGGGAGTGAGTGGTTGGTGTAAGGGGAGTAAGTGGCTGGTGTAAGGGGAGTAAGTGGCTGGTGTAAGGGGAGTAAGTGGCTGATGTAAGGGGAGTGAGTGGCTGATGTAAGGGGAGTGAGTGGCTGATGTAAGGGGGAGTGAGTGGCTGGTGTAAGGGGGAGTGAGTGGCTGGTGTAAGGGGAGTAACTGGTTAGTGTAAGGCGGAGTAACTGGTTGGTGTAGGGGAACTATGCACACATATGCCATGCACTGCCATAAGTCATAGGCTTCAAGAATACCGGTTGGGCTGAAGTCAGACACAGAAGATACCCAACCAGGTAACTCCACCCACCCTCTGGGACCCTTCAGGTGCTGGGACCCCAGCCACTTCAGTGTAACCAACATTAAGGAACAACTGTTAAATGTTTCCTAATGAGATCCATTATGTTTGTTTACAGAGGCTGTTTGAACTAAGTTATCAGTTAAATGTTTCCTAATGAGGTCCATTATGTTTGTTTACAGAGGCTGTTTGCCACAGAGTAATGAAGTGGAGAACCCGTGTAAGTTTCTATAAATAGCACAGTGTTTATTGTATTATTAATGTGCATTTCAATGTTGTTCCTTAAATATTAGTTAGCAAGTATTACAACTTTAAGTACAAAGATTCATTTGTCTATTGTTTTATTACCGGGAAAATCTTCAAGGCATTTTGAAATAAGTTCACACTTACAATATAATCAGTAATGGCTTCATCAAGGTATAGTATTTTATAAATCAATTTACATTGTATTAATCAGAATGACAATTAGGCAAAGCTGTCTAATGAATATATGATTAAAAAAATATCTTCTGTCTTTAAACCCCTTTATAAACTTGCTGAGTGTTGTATGTTTGATGTAGTGGAAGAAAGCAGGTTCAGGGCCCATGAGGAGTTTGGAGACAGGAGAGAAAAGGTGACGAGTGCCAGAACTTACTTCTATGAAGGGGAGGAACAGTGCGACAAGAACATGCAGATTTTCCTTAACTGTATTGACGCAGTGTCACGTAAGAATCTTATATATTTTTCCCACTTTATGTAGCCTTAACAAATGTTTACCATAAACATTAGCTAAACACAGTTTTTTCCTTTTAGATGCAACAGAAAAATCTGGCTTTGCTGCAATCAAACTTACTGCTTTAGGAAAACCAGCTCTGTTGGTAAATCATTTTACTTGCTCAGTTTATTATCAGTACAATTATAAAATATTTGACTGTTCAAAATGGCATATAAAATAGTTACAGACTTGTAGCAACATTTATCTATCATTGATTGTCTTTTAATATTTGGTAGCTGCCACTGTTTTTCTTACATTTATTTTGTTCATCAGCTTCAGATGTCTGAGGTGCTGACTACAGTCAAACATTTCTTCAAATTACTCCACACGACCCAGGGGCAGATTGATAAAGATACATTACGCTTTGGACTGGAAGATTTTGACAACAGGCTCAGAGAGATTGGGGTTCAGCTAAAAGACGGAAACAAAAGAAACTGGGTTTCAGTTAAAGATATATCAGTAGCAGGGTTAGTACACTTGGGTTTCAGTCCACTATATTCATGTCAATGTACAGGCCAGTTGGCTCAACATAATTTTGTAACGAATATAGTGAGCATTAAAAGGTGTGAAATACAATAGTCTTAGCTGTATATTAAAATAAAGAATAAACCAATTTTAAAAATCCAGCTTAATTTTGGCATTACAAGAAGTGAATCGTTGTTTAGTGTTGCATTGAATTTGGTAGAAAATAGTTCATTGTGTTAATTTTGGATTGGATATGAGTTTTGTCTAACTTAGTTTACCAGTTTAGAGATGGGCTGTACTTGGGTGTATCAAAATAATAAATGGCTAAAAATAAAATGAAGAGTCAATGCTATAATCCAGTTTTATCAAAAATTACCCAATAATGATCTCTAATTACCATTACTAAAAAAAATCAAATAAGTTCTCTTGGGGAAGGGGTGGGAAGAAAAGTTCCAGAGCTCCTTTTTTATTCAATTGAATTTTTCTTTCAGACATGAGATAGACTTGCTGGACTGGGACAACCTTTTGGAAATCAACAGGTCCCTCTCTAAACTTCTAGTTGTACCAAATTTAAAGGTAAGCAAAATTGTTTGGTTTTTTGTTAGAAAAATAGTTGCAAAGTAAAGCAACTCTAATATTAAATTGCATAGTTCTGTCCCTTATGTGACTTGTTTTTTCACCCAACCACAGACTGGTAAACTTCAGCCTTTAGTTGAGAGAATTACAGAAGAGGAAGAATATCAGATGAAGGGTATGCTCAGGAGGATCAACACACTAGCAAAGGTGAGAAGTTGGGTTCATGCAAACTTTCCCTGTAAGACGTAAATATCACAGATATTCTGGGTTTTTTAAAACTCATTACAGTTTGTATGTAAACATGATTTTACTCCTCTTGCATCTAGACTAAAAAAACAGCACATTTTTTTAATCACGCAACATTTAAAAAAAATAGCTACTTATGTTAAAAACATAAATCAAAAGCATCAAACAGGAAAAAGGTCTAGGCTTATCAAGTATGGGGTTCAACAGCTTAACAATGTACTAACAGTAAAAAAAATAACTTAAATAATCCTAGACAAACCTAAACAAAATGCAACTTCTACATTTTTGAAAAACATTATTTAAAATGCTAAAAAAGAAATACAACGTAGTTACTGGAGCTTCTTTCTTGTCTTGTTCCTTATCACTGGTTAGTTATAAATAAATCCATATTAAACAGCAGAGACATATAAATTTGTTTTAATTTCACTAATTATATTGCCAGTAATTTAGAAAAAAAAACGTAACTTATAAAGCGTCGTAGAAAAAGAGCAGCTAAAGAAACAAGAAACTAATGAAAATAAAACTAATTAACTCCCTCTTCTGGCGGTAACTTTAAAATCTCTTTACCAGCACGACTTGTTTTACTATGCATAATTAAATGTACTATACATAGTTTGGGCGCGAATACGGACATATCTGACTGTACCACTAAAGAAAATTCTCAGTGATAGTTAATATGAGATTAAAAAAAAATTATTTTTAATTGTCGTTTAAACCTTGAGTAGCTGCCAGTGTTTTTTTCAGGCACCTCCTCTTTCTTTCCCCCCCCCCCCCCCCCCACCCCACCCCACCCTCCAGAGCAAAATACCTGAAATAAGTTTGCCTAAGTTTGAATGTAGTTGTGATTTCTCTCTAGTACGCCAAGGAAAAAGACGTCAGGGTTATGATTGATGCTGAACAAAGCTACTTCCAGCCTGCCATCAGGAGGTTAACTGTTGAGATGATGAGGAAGTTTAACAAAGACAGAAGTGTCATCTTCAACACCTACCAAGCTTATACTAAGGTAAGTTACAATAGTGGGGATACAATTGAGTCCATTCTATTAGCTTTAAAACTTCCATTGATGCATGTGCTATATTTTTTTTTAATCTTTAAAACTTTTTCAACAGGAAGCCTATAATGACATTTTGGTGGATCTAGACTTAGCTAGACGAGAGGACTTTTATTTTGGTGCCAAACTAGTCAGAGGAGCTTATATGGAGCAGGTCATTAGTGCTTGTTTGAAAATTATAGTAACTTTGTTTTACTAAGGTACTCTCATTTCAACTTTGAAATCAATTCTTATTTTACTAAAAAATATTGTCAAATGTTTGCAGGAGCGTGAGCGAGCTAGTTTGGTGGGTTATGAAGATCCAATCAATCCATCGTATGAGGCGACCACACAGATGATGCACAGCATAGTTGAAGAGGTCATGAGACAGATCCATCTACGTCCTGTTGGCAAGATTGCTGTCATGATTGCTAGTCACAATGAAGACACAGTCCGATACACAATACAAAAGTATATAGTATATTTTTTTTACTTGAATATTTTGATAGACCTTTTTAAAAATTGACCATTTGTTATTTTTTAAATTAACCATAACAATTTGACTTGTCAAACTACCACATAAACTTTTTTTACCTTCAGGATGAAAGAATATGGTGTTGGACCAGGTGATCGGCTGATTTGTTTTGGGCAACTTTTTGGCATGTGTGACCAGATTAGTTTCCCTCTTGGTAAATATTGTTCCAGTATTAGCTTCAGTAATGTAGAGGAAACAAATTTGATTAAAGATCTGCCAGTATAGCTGATACATAAATGAGCTACACAATTATTATCTTTTAATTTTATTTAAATTTAAATAATGTTCAGGTATTAAACTGTCATGGTATAAAATAGAAAAATCTTATATTTATATAAAAGAAAGTTTTTAGGCATTTCCTGTTGAATTTCCACCTGTCTTAACATTTATATAATCTGTATTTTAAAAATGTTGACTCCTGTTCTGTAGGTCAAGCTGGCTACTCGGTTTATAAATATGTTCCATTTGGGCCTGTGGAAGAAGTGCTTCCTTATTTGTCACGTAGAGCTATGGAAAACCGTGGTGTGCTGGCTAAAGTCAAGAAAGAGAAAAGGTTGTTGCGCAAGGAAATCATTCGAAGAATTCTTGCTGGCCAGATGTTTTACAAGCCTACTTAATTCAGCCACTAGTAACAATTTTACTGTACAAAACTAATTCTTTCTTGAAAATTTTATTATTTACAATTGAAATCTCATAATATATACTAATCTCATTTTAAAGTTTTTGTCAATTTAAATTTGTTTCTGTAAATCTGTTCATAAACTAAAAACAATTATTGTCCATTTAATTTCTGCATTTTCTACCAAATGATTATCTTTCACTATCTCAGTTTAGTCAAATTCCTTTTTTATGTAATCACTTTGAATTCTCAAAGCATTTTAATATGCTATCTTCTAATGCTAGTCTATAACACACTTTTTTATGTAATCACTTTGAATTCTCAAAGCATTTTAATATGCTGTCTTCTAATGCTAGTCTATAATACTTTATTTATAATGCTAAACTCTAAGTCACTTTATTTCTGCTAGAGTTGAAAAAAAATTTGTATTGGTATGCTATCGTCATCAGACGCCTGCTTTTTTTTCTCAGTGTGAACTCAGCTGATCTCAGTCATGTGATCTGTTTCAACTTTTGGATTTTACCCAGAATTCTTAATCAAAGTTTTTTTATATGAAATTCTTATGTGAAGCAGATCTTTTATCTGTGTAATATTTTCTTATATCAAACACAAATATTCCCACTATAATTTTATCAATAATCAAAAAATTTTGTGATTGATCTAGCTGTACATTTATATTTCTCATGTCTAAAATTATTCAACATAAATTGTTTTTAAATAAATAAATACCACTTATATTAAAAAGGGTTTAAATTTTAAAATCTAATTTACGCAATGATCAGTATTAAGGCTGTTTGCTAACCAAAAACCAATTTTATAAATCAAATTTTCAAAAACAAGTTAACAAAAATACTCAGTTGTTTTTTTTTTGGCTATATTTTTTGTTTTGATTAGAAAAAAAGAAATAAAAATGCTTAGTTAAAAATATATTTAAATGTATTAAGTGAACTGAGGTTAAAGCTAAGCTTTGCACTAATATATTTTTAAAGATCAGCAACAGGAGTAATGTTGGTCTGTAAACAAAAAAAAAAAGAACCTAAAATAGTTATTGAATCAACAGAAACATGTTATTGGAAATATCTGTGTTAAAATACTTTTAGCAAATATGGCATTATCAAGGTTAGAATCTTTGAGAAGTGTGATTACACCTAGCACTGTAGCAATGAACTTGTTTTGTTCAGTGATATTTTCATGATGGCAGTTTACAAATAATTGGTGACCCGTCAAAAGAGCGCACGACAAAAGAGCTGTTATCTAATGATTAGTCAGATAAAATCTACATACATCATTTTCAAAGCATGACCGAATATTTCTTGAGATAGTTGGATGCTGCCATTTGTTTTGCATGTCAGAAATTGTAATCCTCATGAGTCTTGTTTTGGATTTTATGAATTTATCAACACATTAAATTTTTACTTTGTAAATTCTTTTTCAAAATGTGTAAAAATGAAAACAAATTTACCAGTGAAAAAGTGTGATAATTAGCATTGAGCTAATAAATTTTCCACTTATTTTTTTTTATTCAAAATTTTTAAAAATCTAAGATACCCTGAAAAGTGTAAGTTACTTGATAATTCTATCATAATACAGAAAAAAAACTAAGCTTAACTTGTTTTGTGGTAGTTTATACAAAATATTTACTTGAGATTATTTGTATATATCATATGTGTAAAGTTAAAACTGTTTTGTTTACTCCATTGCTCAATGAATCCTCATTATAAACACTTGTACTCGTCTGATACTCAAGAACTTGTAGCTCTACACACTTTTTGCTGGGCGAAGGGAGATACATTTGTGTCATTTAGTACACTTGTCTTTCAATTGCTATAAAGTACATTTCTCTGGTTATTGCATTTCTAAAGTTATTATTCTATTATTACTTATCATCACAATAACACCTTTTTTTAAAAAAAAATCTGTGGTAGGCAAGATAATCATTTTTGTGATGTTTAGTTCCATTAAAGATGATTTAGCCTTTCAATGATTTGACTTTTAAAATAAATAAATGAATTTTTAAAAATGTATGAAACCTATGGTGGATGGTACTATACAAGTTGAATCAATTTCTGATGTATTGCACATATTTTGGATCATGACATGTTACCTTATGTGAAGAATCTCAACATGATATTAGTTCTATAAATAATCCTTGCACATAATATTTCTGCTGTTAACTTTTATTTGATCAGCATTTAGCTCTGTGGCAGTTACTCAGTCAACCGTTTTATTGATTAGCACTAGCTATTTGACACCTAGTTAGTATAAAACATCCAGTGGAATACAAAAAGTGTGAGTTTTATGTGATGTAGCTTTCTGTTTCTACATGATTGCTATTGTTAACACAATGTTGGCATACAATTTTAGAAAAGGTTTTATATATGTATATGATTGATTACTATACAAATAAAATTTTCTTTTAAACCTAGAGCTTATAGAGCAGCACATAACATTTATAACACAAGGTTTTTCCCAATAAACTAAAGAAATATCTATTCAACTTGTTTTGATTTATTGATTTTTATATTTATAAAAATACTTAACTTGATCAAAACTTGATCGTATCTCTTTGACAATAGTGGTCAGTATGGCTGATGAAGTAGAGTTCATCTATTTCTGTATCTCACTAACCTTAAGTTCACTACATTAACCACATATCACTAACCTTAACCTCAACCCATTAACCACATCTCACTAACCTTAACTTCACTACACATCTCACTAACCTTCACTTCACTACATTAACCACATCTCACTAACCTTAACCTCAGCCCATTAACCACATCTCACTAACCTTAACCTCAGCCCATTAACCACATCTCACTAACCTTAACCTCATCACATTAACCACATCTCACTAACCTTAAACACACCACATCTCACTAACCTTACCTCACTATATTAACCACATCTCACTAACCTTAACCTAACTACATTAACCACATCTCACTAACTTTAAACACACCACATTAACCACATCTCACTAACCTTACCTCACTATATTAACCACATCTCACTAACCTTAACCTCACCACATTAACCACATCTCACTAACCTTAACCTCACTACATTAACCACATCTCACTAACCTTCACTTCACTACATTAACCACATCTCACTAACCTTAACCTCACCACATTAACCACATCTCACTAACCTTCACTAACCTTAACCTCACCACATTAACCACATCTCACTAACCTTAACCTCACCACATTAACCACATCTCAATAACCTTAACCTCACTACATTAACCACATCTCACTAACCTTAACCTCACCACATTAACCACATCTCACTAACCTTAACCTCACTACATTAACCACATCTAACTAACCTTCACTTCACTACATTAACCACATCTCACTAACCTTAACCTCAGCCCATTAACCACATCTCACTAACCTTAACCTCACCACATTAACCACATCTCACTAACCTTAACCTCACTACATTAACCACATCCCACTAACTTTAAACACACCACATTAACCACATCTCACTAACCTTGCCTCACTATATTAACCACATCTCACTAACCTTAACCTCACCACATTAACCACATCTCACTAACCTTAACCTCACTACATTAACCACATCTCACTAACCTTAACCAAATCTCACTAACCTTAACCTCACTACATTAACCACACACTTGAGGTGGATAACTAACCAAATGTTGAGAGTAATACAATCTGGCATTGTAACTTTCTGATTTCAAGGTACAGAAAAACCTCTACTAAATAACTGAGTAGTCAAGCTCCCCTTAGCTTAATCAGATTTTAATGACTAATTGAATGTTCATTGCCCTCAAGAAGAGGGTATCTGGAAAATTTGAATTAAATCGCTGCATTAGATGTTGGTCGAAATTAAGTTACAAGAATTACCACAAACAAGCATATCTTGGGGAGTATATAGAAGCTTGTAAAAAGACACTTTTTTGTAAATATTTTTGTAATTTTTATTATTATAATGAAACAACAAAAAAGAGAAAAAAAAATTAGCAAAATGACTTAACCAAAATAATAAAATCATTATGAACATTACTTAATGTTTTATGATATTTACAAAAAAAAACTTCAATTACTGATTTATTACAAAATGTAAAAAGTAGTTTGAATACATATCCAAAAAATTATTTAATTTAGTGCTTTAAAATTTCATTTGCATAAAACTAAAGGAAACTATATTTTACTAAGTATGAATGATGTATGAAAACTGTTCTGTTCACAAAATAAAACACATAAATTTTAAACCTGTAACAGAATTTGATATTAATATTGTATACAATAAAATATAATTTAAATCAAATATTGTATACAATGAAAAATATTTATAAATTAAATTATCATATACAGATCTATTATTTTTAAAAATCTCCAATCTAATAGTTCTTCAGCCACAATTCTAGCTGATGACTACATATGAGGTTTAATTTTACATGTCATGTAATGTCAAAACATGGAGACTCAATTTTTACAAATTAGATTTACTCAGAAGTATCACATTTAAAGTAAAACAAAAAGCTAAAGTAATGAAGAATCTACTTGTAATATCACACAGTGCAGCCACGCCCCCCTATTTGATATCACACATTGCAACCACGCCCCCCCTATTTGATATCACACAGTGCAGCCACACCCCTTTATTTGATATTACACAGTGTAGCCACACCCCTCTATTTGATATCACACAGTGCAGCCACACCCCTTTATTTGATATTACACAGTGTAGCCACACCCCTCTATTTGATATCACACAGTACAGCCACACCCCTCTATTTGATATCACACAGTACAGCCACGCCCCTTTATTTGATATCACACAGTGTAGCCACGCCCCTCTATTTGATATCACACAGTGTAGCCACACCCCTCTATTTGATATCACAGAGTAGCCACACCCCTCTATTTGATGTCACACAGTGTAGCCACACCCCCCTATTTGATGTCACACAGTGCAGCCACGCCCCTCTATTTGATATCACACAGTGTAGCCACACCCCTCTCTTTGATATCACACAGTGCAGCCACGCCCCTCTATTTGATATCACACAGTGCAGCCACGCCCCTCTATTTGATATCACACAGTGCAGCCACGCCCCTCTATTTGATATCACACAGTGCAGCCAGGCCCCTCTATTTGATATCACACAGTGCAGCCACGCCCCTCTATTTGATATCACACAGTGCAGCCACGCCCCTCTATTTGATATCACACAGTGCAGCCAGGCCCCTCTATTTTATATCACACAGTGCAGCCACGCCCCTCAAGATCCAATGTTCTGGGCTGTGAGTGGTCTTCATTAAAACAACTGTAACAAATGTCAGGTCCGTCCTGCAGGGTTTTTTGTAGACTGGACACTGGTACAGCTTCAGGTCCTGTTGGTGACAGTCAAATCAGGTTTTGTTTAGCAGAGCAATCAATTTCTTAACATTGGTATTGTTTTTTTTTTAATTTAAAAATTGATCAATGTTTTAATGTAGTAAAAAAAACTGTCTGAATTCACAAACTGGTTATCAATGTTTTTATGTAGTTAAAGTGTCTGAAAACAGGAAAATGATTCACTTACTTTTGGTGCTGTAGAATTAACAGCATACATATGAATGACTGGCAGAGTAACAAATAGGACTTTAGGATTGGATTCAGCCAATTTATTGTTTCTTCTGTCCCACTGAGCACCTTCCAAGTACAAACCATATACATACACTCCTTCCTGTAAACAAATATGGTAGTTTATTATCTCTATTTTAAGTTATCTATTATCTGTTATCTATTATATTTCTCTTCACATCTTACAACCAAGTAGTAGATACATCTTTATTTGATTGAAATTATCTTTATTAATATTCCATAAATAATGGATTAATAATTTAATTTTTGTCTTTTTGTTATCATGTTTAAATTTTGTAAAGAGACAGAGATGAGTTTAAATAAATTATGTTCAAATCTCAGTTAAGTTTACAGGTCAGGATACAAAAACCAAAGCTTGCATGTAAACATATTTATGCACATATTTGGTTTTACATCATAAATATTTTCTTTGTGTAAGGTAATAATACAGTGTATTATACAGTACAGACTACCAATAATACAGTGATATATTCAGTACAGACTACCAATAATACAGTGTATTATACAGTACAGACTACCAATAATAGTGATATATTAAGTACAGACTAACAATAATACAGTGATATATTTGATACAAATAACAATAATACAGTGATATATTCAGTACAGACTACCACTATTGAACTTACAGGAGGGGCCACATTGATGTCATCTTTAAAGTATTTGGTGATATCGTTGTGTAAGGTGACTGTATCTAAAGCCCAACCTTTGTGTGCTCTGGTTACTTCTTGTCTCATAGCAGTCAAAAATCCTGAGAGAAATTTTACTCTTTAAAAAGGTGTAAAAAAATGTAGACTATGTTGAGCTTTAAAAACAATTTTTTGGCTAGAATATTTTTTTGTTTACAATTTCTTCATATTTCTTACTCTTCTCCATTCTTAATTCTAGTGTTGGGAGGGATTTTGTACAACACAAGTATTATTAGTCAAATTGTTATGTGTTGTATAGGCCATTGACTCCTATTTCAGCCTGCTTTTCTTTTTGGATTTGATTCCATAGTCTTTGTCCAACCATGAACAAAAATGTGTTAATTGAATCACAGGCATTCAAATAACAATACAAAATAAAACTTTTTAAACATTAGGGACCCATCTTCCAGTAAAAATAAGCCAGCAACCTTGTGGGTTAAAGAAACCAGTCATCCAGAAAGTGACCGGCCTCCCTTGGTAGATCCAGGTAGAAAATTGTTGATTCCGTTCTAGCAGTTCAGTGTACCAGAAGCCTATGGTAGAGCTCTGCCAAGAGTACCTGATCCACTGTTTGGGTACGCGAGCATCAAACAAATTGTCCAGGGCATCCCTCAAATTCTGTAAAACAATCAGTTCACATTTTCCAGTCAAAAAAAGGTAATTACATTGACTTAACTATTTTAATTTACTTGGACCTAGCTGTCTGTTTTACATGGACCTAGCTGTCTGTTTTACATGAACCTAGCTGTTTGTTTTACATGGAACTAGCTGTCTGTTTTACATGGACCTAGCTGTCTGTTTTACATGGACCTAGCTGTCTGTTTTACATGGACCTAGCTGTCTGTTTTACAAGGACCTAGCTGTCTGTTTTACATGGACCTCGCTGTCTGTTTTACGTGGACCTTGCTGGGTTTTTTTACATTGACTTAACTACTTTGGTTTACATGGACCTAGCAATCTGCTTGGTCCATATTAATTATTTACACAAACAAGCTGAGCTGTAAAGACATATTTGACCTCGCTCATTATAATAGTCCCATCAATAGCCAGCTTAAGGTCAGTCAAGGTGTTGCGTACAAGGGTAATCACTCTCTGCATCCTGTCAATCTCCTGGCGTAGGAATATATTCAGTGGCTGTAAGATGCCCATTTTCTTGAGCTGTGCTTTGACCTGTTGATCATAAAGACGACATTTAGAATGTAACTTAAATCCCAGGGTATGTAGTTGGGTGGTAATTCACATCACAGGGTATACGGTCATGTGGTAACTCAAATCACAGGGTATACAGTCAGGTAATAACTCACATCCCAGGGTATATAGTCAGGTGGTAATTTGGACAACATTTCCTCAGCCAAATTGTAAACAACAGATTCTCTTGACTCTCCTGATCCTCCACTGGAATCTTTTGGTTGCATGCTCATAATGGTGTCCAAAATGTTTTTAGCTGTGTTGGTCTGGTACCTGAATTAGGAAAGTTGATGTTTTTAGCTGTGTTGGTCTGGTACCTGAATTAGGAAAGTTGATGTTTTTAGCTGTGTTGGTCTGGTACCTGAATTAAGAAAGTTGATGTTTTTAGCTGTGTTGATCAGTTAAAAGACAAGTGTCCAGCCATGAAGCAGTGAACTAAAGACAGAGAGATCAACAACTTACGTGATATCAGCATTAGGATGAAGTCCTAGAGCCTCGGGTGAATCCACTGGTGGCAGAGCTTCTATGAACTCCATTATTTCAATCAATGAACGAGTTCTTGCAATTTTGTAGTTTTTATAAAATTGAAAACTATCATTAAACATAAACTCTCCAAACCAAACCTAATGAAAACACAAGAAAGGGACAAGTTACCAAAAGTGCTCTGATGGTCAAAAAATTATGTTTTAATAGAGTTAACCTTCTAAAACTTGTAGATGTTATAAATCTTCCATAAATGACATCACACTGGTGGGGGGGAGGGGTCTGTAATTTTGTAGGTGGGGTTCGATAGTGTGATGTCACTTTTGCATTTAAAAAAAGTAATGTTAGAAATGGAATTTTAGCTCATTGTTCCTGTTTTAGAAATCTGTTTTAATAAACTGTAATAGAAATTGTTTAAAATAATCTATGTTTTAAAAATCGATGTTTAAAAAAAAAATGCAGCTGTGTTGTAGGCTGAGATATGATCATTTTTTGGTGAGGTCTGGCTTTTTGTGATGAAAAGCATTTTTAAAAAAATTAGATTTTCTAGATAGTTCAAAGTGTTGTTAGCTAATTTATAAGCATATTTGATATTGTACACATGAATAATCTAAATGAAATAACCTTTGCAAATGTATTCAACAAACGTTTGTCAAAATCATCTGTGACTCTCCCACCATACTGGACTTCACCAATCATGTAGCGCACAGTTGGCCAGGAGATGCCCTGAAACAATTTTTTTATTTGTTTCAATCATCACTCTCATTAGAATATCATCAATTTTGTTTCATTATCATTCTCATTGGAATATCATCAATTTTGTTTCATTTCAATCATTACTCTCATTGGAATATCATCAATTTTATTTCATGAAAGTGCCAAAAATGTCAACATTACACTAGACTTTATATTTACCCTCTTCAGATCCATGTCATCCAAATGGTTCTGTATAAACTGAACACTTGCACCCCAGTCAGAAGAATTAAACTCGTAAGGTATATTCCAACCAAGTGGACCATATTTACGTCTTTCCTAAGCAAGAAGGATTATGTAGTAGGCTAGTATTGTGCTAGTATTTTTACAAGAAAATAAATACTTTTAAATTAAGACTTTGTGAAAACATCACAGATTCTACCATTTTAAATATTATTATTAAATAAAGTGTAATTTCATTTCATATTGTTAGCTTTTTTAAAAGATTGAACGAAACTTGAATGCATGAACTTCCCAACTTCATAAAATATTAGATAGAACTATGTATCAAGTATGTAATGACATCAGTGTACCTGGACTACTGTGTGTAGGAATGAGACAGTGTACAGAAGGGGGTTCCACTGAGGCAAGTTAAAAATGTCAATAAATTCCTGAGTCAGAGATGAGTACGTCCTCTTTAGTCCAGCCTTGATGCCCTGTGGTGGGTCATTTGTAAACTTGATGGCAATCTGCATACAAAGTAACACTCATGTAATATTACTTCAAACATAGTTCATTTAGTTCTCTACATGCGACAATTGTAGGCTCACATACATTTTACAAGTTACAAAATTATTCCTAAGAAATTGTTACATGTAAAAGGTTAATAGTAAAAATTGTTACTTGTATAATGTTATTTGTAAAAAAAGTTATTTCTAAAAATTGTTACTTGTAAAAGGTTACCTGTAAAAAGTTACCTGTAAAAATTGTTACTTGTTTAAGGTTATTTGTAAAAAATGTTATTTGTAAAGGTTACTTGTAAAAAGTTACTAGTAAAAAATTTTACTTGTAAAAGGTTACTTGTAAAAAGTTACTAGTAAAAAATTTTACTTGTAAAAGGTTACTTGTAAAAAGTTACTAGTAAAAATTGTTACTTGTAATAATCCAATAGAAAAAGAGTTGTGGACTTCAGATGTGATCCACAAACGGAAATTGTTGTGAACCCTCTCTGACTCCAGCACGGTAGTTAAAACTTCTTCCAGGTACATCAAACACAGGTGGCAGTTCTGTAGCAGAGCCCATCCACCCTGGTGACAAAGTGTAGTGCATTATGCCACTGAGCCCATTCATAGTCAAATGACCAGACAAACTGCTTTTAAAATTTGAAACCAGGGGAAATAAAACAACATTGTGTACAGTCTTTTTGATTGTCCCTCCTACATATGACTGCAGTCAAAAACAAATGTGACCATTATTAAAATAATACAAATAATAAAGAAATACAATCTCAACAAATTAGAAGACTCAGCTGAATGGCTTACTTGCTCCATAAATCGTGCTATTAGTTTTCTAGCATGAACTTCCTGACCTTGACCCATTGAGACTGCATGGAATGCTGGGAATATTCACAAACAGTTAAACACAATTTAATGTTTAACAAGGGTGATACTTGGGGCTGGTCATGTTGTGATACTTGGGGCTGGTCATGTTGTGATACATGGGGCTGGTCATGTTGTGATACTTGGGGCTGGTCATGTTGTGATACTTGGAGCTGGTCATGTTGTGATACTTGGGGCTGGTCATGTTGTGATACTTGGGGCTGGTCATGTTGTGATACTTGGGGCTGGTCATGTTGTGATACTTGGGGCTGGTCATGTTGTGATACTTGGGGCTGGTCATGTTGTGATACTTGGGGCTGGTCATGTTGTGATACTTGGGGCTGGTCATGTTGTGATACTTGGGGCTGGTCATGTTGTGATACTTGGGGCTGGTCATGTTGTGATACTTGGAGCTGGTCATGTTGTGATACTTGGGGCTGGTCATGTTGTGATACTTGGGGCTGGTCATGTTGTGATACTTGGGGCTGGTCATGTTGTGATACTTGGGGCTGGTCATGTTGTGATACTTGGGGCTGGTCATGTTGTGATACTTGGGGCTGGTCATGTTGTGATACTTGGGGCTGGTCATGTTGTGATACTTGGGGCTGGTCATGTTGTGATACTTGGGGCTGGTCATGTTGTGATACTTGGAGCTGGTCATGTTGTGATACTTGGGGCTGGTCATGTTGTGATACTTGGGGCTGGTCATGTTGTGATACTTGGGGCTGGTCATGTTGTGATACTTGGGGCTGGTCATGTGGGGCTGGTCATGTTGTGATACTTGGGGCTGGTCATGTTGTGATATTTGGGGCTGGTCATGTGGGGCTGGTCATGTTGTGATACTTGGGGCTGGTCATATGGGGCTGGTCATGTTGTGATACTTGGGGCTGGTCATGTGGGGCTGGTCATGTTGTGATACTTGGGGCTGGTCATGTTGTGATACTTGGGGCTGGTCATGTTGTGATACTTGGGGCTGGTCATGTTGTGATACTTGGGGCTGGTCATGTTGTGATACTTGGGGCTGGTCATGTTGTGATACTTGGAGCTGGTCATGTTGTGATACTTGGGGCTGGTCATGTCGTGATACTTGGGGCTGGTCATGTTGTGATACTTGGGGCTGGTCATGTTGTGATACTTGGGGCTGGTCATGTGGGGCTGGTCATGTTGTGATACTTGGGGCTGGTCATGTTGTGATACTTGGGGCTGGTCATGTGGGGCTGGTCATGTTGTGATACTTGGGGCTGGTCATATGGGGCTGGTCATGTTGTGATACTTGGGGCTGGTCATGTGGGGCTGGTCATGTTGTGATACTTGGGGCTGGTCATGTTGTGATACTTGGGGCTGGTCATGTTGTGATACTTGGGGCTGGTCATGTTGTGATACTTGGGGCTGGTCATGTTGTGATACTTGGGGCTAGTCATGTTGTGATACTTGGGGCTGGTCATGTGGGGCTGGTCATGTTGTGATACTTGGGGCTGGTCATGTTGTGATACTTGGGGCTGGTCATGTTGTGATACTTGGGGCTGGTCATGTTGTGATACTTGGGGTTGGTCATGTTGTGATACTTGGGGCTGGTCATGTTGTGATACTTGGGCTGGTCATGTTGTGATACTTGGGGCTGGTCATGTTGTGATACTTGGGGCTGGTCATGTTGTGATACTTGGGGCTGGTCATGTTGTGATACTTGGGGCTGGTCATGTTGTGATACTTGGGGCTGGTCATGTGGGGCTGGTCATGTTGTGATACTTGGGGCTGGTCATGTTGTGATACTTGGGGCTGGTCATGTTGTGATACTTGGGGCTGGTCATATGGGGCTGGTCATGTTGTGATACTTGGGGCTGGTCATGTTGTGATACTTGGGGCTGGTCATGTTGTGATACTTGGGGCTGGTCATGTTGTGATACTTGGGGCTGGTCATGTTGTGATACTTGGGGCTGGTCATGTTGTGATACTTGGGGCTGGTCATATGGGGCTGGTCATGTTGTGATACTTGGGGCTGGTCATGTTGTGATACTTGGGGCTGGTCATGTTGTGATACTTGGGGTTGGTCATGTTGTGATACTTGGGGCTGGTCATGTTGTGATACTTGGGGCTGGTCATGTTGTGATACTTGGGGCTGGTCATGTTGTGATACTTGGGGCTGGTCATGTTGTGATACTTGGGGCTGGTCATGTTGTGATACTTGGGGCTGGTCATGTTGTGATACTTGGGGCTGGTCATGTGATACATACCTATCTCTAACCTCTTGGCTTGGATCTCAATTTCATTGGTTGGATCTGACCCCATAGAGAGCAGTGCAACCAGAGGGATCTGTGGGCTGCTCTCTTCAAACATCTTCTCCAGGTCCAGGATCAGAGACTCTGTGTACTTGCTGCCCAGAGAGTTGGACACGTACGCCCTGGCTTCTACAGATGTACGGTCTGGACAAAAGGACCTGCAAGTCAATTACAAATGTGTAGACTCACCTACCCTCACTGTATGTCATTGACTTAACCACCCTACAAAAGCCAATGTTCTAGTGTGTTCTAATTATGGAACATTTTAATTTCTTGCAAGTCATTGTCCATCTAATGAAATCCCTGACGCCATAACAATTAAGAAAAATGAAGAAAAAGAAGAATTTCTTTCAAAACAAAATGTGCTATTAGGCATATCAAACAGTGGAGTGACAACAGTCAATTGTGTGACTGTGAAATAACTTATCAACTCTAATTTCAAAGATGGACTGAGCACACACTTATAAAGCCAAGACAACTCTTATATCAAAGATAGACTGAGCACACACTTATAAAGCCAAGACAACTCTTATATCAAAGATAGACTGAGATTATAAAGCCAAGACAAAACTAGACACACAAAGCCAACTGATATCTACCTGATGAGCAGGAGTCTGGGGAAAGGATTTAACAATGTGCTGTAGTTCTCCGGAATTACTTCCTCTTCAGGTGCAGGCTTGTCAAACCAGTGTTTCCATTGTTTATCATTATGGCTAACCTACAAATAAAAGTTTCCATTGTTTATCATTATGGCTAACCTACAAATAAAAGTTTCCATTGTTTATCATTATGGCTAACCTACAAATAAAAGTTTCCATTGTTTATCATTATGGCTAACCTACAAATAAAAGTTTCCATTGTTTATCATTATGGCTAACCTACAAATAAAAGTTTCCATTGTTTATCATTATGGCTAACCTACAAATAAAAGTTTCCATTGTTTATCATTATGGCTAACCTACAAATAAAAGTTTCCATTGTTTATCATTATGGCTAACCTACAAATAAAAGTTTCCATTGTTTATCATTATGGCTAACCTACAAATAAAAGTTTCCATTGTTTATCATTATGGCTAACCTACAAATAAAAGTTTCCATTGTTTATCATTATGGCTAACCTACAAATAAAAGTTTCCATTGTTTATCATTATGGCTAACCTACAAATAAAAGTTTCCATTGTTTATCATTATGGCTAACCTACAAATAAAAGTTTCCATTGTTTATCATTATGGCTAACCTACAAATAAAAGTTTCCATTGTTTATCATTATGGCTAACCTACAAATAAAAGTTTCCATTGTTTATCATTATGGCTAACCTACAAATAAAAGTTTCCATTGTTTATCATTATGGCTAACCTACAAATAAAAGTTTCCATTGTTTATCATTATGGCTAACCTACAAATAAAAGTTTCCATTGTTTATCATTATGGCTAACCTACAAATAAAAGTTTCCATTGTTTATCATTATGGCTAACCTACAAATAAAAGTTTCCATTGTTTATCATTATGGCTAACCTACAAATAAAAGTTTCCATTGTTTATCATTATGGCTAACCTACAAATAAAAGTTTCCATTGTTTATCATTATGGCTAACCTACAAATAAAAGTTTCCATTGTTTATCATTATGGCTAACCTACAAATAAAAGTTTCCATTGTTTATCATTATGGCTAACCTACAAATAAAAGTTTCCATTGTTTATCATTATGGCTAACCTACAAATAAAAGTTTCCATTGTTTATCATTATGGCTAACCTACAAATAAAAGTTTCCATTGTTTATCATTATGGCTAACCTACAAATAAAAGTTTCCATTGTTTATCATTATGGCTAACCTACAAATAAAAGTTTCCATTGTTTATCATTATGGCTAACCTACAAATAAAAGTTTCCATTGTTTATCATTATGGCTAACCTACAAATAAAAGTTTCCATTGTTTATCATTATGGCTAACCTACAAATAAAAGTTTCCATTGTTTATCATTATGGCTAACCTACAAATAAAAGTTTCCATTGTTTATCATTATGGCTAACCTACAAATAAAAGTTTCCATTGTTTATCATTATGGCTAACCTACAAATAAAAGTTTCCATTGTTTATCATTATGGCTAACCTACAAATAAAAGTTTCCATTGTTTATCATTATGGCTAACCTACAAATAAAAGTTTCCATTGTTTATCATTATGGCTAACCTACAAATAAAAGTTTCCATTGTTTATCATTATGGCTAACCTACAAATAAAAGTTTCCATTGTTTATCATTATGGCTAACCTACAAATAAAAGTTTCCATTGTTTATCATTATGGCTAACCTACAAATAAAAGTTTCCATTGTTTATCATTATGGCTAACCTACAAATAAAAGTTTCCATTGTTTATCATTATGGCTAACCTACAAATAAAAGTTTCCATTGTTTATCATTATGGCTAACCAAAAAATAAAAGTTTCTAATGTTTATTATTACAGCTAACATAAAAATTAAGATTGCAATGTTATAGAATCTGTTATAGGAAGTTATAGGAGCTTTTATTTCTTTAGGTACAGTGCTCATATCCTATTTATAAGTCACTTTATTTCTAGATAACTTAGTTGTATGGTATAAATTTTTGATACTTAAGATATTAGAGTTGTTATGTAACATTTAAAAAATTTTGTTTAAGAAGAGTATCAATGTTTGTTGAGTGACTAAAAATGGGAGAGAAAAAACTGAACAAACGTCAACAAAGAACGCAAAGTTTTCAAATGTAATAGATGATGACCTGATCAAGAATGTTTTTAAAGTCTGATAATTCACTCAGTTTGACCAAGTTCAGCCATGTTATGTCTGATATCCATCTAGCAGGTTTTGGGGTAACAGTATTTAAATCTAAAGCAGCGCCACCTAAACAAAAGTATCCACAAAGTATCAGTAAAAGAGCAGATTTTTAACCATTAAAAAACAGATTACATTCATCAAACTACAGTAAAAGCTGTAGTTTAGTCTAGTCTTTCAGTTTTAGGGTTGGGAGTAAGGGGGTGCAGCTATATAGTATATATGCAATGGGAGGGGGAGGGCTAGGCCTGCATGTCTGTCCTGAGATTGACACATAATTATATCAATATATGCTAAGAATAACCCTAGTGTATATAGAATAAGAGAATTGCAATGTTAAAATTTTTGTGGAATTTTTATAGGCCTATATTTTCTCAAATTTTTCCCTTGTATTCATACTATATTAAACTATCAACATCTGGTATGTTAAAATAAATTTGAATTAATTGATATTACAAAAATTATATAAGAGCAAATGTTTTTTACAGTAAAGATAGGCCTACATGATTGATAATGAGCATAAATAACCTTTATAGACCTAACGTTTCAAGTAGAAAGTAAAACAATAAATGTAAGATTTGATTTTTACCTTTAATAAAAACTTGGAATTCATTCATTTTGATTGCTCCTTTTGCTAAATCAATTCTAATAGCCAACAAAATAGTGAACAGTTGTCTGTCTTGATTGAAAAGAGAACGAACGACATAGCTCCATACTTCATATGTTAAATATTCAATGATGTTGGCAATTCTTTTTTGAGTGTTTACATGAGGTTTGGATCTGACAAAAAAATAATATTTTATGCTCAGCTAAAAATTTATTTTACTCATTTCTTTTAATTTTTCTTAAGGAAAAATTATAATAATAATTAAATATTAAATTTAATGTTAATATTTTTTCATTTTTATTAAGGAAAAATTATAATAAGGATTAAATATTATATTTAAGGTTAAAAGTTTATTAAACATTGAATAAAGTACTTAGACATTGAAGCATCAAACAAAACCAAAAACTGGTTGAGAGATGTGGAATACATGTGGTTCACCATAACCATATCACATAGTAAGAAATATAGGATGCTACCTCGTATGGCCACTGTTAAAACAAACATTTGACATTCTGTTACAGATTTTTAAAAATTTAAATGCTCTATATGGAATCAATAAATGGAAAACATACTAAACATTATTCATTTGCAAAACATTTTTTAAAATGTATACTAATAAATAATAACTAGGCAACCCTACATTATGGGACAGAGTGATCTAGTGGTAGAGAGCTGGACTAATAACCCATAAGTATAGAGTTCAAATCCGGGTTCAAGTCGGTAGACCGTCCCCTGAGTCCACCCAACTCTGATGGGTACTTAACTCACGTTAGGGAAAGTAAAGGCGGCTGGGCACACTATCTCTTCATATGCTGACGTCACAGAAACAAGTGAACTCTACTTCACTTACCCTATAGACCGTCAGGTTTGAAAAGGGAACTTTACTTCTACTTTTAACCCTACATTGAAGCTAAAAATGTAAAAAGTATCTGCAATGCAACAAGGGAGTTGTCCCAATGACTTCTGGCAAACTATTGCTCACACCTGGCCTAAACTCTTCTCTAGCCGTGTTGATCTCCACACTTGTCTCTGCTGCAAAGGCTAGTTTTTCATTGACTTCTGCTGAAGTTTTTTTGGTTGTTTGCAAAACTTCGATCAGATTCACATCATCAACAAGAGATCCCTGAATTTTTATAAAAAAAAAAATTGACATGGCTTTTTTCAACAGTTCTAAAACATGTGGCAGTATATTTACAATACAGCTATTTGATCTATATTGAAAAAAAAACGAAAAAAAAAACATTCTATACCTTGAAGAGAAACATGAGATAAGAAAAACAATAAAGAAATGTTTACCTCAATACTAGTTAGCAGCAACAAAAGATTCTCCTCCAAATCTTTGATTCTTCTTTTGTTATTAACCACATCAATAGTAAGCCTAGTTCTCTCCACTTCAAGTTCCTGTTAGAGAAATTTTACTGACACATCTCAACATTAGAGAAATTTTACTGACACATCTCAACATTAAAGACATTTTACTGACACATCTCAACACTAGAGAAATTTTACTTACACATCTCAACCTTAGAGAAACTTTACTGACACATCTCAACATCAGAGAAATTTTACAGACACATCTCAACATTAGAGAAATTTTACTTACACATCTCAACATTAGAGAAATTTTACAGACACATCTCAACATTAGAGAAATTTTACAGACACATCTCAACACTAGAGAAATTTTACTTACACATCTCAACCTTAGAGAAACTTTACTGACACATCTCAACATTAGAGAAATTTTACAGACACATCTCAACATTAGAGAAATTTTACTTACACATCTCAACATTAGAGAAATTTTACAGACACATCTCAACATCAGAGAAATTTTACAGACACATCTCAACCTTAGAGAAATTTTACTTACACATCTCAACATTAGAGAAACTTTACTGACACATCTCAACATTAGAGAAATTTTACTTACACATCTCAATGTTACAGCAAATTAATATGTTTAATACTTGCTACTTATCTAATAAAGACACTGCATAGTTTTCCTTTTATTTTTTCGGCATACGTGTGACTTACATATTTCTACAGCATTCGTGTGACTAACATATTTCTACAGCATATGTGTCACTAACAGCATATGTGTCACTTACGTAATTCTACAGCATACGTTTGACTTACATATTTCTACATCATACGTGTCACTGACATATTCCTACAGCATACGTGTCACTTACATATTCCTACAGCATACGTGTCACTTACATATTCCTACAGCATACGTGTCACTTACATATTCCTACAGCATACGTGTCACTTACATATTTCTACAGCATACGTGTCACTTACATATTTCTACAGCATACGTGTCACTTACATATTTCTCTGTAACAAGGACCCGACCCAAGAGCTGGTCCTCAAGCCCCTTCTGGGTGACAGTGAAGTCAATGATTGAAGTTCTAGCACTGATCTAGATAGATGTCAAGTCAATGATTGAAGTTCTAGCACTGATCTAGATAGATGTCAAGTCAATGATTGAAGTTCTAGCACTGATCTAAATAGATGTCAAGTCAATGATTGAAGTCCTAGCACTGATCTAAATAGATGTCAAGTCAATGATTGAAGTCCTAGCACTGATCTAGATAGATGTCAAGTCAATGATTGAAGTCCTAGCACTGATCTAGATAGATGTCAAGTCAATGATTGAAGTTCTAGCACTGATCTAGATAGATGTCAAGTCAATGACTGAAGTCCTAGCACTGATCTAGATAGATGTCAAGTCAATGATTGAAGTCCTAGCACTGATCTAGATAGATGTCAAGTCAATGATTGAAGTTCTAGCACTGATCTAAATAGATGTCAAGTCAATGATTGAAGTCCTAGCACTGATCTAGATAGATGTCAAGTCAATGATTGAAGTTCTAGCACTGATCTAGATAGATGTCAAGTCAATGATTGAAGTTCTAGCACTGATCTAGATAGATGTCAAGTCAATGATTGAAGTTCTAGCACTGATCTAAATAGATGTCAAGTCAATGATTGAAGTCCTAGCACTGATCTAAATAGATGTCAAGTCAATGATTGAAGTTCTAGCGCTGATCTAAATAGATGTCAAGTCAATGATTGAAGTTCTAGCGCTGATTGAATATTTGGTTTAAATATTGTAACCTTTAAGTCAAAAACCTAGCACTAGCTCCTGAAAGAAACTCTACTTCTTAGTAATATGATTAGTCACTAAGCAAACATTGATACTCTTCTCAAACAAGATGTATAAATGGTAGTTACTCAGCTATGTATAAATGGTAATTACTCAGTTATATATAAATGGTAATTACTCAGTTATGTATAAATGGCAATTACTCAGTTATGTATAAATGGTAATTATTCAGTTATGTATAAATGGTAATTACCTCAGTTATGTATAAATGGTAATTACCTCAGTTATGTATAAATGGTAATTACCTCAGGTGTGTACAAAGGGTTGGCAAGCTTGGTGGTGATGTACAGGTAAAATGTATTCATGATGTCACATTCCTTATCACCTATTTTCACCTGGTCATTTGTTGGAGGACATTTAAAAAATTTGGTTTTAGAGAAAATAAACTCTCTAATGAAGGATAAATTTTAAATATTTAAATCTTTATTAAACTAAATATTTGAGAATTTGTGTATCACCCTAACCACAAAGAAATTGAAGAAAACCATGCTATCTACATTTTTTTCTTCATAACCTAAACAAGCTTCGACATAATTGGAAAATAAAAAATCCTTTGATGGAAAAGTTTGATTCAACAGATACCTTTAAAGGTTTGAAGTTAAAGCAGTTAAATTTGTAAAGCTTTAGAATAACTAGCAAAATTTATTTTTCTTAATTTTTTTAAAGTTTAACAAACGAAAAGTGATTGTTAGTAATATAAAGGTTAAATTTTGTTCTAGTTCTACGGATAACTATTTTGTTTTTGTAAAGTTTAGTCAAGTACCTTGAACATAGAACCTGATTTAATAAAATTCTTTTCCAAAATATTGTCCAGTGAAGGGTCAAGTTCTTCTTCAACATCTTCAATGAGCAGAGGCCTGCCTAGAGAGAGAGCATCTTCTAGGTGTTGACGGAAATACTTGTGGTTCAGGGAAGTTACCTACAGAGTCAATTTGTTTTGTCAATTATTTTAAGCTTTAAGGTTGTTTTACCATTCATATAAAGAGCAACATTTCCTTATCAAAGATGATCAGATGTAACAGGGCACAACTGCTAACTTAAATGTCTCAGGTTTGGATAAAGTCCATGGTAACAGAATGTCCCTAAGTTCTGATGGATACATAACTGATGTGGCACATAATTGATGAATAAGGTATGCTGGGCTGTTTGTAAACAGTCTTAGTGGTAATATTTTACATTTATTTGAGTGAAAATAAATTGCATTAACTTTAAATAACACATCCAATATATACTGCCCAATGGCAGCAGAAAACATTAAACATATACCACCCAATGGGAGCAGAAAACATTAAACATATACCACCCAATGGGAGCAGAAAACATTAAACATATACCACCCAATGGGAGCAGAAAACATTAAACATATACCACCCAATGGGAGCAGAAAACATTAAACATATACCACCCAATGGGAGCAGAAAACATTAAACATATACCACCCAATGGGAGCAGAAAACATTAAACATATACCACCCAATGGGAGCAGAAAACATTAAACATATACCACCCAATGGGAGCAGAAAACATTAAACATATACCATTCACTAGGACCATGACAATATGTGACTGTGTTGTCCTGTGGTTTTTATATTTCCTTAATCCAAAATACCTGCAAATTTCTCTTTTTTTCTCTATTTTTTATCCATGATTTTCCTTGACTTTGTGGATCAATAAGTAATGGATAGCGTGAAGCCATTGTTGTGATGATGCCATTTTGAATGGATAATTCATCATTTGGTAGTCCTTCAACATTCCATTCTCCAATCTGAAGGACAGGCAAGCCAAGGAAATTTTCAAAACTCACTGATCTCAACTTTACTTTAAATAATTGGATCATAAACTAGATAACAAAAAGTGCTATTAGAATAAAGCTAATAAAAAACATTGTACCTATTAAAAAACAGATAAGGTAAAAAAAAACAATAGGAGATAACATAGAGATAGCAACATTTTACGTTTAAAATTGTTAAATTAATCTTTTAAATGCACTAAAAAATAAGAAAATATACATAAGTATTGAAGTATAATAGTAAAAAAGCATATTTTTTTTCAATATTTACTCTAATAGTTAAAGAAAGTGAATGCTCGTTTCCTTATTTTTTAGTGAATTTAAAAATAATAGCTTGTTTTGCAATGATTTCTAAACAATTTATTTTATACTTTTAAATAATTAGCTATTATAAAGATATACGATTATATCTGAGCTGCTATTTCAGTCTTTAAAAAATTAGGAATTCATTCATTCTTTTAATCAACACAACTAAAACAACTGTCGGCTCATTATTATTTTTCTCAGTCTTGTGGACACAGTTCACCCACATCATTGGTGAGTACTGCTACTTCATTGTCATCTCCCCTTTTTTTTAATATAGTAAGTTTTAAATTTTAAGGGCTAAAATTTGAATGATTAATTTTAAATATGTAGTTTGATTTGAAACTTAATCTTCCAATGATGTCACTGGAAATTAATTTATCTGTAAAGTTAGAACAGAATCTCAGCATCAGTAATGTGTCAATATTTGCCCACAGACAAACAAAGATTAGGAGCTAAGTAAAAGCTTGTGAAATCAATGAAGTGTTGACATCAAACATCTGTATCAAAGTTTCAAGTATGTGTTCAACTTACTGTGGTTGTGTCCACTAATGCTTCTACTATGTTCATATTCTTTGTGAAAGGTATTTTTTTATTGGTCATTTCAAGGCACCATATTTGAATAAGCTTAGCACGGAAAGATTGATTAAACGGACCAGAGTAAGATAAAAAGCCAGTGAAGACTAGCACATCTCCAGTCAGGCTGAAAGAAACATTGCATTCTATTTTAGTACATAGAACATCAGCAAACTGCCAGACAAAATCAGTGCTTTAAATCTTTGGTAGGCAAACAGAACAACTATTATAAAATTATGTTTGAAATGCTTGTAGGTAAGATAAAAATAGTTTCATATCATTTGATCTGAAAATTTTACTTGATAATCTGATCTCTAAATTCTGAGCTGACCAGAAACTTACTTGATAATCTGATCTCTGAATTGTGTGCTGACCAGAAACTTACTTGATAATCTGATCTCTGAATTCTATGCTGACCAGAAACTTACTTGATAATCTGATCTCTGAATTCTGTGCTGACCAGAAACTTACTTGATAATCTGATCTCTGAATTCTATGCTGACCAGAAACTTACTTGATAATCTGATCTCTGAATTCTGTCTGACCAGAAACTTACTTGATAATCTGATCTCTGAATTCTGTCTGACCAGAAACTTACTTGATAATCTGATCTCTGAATTCTGTGCTCTGAGCTGACCATCGAGTCTGTTCGCCAGCAAGTCCACCAATTAGAGTTGTAGCAGCATCCATTCTTCTACGACATGCCATAGCGTCATCTAGCAATGCCTAGATTTGTGCCAAGAATTTAGTTTTAAATCAATATTTGTGCAAAAAATTTACTTTAAATTACCATAGCATCATCTAGCAATGCCTAGATTTGAGAAAAAAATTTACTTTAAATTGCCATAGCATCATCTAGCAATGCCTAGATTTGGGCAAAGAATTTATTTAAATCTTCCCAATAATTACCGTCACATAAAAGAACATAAAATGTGTTAGAGCTGTAGGATTTATTAAAGAACAAGATGGCTACAAAGAATTGAACTTTACTATTAAATAGTCTTTAAGACAACTCCTTTACAGCAAACAAACTGAAAAGGAATGTCACTTTATATTTTTTCCGTGTAAGTTAGCCTCTCAACTGTATCAAGTTCAATGTACTTTACTATACTTTTTTTCATAAGAAACTACCTTTTTCTTTTCCATTGCCCCATTGTACTTTGCTTGAACTATATTTAGCTCAGCTTGTTTTTCATCCAGTGTAGCTTGAGCTGCTGCCAGTTCAACAGATGCAGACTGAAGCCTAGCTTCTTGCTTGATTAGGTTAGCCTTAGAAATTTCAAAGCAAATGCTGCTTAAAAAACTCTTCATTAAAAACTATTACGTTTAACAATCTAAGAAAATTTATGGATCTGATTATATTTAGAACTGTGCAGCTTACCTTGAGTGGTAACACCTCTATATTTGGAACTTACATTGAATGGTAACACCTCCATATTTGAACTGACCTTGAGTGGTAACACCTCTATATTTGAACTGACCTTGAGTGGTAACACCTCTATATTTGGAACTTACATTGAATGGTAACACCTCCATATTTGGAACTTACATTGAATGGTAACACCTCTCTATATTTGAACTGACCTTGAGTGGTAACACCTCTATATTTGGACTGACCTTGAGTGGTAACACCTCTCTATATTTGAACTGACCTTGAGTGGTAACACCTTTATATTTGAACTGACCTTGAGTGGTAACACCTCTATATTTGGAACTTACCTTGAGTGGTAACACCTCTCTATATTTGAACTGACCTTGAGTGGTAACACCTCTCTATATTTGAACTGACCTTGAGTGGTAACACCTCTCTATATTTGAACTGACCTTGAGTGGTAACACCTCTCTATATTTGAACTGACCTTGAGTGGTAACACCTCTATATTTGAACTGACCTTGAGTGGTAACACCTCTCTATATTTGAACTGACCTTGAGTGGTAACACCTCTATATTTGAACTGACCTTGAGTGGTGACACCTCTATATTTGGACTTACCTTGAGTGGTAACACCTCTATATTTGAACTGACCTTGAGTGGTAACACCTCTCTATTGATACCATAGAAAAAAGCCATAGCAAGTGTCCAAGACAGCAGACCAGCCACATTACCACATGCCTGGTTAGAGAAGAGTTACTTCACTTGATATATGCTAGAGTTACTTCACTTGATATATGCTAGCTTTACTTCACTTGATATATGCTAGCTTTACTTCACTTGATATATGCTAGAATTACTTCACTTGATATATGCTAGCTTTACTTCATTTGATATATGCTAGCTTTACTTCACTTGATATATGCTAGCTTTACTTCATTTGATATATGCTAGCTTTACATAGCAACTAATCAAAATAAGTTTATTTTTGGACTAATAAATGGAATTCAAACAAAGACTCTAAAAATGAAAGGCTGTGAAAAAGAAAGGTTTAAAATAAGCAAAGGCTGTAGAAAAGAAAGGCAGTAGATAAGAAATAGAACAAATACCTTGAGAGCTGACTCATAATTGTAATCCTCCATACGTGTGTACGGCTCCATCAGTTCTACCATCTCTCCTGTGATGTTGTCTTTAGGGAAATCAACCAGTTGTTGAAGGAAGCTCATTTGACCCATTAACTAATGAATGCAACAATATTCAATCACTGTACCTTAGTTAGAATTAAGAACTTCACAAGAACTAATCCATAAGAGTTTGTTTCAGTTTTAATTAAGTTTTCACTGAAAGATTCTGAAAGTATTTTAGATTTTTTTAACCAGATGTAATATGTGTATTAGTGAGGTGACATTATAAAAATCATGTCACTTGTCATTTAGTGAGGTTATAATATTAAACTGATGTCACTTGTCATTTAGTGAGGTGACATAAAACTGATGTCACTTGTCATTTAGTGAGGTGATATTATAAAACTGATGTCACTTGTCATTTAGTGACATTATAAAACTGATGCCATTTGTCATTTAGTGAGGTGACATTATAAAACTGATGTCACTTGTCATTTAGTGAGGTGATATTATAAAACTGATGTCACTTGTCATTTAGTGAGGTGATATTATAAAACTGATGTCACTTGTCATTTAGTGAGGTGACATTATTAAACTGATGTCACTTGTCATTTAGTGAGGTGACATTATAAAACTGATGCCACTTGTCATTTAGTGAGGTGACATTATAAAACTGATGTCACTTGTCATTTAGTGAGGTGACATTATAAAACTGATGCAACTTGTCATTTAGTGACATTATAAAACTGATGTCATTTCCCAGTTTACCTTGAGACCATCCTGCCATGCAGGTTTTGGACATGGCCGTTCACTGTCCAATTCCAAGACATCAATTTTTTTTCTGAACAAGATCAAGACAACATCCATGATCCTCATGATCAGGTGAGGGGGCTTCCCCAGTTTCTTTACAGTTGCAATATCTGCTGGTTTGATTGTCTGAAGAAATAGTTTAAACCAATTAAAGCACATAAAGAAATAATGCATGACATTAAATAAAGGGGAGAGTAGAAATTCTCATACACAACAAGCATAGAGGAGACAACTCTAACCTTGAGAGCATCTTCAGCAGCTTGGAGGGCAGGTTTGGCAGCTTCTAGCTTGGTTTCAGCTATGACTTTGTCTGCTGCAATGTCATCCACAATATGCTGGGCTCTGTCCTTGACTTTCTGCACGGAGGCTTTCACTTTCTCAGCTGCTTCTGCCATTACTGTAACCTCCATTACAATCTGGAAATTTTAATCTAGTACAGTTTAGCAAGTATTCCTTTGGGGCAGATAAAGTAGAGTCAACCTTCATGGTTGTAGTGCAGGAAAGAATAATAGCTTGCTATTTTACTAATATGAATCTATGTAAAAAAAATACATCACAACTATAAAATTGGCAATATTTTAAAAAAAAAAGATTTCCAATAAATTTTGCATTGTCTTATTGATCATGGATTTTAAAGGCTTCATGTTGAGTTCCTAAAGTTTCAAGGAAACTAAAACTAACCTTGTCAGCAGCTACATTAGCCACTTCAAGATCCTTTTCTTTGACCACCAGCTCCTGACTCAGTAGATCAACAGACTCAGAAGCTTCCACAAGTTTTTCTAAGCCCACATTCATCTTCCTCTCAAGTTCTTGGAGAGTTTCAACCTGAAATGGCAACAAGGACCATACTGTCTTCAAAGTTTGGTAAACATTTCATGTCCTATATAAAGCCCTATATCAAGCCCTACATCATATCCTATATCATGTCCTGGCAAATTGTTGCATACATACCTTTAGTTTATACAGGGATTTATAACCATCCAAAAATGATAAGTAGGATTTAGGTGTTACATGCGCCTGCCGCCGAAATCTAAACAAAACAAAAAAAGTATCAACTTACCCTCATATTTTTTAACTTACAGTATCTTACTAAGTAAGTGTTTAAATACTAAACATATTTTATTTATTCATCTGTCATTGAAAATAATACATGTCTGCATATGGTTTGATACATAAGATATTTCACAAATGAACTCAGTTTTTAGCATGATTTAAACATAAGTTATGCAAGAAAACCACAACTAAAAACATCCCAACCTTTGAAAGTACTCCACACACACGCTGGCCACTGAGTCATGGACGAATCCCATTAATTCAATGAGGTTTGCTTTAGCTTCTACACTTGCTTCCATGCTGAAGTATTCCAGGAAATAAGAGGACACAGCAACCAGCGCTTCCCGCGGCCATTTACTGAACCAGTCCATAGTACAGCCAGATATAAGTCCAGGAAACTTCATAGCACGCATACGGAATTTACTCCCAACCTGGGGCCAGCAAGAGTTTACAAATCAGTGTGTTACTATGGCAACACTTTCTAGAAGTTAAAAAAATCTTACTGCATGTTTTACTCACAGGAGAAAAACACAGAACAATATGTAAATTATTGCGAGCTCGTGACATGAAGTATTCATACAAGAGGTCTTGTGTTGGAGGGCGTTTGGGGAACTCCTTCTTCATGACCATCACCAGCTCCCCAGTGATTTCATCAATCTCATCTTTGGCAAACAAGTTAGAAATCTGCGGGGAATGGCAATGATCGCATCAGAAATCAATCAATCTATAACTTCAGCTTATAACATACATTATTCCCAGGAAAATAGTAACAAATCGTCAATTGTTTGCACATTATATATATATATATATATATATATATATATATATATATATATATATATATATATATATATATATATATATATATATACATATATATATACATATACATATATATATATATATACATATACATATACATATATATATATACATATACATATATATATATATATATATATATATATATATATATATATATATATATATATATATATATATATATATATATATATATATATATATATATACATATATATATATATACATATATATATATACATATATATATATATACATATATATATATACATATATATATACATATATATATATACATATATATATATATACATATATATAAAATATATATATATAATATATATATAACATTTTGTAGGATATAAACATTTTTAAAACTAACAGCATGGTTATCAACATGTACATGCCATGGCCAATAGCTGTAACTTAATGTGAAACAGTTGATCATGTACATGCCATGGCGAATAGCTGTAACTTATTGTGAAACAGTTGTCATTTAGTTGGGTCAGTTGGGAGTTGAGCCCCTCCTAACACCCCCCTCTCTTCCACAACCACTGTGTGCATGCTTTCAAAGTCTAAAAAATTGAATTACCTCCCCAGAGCTGAGTATATTGTTGATGTACTCTAAATAACTTTCATCTTTGATCTCATTGTCTGTAAACAAGAAGGTGATGCCCTCTCCACGGCAACCAGCCACCCGGTACAAATGTTTTAAGTCATCCATTAAATTGTTTACGTTGTAGGTTCTAAAATTTGTTTCACAAGACACATATTAGGCTTATTTGGTACTATGTATGTGCTCAATAAATACTTGAATGTATTTTTTAAAATTTTGATGACATATTTATTAAATATGTACTGATGAACATAGAAAAAGTAAGAAATTGATTGCAAAAGATTTCATATTGGTTCAAGACGCAAGTGAGAAAGTATAAAATGAAACCACTTTCTCTAGCACACAACATTACATAAAGCTTTATCTTCATGTAGTAAGAAATAATAATAAAAATTTAACCTCAAACAATAAAATGTCAACAAGTAATAAATAAAAAGTAGTTAGTAAGAAAAATACTAAATTAAAAAGTTTGTAGTTGTAAAAATTGTAATAAATCTTACTTAGTGATGACTATCTGATGTACGTGGTAGTTTGCTACAAATGTTGCCAGCTTGGTTAGAGATTGTTTACCTGAGCCACCCACACCCACCAGTAATGCAGCACCTCTGGGAGTTCTTATAATACGAGAGATCTGTTTCATAAAAACTTTCAAATTTTAGCCTTTGAACAAGAGAAATCTTTTCAGGACAAATGAAGAGTAAATCTGTTTCATAAAAACTTTCAAATTTTAGCCTTTGAACAAGAGAAATCTTTTCAAGACAAATCAAGAGTTACGAAAAACATTAAATGATCATGTAGGAGAAAATTTTAAAAAACATCAAGATCAGAAGAATAAAACCAATAAAGTTAATTGAGTCCACCCAACTCTTAAGGGTTCTTGCATTTAGTATGAGGGAGTAAAGATAGCTGGACATAAAAGTAAGTACTGACCAACCAATCATGTCATAGACCATGCTTAAACAAACAAAAGAGCTATTCTGCTAAATAGATCAAGTTTGAAAGGAACTTTACTCACATTTACTATACATTTATGTAGACTTACTTTCATAAGATGTATCATGGCATCTTTAAAAAACACTAATTCCAGGTTTGACCCTCGAATTTGATCATTGTAATCTTTCATAAAAGACAGCAGGCGTTTTTGGAGTACACTGTAGTCTTCAACCTAAAATATTCATTTCAAAAGTTAAAAAATCTAGAGAATAAATTAAGACTTAAAGAAATTCTATTAAGCAGAAACAAATAATTGCATGATATAAACTGATTTATAAATAGAAAACTAATAAACTGTGAACTAAATCTAAAATGCTTAACATGATTCACAAACAACTACTTGTTATTTAGTAGAATTGCAAAAAATGTTGAAAGCACTGACCATTTCATAAACTTTTGGAATGATGATCCCAGCATCCTCATTGCCTGCTTCCTGCAAGCCCTCATCATGGACTGAGACCTCTAGAGCATCTCTCATGAAATCAACAAAGTGAGGTGTGGGCAGGAGCAGCTGGCTCATCTCAGGGCCCAGTTCCTCTTCGATCACTGTGGTGATTGTCTTTTGAAACCAAGCTTTATCTGCCTCATTCACAAATCTGTTGTTTTTTTTAATACAAAAATAAATAAAAATATTATTTGCAGCAATTTTTTTTAAATCTAAGAGTATCATCAGAGGTTCATTAAAGGTAATTGTAAAAGGTGTGTAAGCTACAATAACATCTTTAATAAAATCAGACATCTCTCTCTCTCTCTCCATAACCCTAAACTTACATAACAAACAAATTCTCCATCTAATCAATTTAAAAAAAAAGTTATTAAGTAAGTAAGTTGAGCCTAAAAACTAATTTACTAAGCCATACATGAAGTAAGAAATTGTAAAATATTTTTCATTTTTACGTAGTGTGCAAACATAGATGATATGAGTTAAATAATGAACTGATAAAACCAACTTTAGCACCTGTCTTCAATGACACGACAAACTTCATGTTTCCACAGGTTGATTGTGACCCTCTCACTGTTGCACTCAGCGCCCTCTATGTACAACATTCCTTGCCAGATGCGAGACAGATCTCTTAAGTTAAAAATGTAGTGAAACTTTGCTGGTGTTGGCAACATTTTTACCTGATATCACAAGAAAGGTGTATTTTATTTCACATTGTATCTATTGCACAAATTATTATATCATTTACTTATGTCCGTAATAACAAATAAAGTATAAATAAATATTAGGTACAAAGAAGCCAGCAGTGAAATAAAAAAATCAGCTGAGAAAAATACCTTTGTTTTTTGCCACAATATTCTGGTACAAGGAACAAGTTTGTGGATCAATTCTGTGACACATAATTCAAATCTGGTTTCACAAAAATATCCTTCACCAATAATTCCTGTTGATTAAAATCATTCTAAGGATTATCATTGCCACTAAAAATAGAATATTCAAATATTTTTACCTCCCTTATTCCCTAAGAATAAGGGTGTAATGATGTAAAATCTTTTTTTTTTAAATTACATAACAATTAATGCATTGTAACAGAAGTAATAATTTCACTAACCAAAAATTTTATCTATTGAATTATTAGAGGGTAGAGTACAATTAAAAATGCAGAATTGTCTTTTCAGTCTTTCAGGAATGTCATTGCGACCTCCACCAGGGTGTATCATGGCAGCCATGAAAGATATATCAATTATGTCAAGAAAATCTCCAGGCTTGTCTAAACTGTACATCCCTTTCATCTCCATCATCTGACGTGTTATCTCATTGGTCACCTGATATTTAAAACACAATCTCATTGGTCACCTGATATTTAAAACACAATCTCATTGGTCACAAAATTTAAAACACATTGAAATAATGGTGTTATTTCATTGATCTAACGACCTTGCTGTCTTACTGGTATTTGCCAGTATACATTAAAACACAACAAAGTGTGATAGTATAACACTTGCCAATTAGAAAGCCAAGCTGTGTTTATCCAACCCAATAAATTTACGTTATATTTGCTTGTATAAACCAAGTGTAAATACATACTCTCAAGGTATTATTAAAAAACTGGTTACTACACATACATTAAGAGACTGCCAGGAAATAATTGGTTTTCTTACATTAAAAAAATGTGTATGCATCATTTTTGGTGAAATGATTTAACTTAGGTCGGCCAAAATAAATAAAACTAATGTGTGCCCTATAATCCAACAACAGCCTTAAACTAGCAAACAGACAAATGGAATTAGTGCTACGATTCACTTTGCAACCAAGATTTTCAGCCCCTGAAATTTTAGATGCTTTACTTCTGTGATTATGTTTAATAAATCTTTCATCAGATGTTAATGATATTTTAGCTAATATGAATAATCTTTATGCAAAAAACCAAAACTATTAAAAATGTCTGATTAAGTCAATTTTGCAATGAGACAATTAATATGTGTCTTAAGAGTTTGTTATCAAGGCACTAGTCAAATAATTATTCAAGATAAATTATATTAGATTTAGGATAATTATTGAACAAATTGTTCATTTTTTAGGAAATAATCATAATTAATATTGATAAAAATAAACAAAAAAGTAATATTTAATGAATAGCATGCCATTTAATGACATAAGATATATGTCTGCTTGTAAAGCTGATGAAAAATTATTTGGATCAATTGTAAGACAGCTATGTAACCTAGATATTTGTTGTCTAAACTAGATTCTAACACTAACCTGATCTCCCCATTCATTAATGATAGGCATATTGATATCATCTACAAAAACTATCATTTTCTTTCCACCCGGTGGTCCATAGGTTGTACCTACTCTTTTCTCCACAAAGCTCTCAATCGTTCTCTAGAAATAAAAACAGCTCATCAAAATCTTAACCTCTAATTCTTTCAGAATTTTGTTTTTACTCATTCAACTAAGAGCTTACTAAATAACCTCCAGTCAGAAAAACTTGGTTAATAACCTTCAGTCAGAAAAACTTGGTTAATAACCTTCAGTCAGAAAAACTTGGTTAATAACCTGCAGTCAGAAAAACTTGGTTAATAACCTTCAGTCAGAAAAACTTGGTTAATAACCTGAAGTCAGAAAAACTTGGTTAATAACCTGCAGTCAGAAAAACTTGGTTAATAACCTTCAGTCAGAAAAACTTGGTTAATAACCTGCAGTCAGAAAAACTTGGTTAATAACCTTCAGTCAGAAAAACTTGGTTAATAACCTTCAGTCAGAAAAACTTGGTTAATAACCTGCAGTCAGAAAAACTTGGTTAATAACCTGCAGTCAGAAAAACTTGGTTAATAACCTGCAGTCAGAAAAACTTGGTTAATAACCTTCAGTCAGAAAAACTTGGTTAATAACCTGCAGTCAGAAAAACTTGGTTAATAACCTTCAGTCAGAAAAACTTGGTTAATAACCTGCAGTCAGAAAAACTTGGTTAATAACCTGCAGTCAGAAAAACTTGGTTAATAACCTGCAGTCAGAAAAACTTGGTTAATAACCTTCAGTCAGAAAAACTTGGTTAATAACCTGCAGTCAGAAAAACTTGGTTAATAACCTGCAGTCAGAAAAACTTGGTTAATAACCTGCAGTCAGAAAAACTTGGTTAATAACCTCCAGTCAGAAAAACTTGGTTAATAACCTTCAGTCAGAAAAACTTGGTTAATAACCTTCAGTCAGAAAAACTTGGTTAATAACCTTCAGTCAGAAAAACTTGGTTAATAACCTTCAGTCAGAAAAACTTGGTTAATAACCTTCAGTCAGAAAAACTTGGTTAATAACCTGCAGTCAGAAAAACTTGGTTAATAACCTTCAGTCAGAAAAACTTGGTTAATAACCTGCAGTCAGAAAAACTTGGTTAATAACCTTCAGTCAGAAAAACTTGGTTAATAACCTTCAGTCAGAAAAACTTGGTTAATAACCTGCAGTCAGAAAAACTTGGTTAATAACCTCCAGTCAGAAAAACTTTGTTAATAACCTGCAGTCAGAAAAACTTGGTTAATAACCTTCAGTCAGAAAAACTTGGTTAATAACCTTCAGTCAGAAAAACTTGGTTAATAACCTTCAGTCAGAAAAACTTGGTTAATAACCTCCAGTCAGAAAAACTTGGTTAATAACCTTCAGTCAGAAAAACTTGGTTAATAACCTGCAGTCAGAAAAACTTGGTTAATAACCTTCAGTCAGAAAAACTTGGTTAATAACCTTCAGTCAGAAAAACTTGGTTAATAACCTTCAGTCAGAAAAACTTGGTTAATAACCTCCAGTCAGAAAAACTTGGTTAATAACCTGCAGTCAGAAAAACTTGGTTAATAACCTTCAGTCAGAAAAACTTGGTTAATAACCTGCAGTCAGAAAAACTTGGTTAATAACCTTCAGTCAGAAAAACTTGGTTAATAACCTGCAGTCAGAAAAACTTGGTTAATAACCTTCAGTCAGAAAAACTTGGTTAATAACCTTCAGTCAGAAAAACTTGGTTAATAACCTTCAGTCAGAAAAACTTGGTTAATAACCTGCAGTCAGAAAAACTTGGTTAATAACCTGCAGTCAGAAAAACTTGGTTAATAACCTTCAGTCAGAAAAACTTGGTTAATAACCTTCAGTCAGAAAAACTTGGTTAATAACCTCCAGTCAGAAAAACTTGGTTAATAACCTCTAGTCAGAAAAACTTGGTTAATAACCTGCAGTCAGAAAAACTTGGTTAATAACCTGCAGTCAGAAAAACTTGGTTAATAACCTTCAGTCAGAAAAACTTGGTTAATAACCTTCAGTCAGAAAAACTTGGTTAATAACCTTCAGTCAGAAAAACTTGGTTAATAACCTTCAGTCAGAAAAACTTGGTTAATAACCTTCAGTCAGAAAAACTTGGCTAATAACCTGCAGTCAGAAAAACTTGGTTAATAACCTGCAGTCAGAAAAACTTGGTTAATAACCTTCAGTCAGAAAAACTTGGTTAATAACCTGCAGTCAGAAAAACTTGGTTAATAACCTTCAGTCAGAAAAACTTGGTTAATAACCTCCAGTCAGAAAAACTTGGTTAATAATTTTCTTACCTGGAACATGCCTGGTGTTGTAGCAGAAGAAAAATTGAAACTTTTCCCGATCATATTTTCTGGATTAGCTTTTGCCATAACAGCTTGGATCATGACAGTTTTGGCTGTACCCTGCTCCCCAATCAATAGCACACCCTGAGTAAAGGGTTGGATAAATAGAAGCATGTCAATTTTTGTCTTTAAGATCTAAATGTCAAAGATTGCAAGGATTATATAAATGTATGTGTGTTGGGATATGTTTATCATACTTATTGCAAGGTTTATATAAATGTATGTGTATTGGGATATGTTTATCATACACTATTTGAGCCAGATACCTTCTGCTGCTTGCTGATAATTTCAATGAGAAAATCTGTCCTCACGTTGTCAACATTGGGCACAAGGATTGATGTGAAGAGAGGAACAGAGTCTGGGGGGTAGATGTACTGCTCCACACGGTGGCGCCAGTGTACCCACTGACCTACAGCGTGCACACATTTTTAATCTTGTTTTTAAAAACTCAAATTAGAATTTAAAATTTAATGAAAGACATTTTAATTACAAACTTATTATATGCATCAATAATAAGAAAATAAATATACAATATTGTAACACTATTACATATTAAGGAATCATGTTTTAAAAAGCTTGTAAAAAATCAATTAAATCAAGGTTGAAAACTTTTGATAAGAGAAACCTCTCACCATCTGTGCCAACCAAAAATTCAAATATTGTTTCATCTCCGGTAATTTTTGCATAGCTGAGCTTAGATTTATGCTTGAGCATAAACTCCTGCATCTTGGCACGATCAGCTAGCTCCATTAGCGCCCCCTGACTCCACATCAGCCCAAAGATAAACAAATGCTCCAAGTGTTTTGGACTCAAGTTTTTCCTTTCCTCCAGAGAAACTGGGATCAAGCCTTCTAATAAATCACACATCTATTTCAACAACAATAAAAAAAACATAAGACACTGGGATCAAGACTTCAGACCAATCACACATCTATTTTAATGACAAAAAAATCAGGAAGTGGAATATTTTAACAAAAATAAATGATTTAAAGATTTTGAAATAATGAATGAAATGGTGTCCAACTGAGTTAGCTACCTGTCTAATTTTGTTGCAAGATAAAAGAACCATTTTAAATTCTGTGTTTAAAATACAAAAATGTTCAACGTCATCATAGATAGCCTCAAACAGTGGCAACAGACATGTTTTCTCATTGACTGATCTGGTCAGCAGCCAGCTCTGAAATAAAAAATTTTTTGGCTCTTTTAAAATTATTACATCAACCTTTTTTAAAGATATCAGCCTACAACGCTGGATTGTCATTTTTAACTGCTGTCAAATATTAGCAAGATAAACAGACATGAGTATCACATTTGTTTACATCCAGTGAATTATAAATGTAAGCAGTATTTTTTTCCGTTCAAACCAGTTCTCAACAATACAAAGTATAAATACCCGGAGAATTGGTTGCCATGGCAATATAGAGCTTGACATATAAATCATGCCATTCCTTGACACTGTTGCAGGTGAGGCATTGTCAATGTTGTGCACCTCAAAGATGATTTTACAGTTGGGAGCCATGGGTATGCGATCCCCATTGGCAAGGGTCAAAGTTTTATTATCGTCCAACACAGAGTTGAGGTTTTCTATCCATACAGCATCAACAGGGCCGTCAAGAATCAGCCAGATGTGGGAACCTACATCCATTGCATCAGATCATCAACTATTTCTTTTTTATTTCAACTTTTTAAATTACATTACATATTTTACAAAATAAAAATACTTTGGTACAAACTCAGTGGATTTAATTACAGGTGCTATCAAAGAAAATGCAATTTTTTTTATTACAATAATTTTTTTAATAAGCTTCAGCAGTGTTCAAAATATTTATTTTATAATCCATATTTGAACATCTTTACAACAAGAAGTTACAACTTAAAAACTAAATGGAAGAGCATAAAAAGATAACCAACACGCATTCAGTGATATGCTTTCATGAGTCTCAAACACGGTCATCAATATATCACTAAAACTTGCCAGGATTTTAATTTTTTTTTGAATGTTTGTTTAGAAAATTATATAATAACACTGTTTCTTTATTTAATAATCACTTCAATTACTAGCATTATTAAATTAAATTTCTTTAACCTGGATAATTAAGTTACTGATATGATTTAATTTACACTTCAAAAAAGCATTATTTGAAGTTATAAATTAATTTAATTGATTTTTAATAATTTTACCAATAAAGTGTATTGACTAGATTTTTCCTTAAAAAAAAGTGATAATGAAAATATTCCAACCTTTTTTTATTTTAAGAGTCCGTCTCCAGAGTGTTGAAAAAATGCCATCAGTCCAGTCATTGGTGGCAGCGTCCAGACGACCAAACATCTGAGATGCTGTGATGGCCTTAGGGTTCATTCTCATTTCTCTGTGTGGCTGTCCCATCTCTGACATGGCTTTCATCAAGACATGTATGCAACAGGATTTTCCTGTGCCACTGGGTCCCAGTGTCATAATGCCATGTCTCACTCTCTGGGTTTCAAATAACTAAAGACAAAACAAATAACTAAAGACAAAACAAATAACTAAAGACAAAACAAATAACTAAAGACAAAACAAATAACTAAAGACAAAACAAATAACTAAAGACAAAACAAATAACTAAAGACAAAACAAATAACTTAAGACAAAACAAATAACTTAAGACAAAACAAATAACTAAAGACAAAAGAAATAACTAAAGACAAAACAAATAACTAAAGACAAAATAAATAACTTAAGACAAAACAAATAACTTAAGACAAAACAAATAACTAAAGACAAAACAAATAACTAAAGACAAATAAATAACTAAAGACAAAACAAATAACTAAAGACAAAACAAATAACTAAAGACAAAACAAATAACTTAAGACAAAACAAATAACTAAAGACAAAACAAATAACTTAAGACAAAACAAATAACTAAAGACAAAAGAAATAACAAAAGACAAAACAAATAACTAAAGACAAAACAAATAACTTAAGACAAAACAAATAACTTAAGACAAAACAAATAACTAAAGACAAAACAAATAACTAAAGACAAATAAATAACTAAAGACAAAACAAATAACTAAAGACAAAACAAATAACTAAAGACAAAACAAATAACTTAAGACAAAACAATTAACTAAAGACAAAACAAATAACTTAAGACAAAAAGGAAGTTTAAAAATTACATTTGTTGTACATGGAGAGATTTAAAGAATATGATTGAACAATGCTCATGTTGTGTAAACAGAAGTTTTGTCAAAGGTCCAAAGGAAATAGCTTAATTGGTACAACAAAAGAAAAAGCCCTACACACAACCTGTAGGGGCTGGCCAGTTGCTACTCCTCTGTATCCAGCAGATTTATGTTTTGTTTTTATTTGGGGGGGGGGGGTGTCCAGTGGGTTAATGGCCAGGCATCCTGTGAACACAATGCTAATCACAGAATTATTTCCTATGTCAAAGTCAGAGAAAAAACAAGCAGAAGACTCTATGCAGCCTATGGAGCAACATATTTGAAATCACTTTTGAGCTTTGGCTGAACACAATTTCTATTTCTTTAATAAAATAAAAGTTGGAAAAAAATTAGACCTGTACAATCTTCAGATTCCAGGCCTCATAGTTGATAAGTCCAGCTTCAACAATTTTGTTGTTCAACTGTGTCTGGAGATCAGCATAAGAGGCACTGTCTAAGCTTATCCCTGGGAAAAGATCGCCTATCAGGCTAAGGAACAAAGGCTCATCTTCATCTACCTAAACAAAGAAACAGATGAGACATTTAAAACAAAACTGTGAAATCAGCTGAAGAAGATACGTAAGTTAGAATTTCATACACTTGTGTATAAAGATGTGAAGCTGAAATATTTTTTTTGTTTGTATAATCGTTGAGAAAATATAGATAACGCATCTGGTCTCTACTTTTTTCTTTTGAAACATAAACAACACGAATCACTATTTTAACCAATCTCCTATGTTGTGAGGTACTGTCTTTTCACACATTGAAAACCACAGCAGTGACTGACCAGTTTGGACAAGTTCATGTCCCTTAGACCTCTCATGACAATTGTGTTCTCTGTATCCTCTGGTCTCGACCGTTTCTCAGCGCCCAGTGTTCGAAGTACTGACAAAATGTTGCGTAATCCAAAGTCATAATGTACCTGGGAAGAAAAATGTCTAGTAATAATACTTGAGATGAATAACTAAGATGCTAGAGTTTAGACTAATTTATGGTTGAAGTTGTGCAGCTTGTACCCAGCTCACCTGTTTAGACAGCTGTTCTTCACAAAGCTTGTACAGAGTATAAAACTTTTGAGCTAGAACAATATTTTCAATAAACCCACATGAAGCCAGTTTCACTCTCATAATAATCTGTGAATACAAGTTGCAGTTGTTAAATTATATGTGTGATTAATAAAACATTAATGAAAAGAGATGAACTTCACATTAGTAGCTGGTTTGATTTGAGTGATTGACTTACTTGTCTGTCAGGTACCATCATGGAAACAGTTCTAAATTTTTTATTTGAGCGATTGACTTACTTGTCTGTCAGGTACCATCATGGAAACAGTTCTAAATTGAACTTTCAAATTTTCTGGCAATTCTTGTCTGCCTGCATAGCCAGGGTTCTAGCATTAAAAAAAAACAATCAGCTTTATTTATGAGTTGCAATAAAAAAAATTCATAATAAACATTTTAATAACAAGCTTTAATATGATTATGCACTAAAAAGGAGAAAATAAATGATTCTCTGTAAATATATAATCATGAGCTACTATAGAAATAAAAATCAAAGCATGAGCTGCTTATGAATTGAATACCTTCACTAGAATTTAAGAAGCAACCCATGCTTTTATTTTTAATTGTTTAAATAGTAGTTATCATATTTAGAGAAACTATTTTATTTTCTCCTTTTTAGTGCATAATTATATAAAAGCTTGTAATTAATACGTTTTTATGTATTTCTTTAGTACTTAAAACTTTTTGATTTAAAATAGATACATGACTAAAAACAATTGCACAATAAATGAACAAAAAAATGTGCATATAATATGGTGGTAAATAGTAATTTTTATAACAAATTTTAATTAATTCTTTAAAAATTAAATAATTAAGTTAAATATAATGTCAGATTGCATTGTCATTCGGTTTTGACCCAAGTGCCAAGTTTCAGAAAAATTGGTCAATTAGAAGTGGTCGAAATGTTGCTCGCCAGTTTTGATTGAAGATGAATACAGACGAAGCAAGCGAACTAAAAGCTTGTAAAATATATCCCTTTTTTCAATGAGATCCTATTTTTACATTTATTTCAAAGTATGATTTTTAAATCCAGTTTTGCATTCTTCTGATGGATGTAAACTCACCATAGTAAGAAAAATCCCAAATTCTGGATTTAGGGATACATGATCACCATCTGTAAAAATAAATTCTTTCTTTTTATCTTTCTTTGCCGAGAGCACAATGTAAATTTGTTGAGCGGCGACGGATAAAACTGGCAAATCAATGCGGTTAAACTCATCAAAGCAGCCCCATGCTCCTGACTGAGCAAGACCTGGAGAAAGAAAGATTTTTAGGCTTATTTATAAACATGCTTGAATGCTGGGAGTTTTTGGCTACTTTTTCATTATAAGCATAACTTTTAAAACATGGCTTTAAGAAAAAAACTTTTTTAAACTATCTCTAATACTAATGTATTTTAGTTTTACTTTGACAAAGCGTAAATCATGACATACTTAACCTAATATTACAGTCTCTTACCTTTATAAATCCGGCCAAGCCCTCTAAAGTCCATTTGATCAGAACAGTTGAATACAACAACATATTTCCCCAGACAACGACCCATGTCCTTTGTTGTTTCTGTTTTCCCAGTTCCAGCAGGGCCTGCAGGGGCGCCGCCCATTGACATCCAGAGGGCCTGGGCTAAGGTGATGTAACACCTTAACCAAAATTACTTATTAACTACAAGTGTAATTTGAAATTGGAATATTATTATTACTATTTAATTAACCTATCCAAACGCCACTAACTTCATGTGCAGACACTACTAGCATAGCCTTAGATAGGGTGGCGCTTAAGATTTTAAACTTCATCATTGCTCAAGGTGACTTAAACCATTAAAAACTACATTTAATTTGATACAAATTTTAATAATCAAAATTAATTGGTAGGCTACGATGCTATAACTGATACGGTAGGTAAGTTTTTAAGGTGTGTTAATGTGACACAATTGACCATTTAGCAGGAACATGTCATCTGCTATATTTCTTCCCATTGAAATACATGGCAGGCAAAATGGGCGGGCTTAATTTGCTATTGTCTAGATCAGGGGTCTCCAAACTACGGCCCGCGGGCCGGATGCGGCCTGCGAGGTCCTCTCATCCGGCCCGCGGAGCTCTTTTTGTCCACGGAAAAAAACGTTTGTTGATGATGGCTGAGGAACTTTGCCCAGAAAAATCAAAGACATGCCTGGAAGAAACTGGCCCCAGAACTGAAATTTGATAGTCAATGCGGCCCTCGGACAGAAAAATTTGGAGACCCCTGGTCTAGATCAAGTTATTTTTTGAAGATTTTTTTTTACCCGGCATAATTTTTAAAAATTAAATGTTATTAGGCACAACTAACTTAGCCTCAGAATATACCTAGCCTATTGACACTGCTAAATTGGTCAGACTTAGCCTTAAAAACTACTTAAACCTAGAATGTTATTTACTTTGCCTGCTACCAACTTAGCCAGGTTCTAACTTAGCTAGCTACTATCTCTATCTTAGTCAACTACTAACTTAACATATAGCAGCTACCTGTCAGTGAGGGGAGTGATGACTAATCTGTCTGTACACCCCAGGTACTCGTTCTGGTAGATAAACAGGACATCAGTGATGCGCACAAGGCATTGGTCAGTTTCTTCGTTAAAATAAAACCTTGCTTGTTTCAGCCAATCAAAACTCACTACAGAATTCACATTGCGTTTTGTCTGATGAAAAAGAATAAAAGATATTTTTATGAAAACATAATTTCAGAATTACTTTGTATTAGTAAATTAAGGAATTTCAAAACTTTTGTACATACGTTTTTAAATTGACTGTTGATACTAAGTCTCTTTTTCTTTATTTCACATGTTTTTATAGAAGTAGAACACAACTTACCAGATCATCAAATATGTCTCGCTGATGAACATGTATTGTAATTAATGTTTCATATTTTATTCTCTCCATTGGAAGAAGATTTTCAGTTGTTTTAGCAATCAGCATGTTCAAGATGGTCAAGAAATAGATATTAGCATTGACCATGAACTTCTTGTCAAATTTAGCACCTTTCAAAGCTTCTTCAGCTGCTTTAGTCCACAAGAATTGAATACCCAACAGTCCAACCTAGTTTAAAAAAACAGAAAAAGGTTTCTGCTCTATAAGCTACAAATATTGAGTAGATATTTTAAAAATATCTTATTAATTAGAATGGTATGATACATCAATCTTTAAAGAACTCATGTGTAAAAATGATTTAGTCTTAACTTAAGAGACCTGCGCTGGAAAGCTGTTAAGAAAAGTGTAGAGCTCAAATTCTGGGGCAGTGATAGCACGATAAGCTTCCCTGATAATGGCATGTAGAGACCTCTGTTGTTCTATCATCAGCATGTCCAGCCACTGCTCCACATTACCCTCACACTTGACAGCTTTCTCCAGCTGGGAGCAAAGTACAGCAGATTGATCATCACACACACAGACATTAACAAACATAACTAACACACCTTAACAAACATCACTCACACAAGGATACAATCATCACTCACACAAGGTAACAATCATCACTCACACAAGGTAACAATCATCACTCACACAAGTTAACAATCATCACTCACACAAGGATACAATCATCACTCACACAAGGTAACAATCATCACTCACACAAGTTAACAATCATCACTCACACAAGTTAACAATCATCACTCACACAAGTTAACAATCATCACTCACACAAGTAAACAATCATCACTCACACAAGTTAACAATCATCACTCACACAAGTAAACAATCATCACTCACACAAGTTAACAAAAAATCACTCACACAAGTTAACAAACATCACTCACACAAGTTAACAAACATCACTCACACAAGTTAACAAAAATCACTCACACAAGTTAACAATCATCACTCACACAAGATAACAATCATCACTCACACAATTTAACAATCATCACTCACACAAGTTAACAATCATCACTCACACAAGTTAACAATCATCACTCACACAAGGTAACAATCATCACTCACACAAGTTAACAATCATCACTCACACAAGGAAACAATCATCACTCACACAAGGAAACAATCATCACTCACACAAGTTAACAATCATCACTCACACAAGTAAACAATCATCACTCACACAAGTTAACAATCAACACTCACACAAGTCAACAATCATCACTCACACAAGTTAACAATCATCACTCACACAAGTTAACAAACATCACTCACACAAGTCAACAATCATCATTCACACAAGTTAACAATCAACATTCACACAAGTTAACAATCATCACTCACACAAAAAATTAAAATTGTGCAGAAAGTAAATCAACATTTCATCAGAACTGAACTGACCTGAATTTTTTCCCCCTCTCTAGAAACACAGGACAGAATGAGATCATAAACTTTTTCATGGAACTCAACAGATTTGATGTTGTCAAACAAACCTAGCAGATGTGCCTGACAATATTAACATATTAGATATTTGACAATGTTAGATCTCAGTGGTTTCAATATTTCAATTGAATTTAGAAAATTATTTTCAAAACTTGACAGGGTTTCATATAACCAATTCCTAATATTATGGGACGACGTGGCCAAGCAGTAGAGAGTTAGACTGCTACCCAGTGGCGTAGTGAGGTCGGGTGTCACCCGGTGTGGCACTTAATGGTGTCACCCCCCAGAGGCATAGCGACCCTTCCCGGGGACAAACTTTCAAATTTTTTATTTGCAGCCCCCCCCCCCTCAAACTTTCGATTTGCACCCCACCCCCTCAAACTTTTGATTTGCACCCCCGCCTCAAGTTTTTCTATATATATTTTGCTATTTTTTGCCATGGTGTCAACCGGTGCGGTCCTCACCCCCCGCCCCCCCCCCCCTCGCTACGCCTCTGCTGCTACCTGAAAATCTCGAGTTCAAATCCAGGTTCAAGTCAGTAGAACATCCCTGAATCAGCCCAGCTCTAATGGGCAAACTCACATTAGGGAAAGCAAAGGTGGCTGGGTATAGTGCTGACCACACTGTCCCTTTTTGTGTGACGGTCTCTGAAACAGATGAACTCTACTTCATCTGCCCCATGTGTCTTGGGCACAAACAGGAAAACATGATAAAATTCTCATATTTACCTGAATTGATTGACCACAAAAAAACTCATCTTAATCTGTATTATATAACGTCACAAAAAAAATCACATTAATATGTATTTTATGACTTGTGTATAGCTTCCTTAAACCTGTGTTTCATGGTCTGATAAAAGGCTGGTAATGTACCTGAATTGTGTGGCAATTATGGTCTGATAAAAGGCTGGTAATGTACCTGAATTGTGTGGCAATTATGGTCTGATAAAAGGCTGGTAATGTACCTGAATTGTGTGGCAATTATGGTCTGATAAAAGGCTGGTAATATACCTGAATTGTGTGGCAATCGCTAGCCTGACCTAATATTTCCAGAAGAGCGGGATCTGATACAAAAAAAAATCTGGGGAACAGCAATCTTTTCTTCTCTAGATACCTGTGTAAGGAAAAACTCTTTATAATACTTCATTCTAAATACCTAAAAATGTTTACATTGTTTTCTTGTAACCATACTTTTATTTTTCTAGTATCAGTTTGCAAACAAATTTTATATAATAATAATTGCATAATAAAATGTTCAAGAAATTACTGTCAGCATAAATCCAAGACCGCAACATGTTAGACCAAGACACTGACCCTGTAAGAGACTTCTGACACAGTTCCAACTGCTCCTGAAGGTGGGGTAAGATCTGGTGCATTGTGTCATCACTCCCACAACAAGCAATCACATTGTCATTTTCATGGGCTCGTGTCATTACTTTAAGCCACTGTTTATCTATGGCAGCAAATCTTTTCGATTCCTAAAAACAAATACATACATATGAATAAATTATAACAAGCATTATTCAAAATACTTTCAACTTTTAGAAAATATCCGCTTTTATAGTGATACAGCTAGATCTAAATATAATTTTATTTTCACTCTAAAGCAACTACAAATGTTAAAAAAGTCTTTTATGTTTGAAAACTTGAAAAGTTTTAAACCTGTGGCAGTTGTTTTGCTATATCTCCTCCAACAAACACAGCCTCTAAATAAACCCATGTATTTTGGACCACAATCCATTGTTCTAGAACATCTGCTGTCATGCTCAGGTACTGAACCCAAACCTGGATTTTGCTCTTGTAGGGAGTGTTGTACCTAAAAGTCATATTTAAGACACTCTAAGTCATTTAATAAACAGCTAATTTAAAATTATAGCTTTAAACTATTCAAAAAACTTTTAATTTTAGATAATCATCATACAAAATAGAATGAGAAGACAGAGATAATCTACACAAAATCCAGGATCAGAAGACAGATAATCTACACAAAATCCAGGATCAGAAGACGTAATCTACTTAAAACTCAGGTTAATATGATAAGCTGTTTTTCCTCTCATGCTACCTGTTGCTTAAGAGTGAGCTAAGGATCATCAAGGAATCCTCCACCAAGCTAATAGTTTCTGCTGTATCAGAGGGTTTAAGAAGTAATTCCCCACGGTTTTTAAAATTCATAAAGGTCAAAGTTCTGTTAGTCCAATCATTGACCACTTGTTTGAGTTTTGCCTCAATATCTTTTTCCTTTACAGCACTAATGCAAATATCCTGTAAATAAATAAAGTTTACCAAATCAAAATTTTAAATCTTGAAAGTCTTTAACCCACCATTAAATTTCTTCAACACAACTGATATTGATTATCTCTTCCTTTTTAACAGATAGAAGTCAATAACTAAAATGGATTAGTCTACAAACTAAATGAGTCAGCTCTTACAAACTAAAATTATACATTACCTCTACTTCATCTTTGACTGGCAAGAGTGGGGCCTTCATTATGTCTTTAAGATGGACATTCTCCATGATTATATCCATAGGCTGGTCTATGGCAACATCAAATTCAAACTTGTAGTTGGCTATATCTTCAATTCGTCTCCAGTGTCTTGCCTGCATGGACTTGTTTGCCATCAGTTCTAGCAGTGGTACAGTTTCATTGAAGTCATCAATCTTTTTCTTCAGGTCATTAAATGCTGGCCAGTCTTTCAGAGCTTTTGGTAGACGGCGACATCTGAAATATATTTTTAAAAACTCTCCTGAATTCAAATAACAGGTAATTACCCAGCGTATCACATATTATTTTTGTCTAAAACATGTTAAATTACTAAAATTATTCTATTTTGATTTTAAAAATTCAATATGAAATAAATCAGAAAGTTACATCTAAATTCCTCCCGTAAAAATTATAATTGGGCAAATATTACACAAACAATGAAGCAAATTTAAGCCCTTTGATTTTTATAAATATCATCACACACCAAACAGGAAGATGGCCACGACTTTTGTCACATTTGCCAGCTTGGTTAGTAAATAGAGGAGGGGTCAAGAATCATGTGCAAGCACAGATTTTGTATTATTTCAAAAGAAACATAAAAAAAAATTCATTAAAAACGTTTTAATAACAAGCTTTTATGTAATGATGCACTAAAAAGTAGAAAATAAATTATAGACTACTATTTAAATAACTATAAAGAAAAGCGTGGGTCACTTTAGTATCTATTGGATACCTTTACTAATGTTAAGGAAGACACCCACGCTTTTCTTTATAGTTATTTAAATAGTAGTCTATAATTTATTTTCTACTTTTTAGTGCATCATTACATAAAAGCTTGTTATTAAAACGTTTTTTATGAATTTTTTTTTCAGTACTTTACATGTTTTATTTACAATAGAGTTACATGACTAAAAACCATTGAGCGCCTACTGAACATCACGTTCAGTAGGCGTGCAATGGTTTTTGAACGCAGCCATTACGTGATGGTGCAGCTATTGAAGGTGATGACGCGTGTGGTGTGGTTGGCTAGACATGCCTACTAATTCGGTCCAAATTTTAATTAATTCATAAAAAATTAATCAGGCATCCAATTAAGTCAAATTTAGTTTCAGATTGCATTGTCTTCATGTCTTGACCCACGTGCCAAGTGTGAATCATATCGGTCAAGTAGAAGTTTCCGAATTTTCACTCCTGCGTTTCTATCTAGACAGACAGACTGTCGACAGAGGAAGTGAGTTAAATAAAAGCTTGTAATAAAAGGAGTATTAATTTCCATAACAAATACATTTTGCTTAGGCTGGTGAATCAGTGGTTTCATCTGAGGGGTGAATCTGTCTTTTGTGTAACAATAGCGGCTACATTCTCTCCAAGAAATGAGAGAAATTATAGATGATGTCCAAGTACTTTTGAATGTACCTGTTTTGTAATTCAGTGAGTTCAGCATTAATCTACTCACAATCCACCTGCATAATCTACCTGTTTTGTAATTCAGTGAGTTCAGCATTAATCTACTCACAATCCACCTGCATAATCTACCTGTTTTGTAATTCAGTGAGTTCAGCATTAATCTTCTCACAATCCACTTCTGCCCAGTTCATCTCAATGTACTTGTCAATGGTTGTCATGACACTGGTGTATAAACTATACAGTTTTTGTAGCAGGGCCAGCTCCTTCTTAACCTTCTCAAATTCTGGCTGTTCAGTTTTAGGTAGTCCAAACAGTTCCTCTCCATCTGAGTAAGTCAAGTGTTTACGATAGAGAAAATCAAACCACATCTGGAAAAGAAAAAGCCCATTGCTATATTTATGCAAAATAAAGCAAATAAAAATTAAACAAAAAAAATGACAGACCAAGGAGGCATCTCATGAATAACCAATAAGAAACATGTTGCCGCTATCTCTAATTCACACAAATTGTCAGTAATAGTTCAGTTAAAATATTAACTATTATACTACAATTCCAGAGGAAATGCTATTGCCACTATTGGGCAATAATGTAAGTTGACTTGGTGGAATACAAATAGGTAATTCTTGTGTCAGGTAATCTTTACCTTGTGTGGCAGGTACTTTACACAACACCAATGTCATGAATTTAGGCCATTTAACATATTTCAGGTCATTTACACAGTGATACCTATGTGCAATTACCTGAAAATTCTGTAGTCTGTCATTGGCAACAATTGGAGGAATACCAATTTCCATTGGACCTTTCTGAGTAGATATGAAAAAAAAATATTTAGTACTATTTTCATATATTGTCATATTTTTTATTTATTTAATTAATATCTGAATATTAAAAAAATGAGGTGGAGGTGGCTGAAGAAAAATTCAAAACTAATAAAAAATGTAGGATTGGGTGCAAAAACCATTGAAGTAAATGTGGCCAGTTGCCCAGCAAATGACCTCCTTAAAGACAAGTTCAAATAAGGGCGGGATGGTTTTATAAGTATTTGCCCAAGGAAGACTTTCCTAATATTACACATTTTGCATCAAAGTTCCGTTAAGAGGCGTTCTTCAGGGGCCCTATCACCCCGAAGAGATGCCTGGAAGAAACTCTGGCCCCCGAACTTATATTTGATAGCTAATGCGGCGCTCGGGCTGAAAAGTTTGGAGACCCCTGCCCTAAAGCAAATGAAAACATTGAAATACTAAATATTTTCCAAAAGCATAACATTTATTTTCTAAGTTAAAAAGTAAATGATTGTACCAAACAGTGTAAAGATTAAATCCCTATTTTTCATTTTATATTGGAGAAGCTTTCTCACCTTGTAATAATCATTTAAAAATACAGCAATATCTGCAGCCAGTGAATCAACAGAAGAACTTAACTCCTCTTTGAATACAGGCTGAACTTCTAGTAAATGATTGGTCACTTGGGTCTATACAATAATATATACATATATTATAGTTAAGATTCAGGTGTATTTAATAAAAGATTATTTACCACACTAAAAATGGTTATGTATTTTGAGGACCAACTAGGTTGTAAGGCCATTGGTTTTTTCTGTTATGTCTAAAATGTATTGTGGATGGTTTAACTCTCCATTACATGTTGTAACCAACTAAAGCATTGCCTTGAAGCTATTCTCACAGACAGAGAGGCCACATCTGCTGGGAGCTGTGTAGCCAGCACTTAAGACTTCAGCACCACTGGCTTAGTAGGGGGATGTTTAAATCATCTCATCTCTCTTATGGTTTCACTGTATTATGTCTACCATTATATGGGTAGATGATAATTTTAACTGAATTATCTACAAATTTGGCAGGCTGCTAATTTAACTGCAATAAAGTGGGTGGTTGAAACTGTTTAGTTTACACTTATGTGTTCAAACTTGCATCAATAAAAAAAACTTTCTTAAGTGACTAAATAAAAAAATAAAAAGCATACACTCATGTCCATAAGTTTTACATATGCATAGCGTAATGATTCACCCCTCTCTATTTCTTCTTGTTGGACTACTGTACTAAAAGACGCCATCATATTATATGCTTCCTGAATCAGAGCAGACAGAGCAGAATGATGACCAATATACATTAATAAACAAATTAAATAATATTCTAAGCCTTTATAGCTTATATATAATAGCATTTAAAGTTTATATATAGGCCTATATAAGCTCTATTCAAATGAAAAAAGGCAATACTATTTCTGTAATGTCTGAAAAACCTAAGGTGCAATTTAGTTTTTTCATAGTAGGTAATAGTTTTTTTAAAATTAGGTCATTAGTTACCAAAAATAAGTGAAACAAAAGTTTCTGAAGTTTAAATTAATATTTGTGAGTCTAATAAATTTAAATAAGAAATTACAATAAATGTTGCAAATTAACTTAACTTTGTTACCATCAATTCTATTGAGCTAATAAATAGAAAAAAAATTTCATATGAAACTTCCAAGTGTGAGGACACAGTAAATAATAAACCAGGAGTGATCTCCCCTAAACTTTCTCGAATCTATATATATAAAAAGCAATGTATGTTTGTGTGTGTGTCTGTTTGTCTGTTTGTCTTTTATGCATTACTACACCTCTCATCACATTGCCGTGAAACTTTGGGAAGTTGTTGAGAATATTCCTGAGGAGGTTTCTGCGGCAGGGCGCAATTTGTTTTTTCTCTATATACGGTATATAAAAATAAAAGTCTATTTTGGTTTGACATCGTTCATCCGATAGTCATGAAACTTTGGGGAGTTCATTATAACACTCAAGGGAAGGGTTCTGTAAAAAAAATCATTTTTAATTTCGCAAGGGCGGCGCCACGGGAGGCTGCAATTTTTCTCTATATACGGTTTATAAAAATTAAAGTCTATTTCGGTTTCATCCGTGTACCATGAAACTTTGGGGAGATGATTAGATCACCCAATGGTAGGGTTCTGCAAAAAAATATTGTTTAATATTGCAAGGGGGGGGGGGGGGGAGCGATTTTTTTTTCTCTATACACGGTATATAAAAAATAAAACTCGGATGTGGTTCATCCGAGTGCCATGAAATTTAGGAAGTAGATGAGAATACTCCAGAGAATATTTCTGCGAAAAAGAAAACTAAAGTTTCTTATGAGCGGCGCCATATAGGGTACAACTTTCGTCAATACACAGTTTGGAGCCCAGAGTATTAGAGCGACTATGTTGGCACTTGGCATCCGTTAATTGAGCTTTTTAGAAAAGATGGTCACGCGTCTAAGAACATATGATTGGTAACGCGTTGGTGAAATCCTTCTAATACATTTCGTCAAACTTTCTTCTATCCCCGCGGCAACGCGCAGGGGACGGGTACGCTAGTATTCTAATATAACACTACGGGGGATGGCAACTCGGGACATAGACAATATTTTAAATCCATTTTTAATTACTTAAACTTTTTATAATAGAATAGAATCTCATAAAAAAAAAGAAGTACACACCAAGTGGACGCCAAATAAAATGTGCATAATAGTGCGGGATATTATTAGTACTTTATAAATTCACATGCATTTTTTTTTAGAAATCGGAAATAGCGTAAATTACTACTTCAGATGGACGGAAATTACTCAAATTTGATAGAACATGTGAAATTTCATTTATCTATCTGAAATAGTACTCAAGTTATAGGCTTTTGAAAAATTCAAAGTAGAAAAAGTTCCACTTCCGGTTAGGAAATTTCATCAACCTAGCTGTAACGGTACTCAAGTTATCGTGTTTACACATACACAGACACACATACATACAGACAAGATTGCAAAACTATGTTTTCCGACTCAGGTAGCCCTAAAACGTCGAGATTTGCAATAATCTCGATTTTTTTATTTTGCACGATTACAAGACTTTCTCTATACTTAGTATACATGAGAAAGTAAAAAGGAACCAACCTCAATAGGGGATATTTGCTCATCCAGCCATATATAGTTTTCTTTCAATGAATTTAGACCCCCCATTGCTGATCGAATGTCATCCATGTCCTTTATTGGTTTATTAAGAATCTTTGATTTAGCAGTAATGAACTCTGATATTTCTTCTGCCTGCTCCTTTATCATATTATTAAGCTCCATGCCATAATTCTTTTTCCAATCTTCAATTTCATCCATTAAAGATTGTTTTAAACTTTCTGAAAATAAAAATGACATCTCTCAAATCTTCCAATAAAATCCAGACTTTAAGAATAAAAACACAATTTATGTTTTCTTTAATTATTTGTAGGCTGAGATGCAACAATTTTGAACAAAAGATAATTCCTTTTCTCCCCACCAACACTCACATTTCAAGAAAATAAAAAGCACAATCACTAACAAGAATGGGACAGACACTTATGAACAATGATGTCTTTTTCTAATACAACCATTTGACATTTTGTGTTATAGGGTAATAAAAATCAATGTCAAGATCACCAAACCACTGTGAGAAAACTTTACACAAGAATGAATGCTTACGAGACTAAGTGTTGCATTAGCTCACAGAGAGACAAATACATGGACCATTAGCTGAATTCTAGAGGGCTTAAGACTTGTGTAATAATTATCTATGACAAAACATCTCAGAGATAAAATAACTCAGCACGAAATATCTCAAGACAAAAATCTTGAAAGGGGGGTGGGGTGCAAGGGGTTATAAACCTCCCAATTAGCCCCTACTCCAAATTTTGAACATCATAAAACCACTGTTTCTTCTTAAAAATGTATGGATATATATTTATATATAATTTTATATTGTTTTTATAGCATTATAAAGCACAATGTAAATCAACCTGACATCTTACAAGTATATGCACAGGCTAAAATTGTTTTTACTTCCACACTATCTAAAATCCTTAGGTACGCAGTATAAAGATAAAACTTTACCTGTTCTTAAAACAATGCTTCCAAGGTTGATTTCTGGTGAAATATTTTTAACCATGTCTTCTTCACTTTGGAGGTGGATCAAAACTTCTCTAAATTCATACAAACCTGGCTTAGTTTTCATAAACTCCTAAAACAAAAAATTAAAAGATCTTGACCATTTCTTTTAAGAATAATATTTTGTTCAGAAACTGTTATAATTTAACAACCATACCAAAAATAAACAATGAAATTGTTCATTTAACTATTCTCACACAAAAAAAAAAGATGAAACTATTAATTAAATAATTTTCATTGTGGGTTCTAGGCCTGTTATTGCTGTTCATGTTTTTTTCTTTAATCAATCAAACAAACAAAGCAACCAACAAACCTCGACAACAGATTTTTTATCCTGAGACCAAATATGCTCAAATTGATTAAAATGTTTTAAGGCTCTTTTCACTTCATCTGCTAATGGTGAAGCAATGACTCCAAGATTGGTGTATTTTAAAACATCTTTGTTTTCCATAACAATTTTGTAACAGTTTTTCTTCAAGACCAAAGCTTTCAATAAAGAAGCATAAACAATATTAGATTTTACTGTAAACTCAAATTAAAGATTAATATTTTTTTAAAATCCACTGGATTTAGAAAACTGTAAAAAGTGTTTACTTCCACTGGATCAAGAATTAACTGTAAAATAAAATTAAATTCCACTGGATTTAGAATGAAATGTAAAAAAATGTTTACTTCCACTGGATTTAGTATGGACTTTTGTCTCCAGCTTGGCAAAGCAGCTAGGGCTGACATCCTCCCACACTTCAACTTTTTTTGTTATATCTTGAATCATTACAACTGCTTTATTTAAAGCTTGTATCATTGCTTCTGTCTTTGGGTTAATAATCTACAAAAGTATTGATACAATCTGTACAACTTTGTTACAGTTAAGATTTACCAGAAGTCCAATAATGTCTCTTGTGTTGATTCCTTAAAAAATGTATAACAGAACTCAACTCCCCAACCATTAAATATTAGATATTATATAAATCAGAGCTGTTCAAGAAGAAATTTTCTATCAATGGAATACAATACATGACCCAACTAAAATAAGATTAAAACTTAAATGATCTTTATTTAATTTTAACATTAACAATTGAGTACATTTAACATTTATTTTTACATCTCATGTCTTTTTCATAAATATACTTGAATACAAAAATATCCAACTGTTGTAATCTATGTATAAAAACTCACCACTTTTGAATCAACCAACTCAACATCAACTACAAAAAATGGCAGCCCTGAGCCTCTGATGTCGTCGTCTATAAATAAGCTGTTGGATCGCCCCATACTATTTTAATAAAATATACATTATTAGAAAAGTAAGGAAATGTTGTCCTTTAATAAATGAAAACATTTATAGACTAATGTATTATCGCAAAGTGTGTGTAAAGTGTTGTTTTCAAAACTAGCTAAGCCCTAAAGAATAAAACCACTAAGAAAACTAACATTCTTTGATCATTTGACTTGGACTTTAGATTAAGAACATTATTAGAAATGTGAACCCCTTTAGCAATTAGTTCTAGCTGGCTGATAGCATCCCCAATAGAAAATGTATCAAAACCCCCAGCATCTCAGTAGTGTTTCCAACCACTTCTCTGGCCATATGACACTTGTCTGAACTTTATAACCTCTATTGATTTTTGGCTGGCAGTTGCTGTCAGAATATTTATGCCCCCCACCCCATCCCACCCCCAATAATATATGTACTTAAGATCCACCCAAGTACAATAAAAGAACAGATTCTATCACAAAAACTCAATAATGTGTAAATCAATAAAGAAGAAAACTGTAATAAAGCAACAAGTCTACCCAGAAGCAAATCTTTTTCTTAATGACAGCAGAGAGTTGCGGACAGAGCGCACTAAGGCATCAATTATTTTCAGTTTGAAGTCTTCAAACATATTTTTACAACATGTAATGTAATTCTCTTTGGTCATCAAATCTTCAGGTGGGGGACTATTGTCCATCTCTACATTTGAGCTCAGAGTTTCTAATGCAGACTGGTATTGGTACAAAGGTATGATTTTGTTGCCTGTAGGAGTTTACAAGATGAAAATAATACTCTAATGCAGACTGGTATTGGTACAAAGGTATGATTTTGTTGCCTGGAGGAGTTTACAAGATGAAAATAATGCTCTAATGCAGACTGGTATTGGTACAAAGGTATGATTTTGTTGCCTGTAGGAGTTTACAAGATGAAAATAATACTCTAATGCAGACTGGTATTGGTACAAAGGTATGATTTTGTTGCCTGTAGGAGTTTACAAGATGAAAATAATACTCTAATGCAGACTGGTATTGGTACAAAGGTATGATTTTGTTGCCTGTAGGAGTTTACAAGATGAAAATAATACTCTAATGCAGACTGGTATTGGTACAAAGGTATGATTTTGTTGCCTGGAGGAGTTTACAAGATGAAAATAATGCTCTAATGCAGACTGGTATTGGTACAAAGGTATGATTTTGTTGCCTGTAGGAGTTTACAAGATGAAAATAATGCTCTAATGCAGACTGGTATTGGTACAAAGGTATGATTTTGTTGCCTGGAGGAGTTTACAAGATGAAAATAATACTCTAATGCAGACTGGTATTGGTACAAAGGTATGATTTTGTTGCCTGTAGGAGTTTACAAGATGAAAATAATACTCTAATGCAGACTGGTATTGGTACAAAGGTATGATTTTGTTGCCTGGAGGAGTTTACAAGATGAAAATAATGCTCTAATGCAGACTGGTATTGGTACAAAGGTATGATTTTGTTGCCTGTAGGAGTTTACAAGATGAAAATAATACTCTAATGCAGACTGGTATTGGTACAAAGGTATGATTTTGTTGCCTGTAGGAGTTTACAAGATGAAAATAATACTCTAATGCAGACTGGTATTGGTACAAAGGTATGATTTTGTTGCCTGTAGGAGTTTACAAGATGAAAATAATACTCTAATGCAGACTGGTATTGGTACAAAGGTATGATTTTGTTGCCTGGAGGAGTTTACAAGATGAAAATAATGCTCTAATGCAGACTGGTATTGGTACAAAGGTATGATTTTGTTGCCTGTAGGAGTTTACAAGATGAAAATAATACTCTAATGCAGACTGGTATTGGTACAAAGGTATGATTTTGTTGCCTGGAGGAGTTTACAAGATGAAAATAATACTCTAATGCAGACTGGTATTGGTACAAAGGTATGATTTTGTTGCCTGTAGGAGTTTACAAGATGAAAATAATACTCTAATGCAGACTGGTATTGGTACAAAGGTATGATTTTGTTGCCTGGAGGAGTTTACAAGATGAAAATAATGCTCTAATGCAGACTGGTATTGGTACAAAGGTATGATTTTGTTGCCTGTAGGAGTTTACAAGATGAAAATAATACTCTAATGCAGACTGGTATTGGTACAAAGGTATGATTTTGTTGCCTGTAGGAGTTTACAAGATGAAAATAATACTCTAATGCAGACTGGTATTGGTACAAAGGTATGATTTTGTTGCCTGTAGGGGTTTACAAGATGAAAATAATACAAAAACTAAACCTGGCATCACTTTTCTTTTATATACTAAAAAAAAAAATTTAATTTTGGATTTTTAACTTATGTGTCATTTTTGGTAAAAGAAATGTAAATACTTCCAAGTAACACTGAACTATCTTACCGTCAACCGAGGCAATTTTTTGTTCTCTATTGTAAAGAATTTCCAGCTCTTTGTACTCATCTGCTGTGTGATTGACAAAGATTGTCAACAGCCCATACACAACATCACAAATCATGTTATTATTTAGGTTCAATTCTTCTCCAATGTCAAGAGTATATTTCTGAAGAAAATAATAATGATGGTTATAAAACTTTGGTCTGTGTATTAGAACTTACCTTATGGATTAAATGAAATTTGTCTGCAATAGTATCAATCCATATTGAATCAATAGACCTACATAGTACAGATCAATTCCCGATAAATCCAAGTGTTTTACCTTGATATTAGATATAAATTCTTCTACAGTCCATGGTGTTGTTGTGGGGAATACACAAAGATTATTTTCTGATATGTGTTGCATCTTTTCATCAATTCGAGTACTTTTTATATCATTTACCTGTAGTAAAAATAATTACTTTAAGAATTTCACCTAAAATCTAATACAATTTTTTTCTGATCCATACAGATTCTTGAAAAATAATACATGAAATAAAATAATTGCACAAACAATTTTTTATCTTGTGTAGAAGTAAAACTTTGAGTTTACTTACAATTGTAAGAAAATGCCTGAAATCATTAAATGCTTTATTCAGACTTCTAAAGTACTCATGAACCTCAAGAGATGTCCAGGTAATTGTTGTAGAACCAGGAAAGATCAGGCTTTCAATCTTTTTTGTAAAATTATAAGCATGCAGTTATTGATACAAGCAGTTATAACACAAATTACAGTATATGCAAATATCAAATTAAACTTATTAGCAGTCTTCAAAAACTGGTTTACCAAAAAACATTTAGAAAAAAACCAGCACTTTGTTGAAATTTATAATTTAAGCTTAAAAGACAAAATTCAAATAATGTATGTATGTAAAGGTAATTAAAGAGCAAGCATTTATTGTTATGCATATATTCTTTAAACAATGATGATTTATCTTAAAAAATTATGGTTTACCCTAACTAATGATGGTTTACCTTAACTAATGATGGTTTACCTTAACTAATGATGGTTTACCCTAACTAATGATGGTTTACCTTAACTAATGATGGTTTACCTTAACTAATGATGGTTTACCTTAACTAATGATGGTTTACCCTAAGTAATGATGGCTTACCTTAACTAATGATGGTTTACCTTAACTAGTGATGGTTTACCTTAACTAATGATGGTTTACCTTAAATAACGAAGGTTGTGTTAGAGGTAAGAATGCATCAGGTATTGTTTCAATCAACTGTTTATGTTCTATGAGGACCATCTGTTAATCAGTTTTTAAAATTAAAATGTTTTAATAATCAGCATTAATTTCATATTACATCTAGTGTAATGTATGTTAGGACTCAACAAAATATAAACAAGTCCTTTTTATGTCATAAAAAACGATTATTGATAATCAAAACATTCAGGGATATAAAAATTAGATTAAAAATATTTTAGTTTGTAATTATGGCCAATCAAATTATACATGAATTTAGAATAGCCAACTATTTACTATTTCTATTAAGTAATAACTAAAACACACTATTCTATTCTCACCTGCAATTTGCGATACACTGTAATGATATCACTATAAGCAAAAATTAGATTTATCAGATTTTTTGGCACTTGTAAGCCAAGCATTACCATATACTTGGCTTCTTTTATTATTTCAAATATATAAGGATCAAAATTGATGATGTACTCTTTACGATGTGATCGTCTGATCAAAAGAGGAACTTGCAAATCTGGATGAATTTAAGTTGTATCAAGAACTATGTTCTTAAATGGTAAAGTAATGTTTTTTAAAGAAAAGTAGGACACGGCATTCATCCTTTAAATATTCATTCATCCAGCAACTTAACATTTTATTTATTCTAAATAATTTTCAATTTAATTAAAACAATAAGAATTTAAGATTAATTATTATTACAAATACATATATCTCTTTCTTTAAAATTAGTCAGAGTAGATTGTTTTAAAATACATCCATCACCTTCATATTATCAAATATTATCATAAAACTATTTATTAAACTGGATAATACCCAACAGAATGTGGTGAAGCAAGTCAAAGCCCTCCATTGGCTATAGAGATACTTGGATAGATGGATGGATGGATGAGGTGACGGATAATACACAAATAAATTTTAAAATTTTAAAGTGAAATAAACATTAGTGCTGAGTAAACAATTAATCCCTTACTGTTAGCAGCCGTGTCCAAAGATTTGTACCAAGCAATGTGCAGGATAACTTCAGTTTTAACTAGCATGTACACAAATTTGTTATAGCGGTACATGATTTTCCTCCCAGGTTTAGACTTCATTACAGAAGGCCTGTAGTGCTAACAAACAAATAGTTCATATTTATTGGCGGTAGATGCCATATTATATTTTCAACTTTTATTTAAGTCTGATACAACTTGAACTTATTTTAATTAAAAAGTGCATGCTAATTACCTGTAACATAAAGATTGGTTTAGCGATGTTGTTTAGAATTTGCCTTAGCCAAAAGATTTTCCCTGATATTGGGGGAACATTGCGCTGTATATTTGGATCATCTTTTTCTCGCTCATACATCTGGTGATACAACAACAATAAAGTATAACTAAATTTATTAGAATGCTCAGTAAATAAACTAATTAAGTGCTTTACAACAAAGTTTATAATAACAAGTTTTTTATTAATGAACCAGTACAGAAGTAAATAAAATGATTTATTTAAAAGTAAAAATGCACCACTATAATGTAAGTTTAAATTAATGTAATAGTTGCTAATGTTGAAAAAAAAGGTTTGGAAATTTGTAAGCTCATTAAATATATCTTTAAATCATCTTTTATACATCTTTTAAATACATCTTTAGAGAGAATGGTAGCCTACGGTTGCTCAAAGTAGATAGTTTTAGTGTATATTTGCAAATGAATACTCTAATAAACATTATGAACAACCAATGCTTTTGTGTATAATTAAATTGAATTAATGAATTTATTTTTTAAATCATGCACCAAACGTCTACAAGCACTTTATTTAAATATCTCTAAATAAAGTCTATTAAAATCTCATTATTATAATCAAATGAAATTTTATTTAGTTAATTTTTTAAGGAAATTATTTGTGGGTGAAAATTCTATTTTTAAATAGATTTAAAAAGATTGTAATAAAACTAGGCCAACATACAGCCATAACAATGTCCAACTCTTCATTGTAGACAGCCACAATATTCATGTACTCTGTCTCCAGGTCTAAAAAATCTAAATTTAACTTTTCAAAACTGAAATAAATAATTCAAGTTGTAAATAAATTATTATCTTCTGCATTAAGATATTTTTAAAATTATTTTAATAATTTGCTAGTGCTTTGGTCAGCAGCCACAATTGTTAATGCTGTTACCAGATATCAATGTATTGTTAATCTCTGATAACAATTTTATACAACTTTTCATCTTCATTTATGACAAATAGAACAATCCAGATTAATTAGCAAGAAATAAAAATAGTTGTATTGTAATAGAAACAGATTAAAGAAATCATAAACACGCTGGTGCATTTTATTCTTGCAAAATTTGTTATTTATAATTAATGGGCAAAAAAGCATTAATTACAAGTTAATTAAAGGAGGCTAACCATTTATTACATCTAATTTGTTCTTAATTGTAAAGTTGGACAGGATTTCCTCCAACACAATTAAGTATAAGGTGTCAACCTGTTATGCGCCATATAGGCTGTTGATTTTAACCTGCTTTTTGTGGATTTGCTTCCATAACCTTTCTCCATCCAAGAACAAATTACAAGGCAGTTTTCTCTCCTAGATGGGCTGCTGTCCTCAGTTATTGAAACTCATCTGCCGGGGGGGTCCTAGCTCTCTATGGACTTTTTGGTTTAACAACCATGAGCTTTACAGACTTGACCACACTGACCCCTAGTACAGCTGCTTTAGAGCAGATTTTGATACATTTTCCCCTACAGGACATATGTATTCAGGATTCTTTTACCTTGTTAAGAATCTGTAGTTTATTATAACCAAAAAGATGGTAAAGAACAGACCTTCTTGTCATTTTTAGTTTGTCCAAGCTTCTCTTTAAATTCTTCAATGAATTCACCATGAACTTTTGCAGATTTACCTGAATAGTACACATAGAAGAAGTTTATAAAAATAGTTTTGAAAACACACAATGTATAATAAACAGAGAATAGCCCATTTTTCTTTCATTACATTTGTCTAATGTCTGTTAAATACAATTCTTAAAACACAACACAACATTACCTTAAGCTCCTCTATGCTGTCTAAAAACTTTTCAAAATCTTCTTCAAATGATGGATTTTTGTAGTTGAGAAGATCATGACCCTTCTTTTTCAAATGTAAATACAAGGACTGGAAACGATTAAAAAGAACTTCCAGGCCTTCAATGTTTGTTGATTCAAGAGATCCAAACATTGAAAAGTGATCTAGTAAGCAAATAATCTGTGAAAAGTATTGCATGATAAGTATTTGTTTATTAATGTCACAAGCAACTAATTTGTCAAAAATAATTCTAAAATATATAATTATTAATTAATATCCAAGCAAATAATCTGTAAAAAGAATTTTAAGATGTGTAATTGTTAATTAATATTACAGGGAAATAATATGTAAAACATATTGAAAAACAAATATTTTTTTAATTAACGGTACTAACAAATAATCTGTACAAAGAATTCTAAGATTTTAAGCTAACTGCTAATTAATGTCATTAGCTAAAAATCTGTATAAGAAATTCTAAGATGTAAATAATGTCACTTAAAACATGAACAGAAAAAAGAGTAAAAATTGGAATTACAAAGGTTCTCATTAATTATCTATGTAGCTTTAAGAAAATAAATTTTCTTGCAGTTGTTGATTGTTGATGCAATAAAGCTAAAATTGGTGGGTTAAAGAAGAAATATAAAATTACCATGTCCAAACGAGCTCTAAATGAGTAGATTTTCCCAAAGATATATGATTCAGAAAAGCTAAATGGTCTTTCAGTGTTTCCATTGGCTATTTTCTTTTTTGTTGACACATACATGTGAATGTATGCTTGAAATAATCTATGGGAAATAAAATATAATAACCTTTCTAAAATAAAGAGCAATTAATCAAACTCTATTGGCAACTAAAAACTGAAAGGCTGTAAGGAAAGCACACCTGTTAGCATGACAAAACTATTTCTTGAGAAAGCAAACTGACCTTATGCTATCCTTGATTTTTGTACGAAGTTCATCTTTTGGCATGTCCCAAAGTCTAGAAAAACCATTATCTGATATATAATTCTTGCAAGTTGTTACAATCTGATTAGTAATCTGCAAACAAAAGTTTTTTTTTATAATGAACAACAATTAGTATTTAAAATAATGAATCTTCTTCGGATAAACAACATTTGTATTAAATTACATTCATTATTACTATAATTATTTTTACATGTGCATACATATGCACATATGCACACACACATGCATGCATGCATGCATGCATGCATGCACACACACATATGCATGCACACACGCACACAGACACACACATATATATATATATATCAATTTTAAAAATCCAACCTTAACAAAGATTCTTGAAACTTTATCTGGGCTGGTATAGTATCTTGAAAAGTTATAGATTAATCTGATTGTTCCTATTAAACCAGGTAAGTTGTCCATCATCTGTTTCTGAGAAAATGAAATCAACCATCTAAAAGCTTGTTTGATAATGTTTGGTATCATTAATTAGAAAATGAAATAAACCATCTAAAAGCTTGTTTGATAATGTTTGGTATCATTAATTAGAAAATGAAATAAACCATCTAAAAGCTTGTTTGATAATGTTTGGTATCATTAATTCAGATTTTCAAGATGTGTAAAATGATTTCCTTTCATATGATTACATTAATCATGTTGGTTTAGTGTGTGTGTATATATATATATATATATATATATATATATATAAACCATATAGATAGATATATAGATAGATATAAGAATGTAACTTAAAAATCAGCTTACAGGTTGACATCTGTAGAGTGGTTCACAATACTTCTCAAGAGTGTATAGATATTTAGCATTGTCTCTGGCTTCGTTAGCCTGATCAGTCACCTTCATGTCCAGTTCTCGCCACTTCTCCATAACAGAGGATTTACATATGTATAGCACATGCATCACTAAGCGACACTGCTTAGATTTTATTTGTTGTACCAGATAACTGAAGTGGGCAGATCGTTTTAACCAAAATTCAAGTTCCTTTTTAGGTCCTATATCATCAGCTTCTCTTTGAATTCTTTCACCATCAATTAAAAGCTATATGTCACAAATATTAAAACTGCAGTTGAAAATGTTTGAGTTAATATTTTAAGCTAAAAATATTAATTTAATTGCATTACATTTTTGTACTCAATGTAATAAGTCAATCCTAATTTCCATTAGTGAACTTACAATTTCAACTTGCTGGCACCAAAGATTGGCAAGTTCTTCCAAAACACTAATAGTTGTTTTATTTAGAGCTGCATTAATACAGTCGTTAACATCATGAAGAGAATTAGCCACATTCATTTTTGATCTTTCACTTAACACTCCTAGTCCAACTGTCTCATTGACATGAGTTTCTCCCCCTGATTAAAATCATGACAGCTTTATCTATGTTTCTATAATTAGATTAAGCTAATTGTGATTTCAAAATAAACAATCCAATGGTAAAAGTTAGCTTCTCTAGCTCCCTAATACAATCCTAAATTCCATGCAATGTAACCAGTGAGGTGCAGTTGGGGGGGGGGGGGGGGGAATGGAATAGGCCATAGGCCTCCAATATGTGGGGGAAGATGGACGTCATCTTATGTGGGGGGGGGAGGTGGAAGAGATCTGATGTATTCAGTCCTGTGGGGGAAGGTGGATGAGATCTGATATAATGAGTCCTGGGGGGGGGGGGAAGGTGGGTGAAATCTGATATATTCAGTCCTGCGATGTGTTGGAGAATCAAAATGTATAGTTAACTCAATTATTGTGGCCACAATTCCTAAACTTCCTAAATTTTCAGAATTTTGCAGAATTTACCCTTTTTGTAATCACACTCTAGATGTGATCGTTTATAGGATGATTACTTGTATGACATTTACAGACTAGAGGGTAGTGATATGGTTTACATTGACAAACCCTGATTAAATCTAGATTTGTTCATTACATTTTTTAAATGTGATCCTGATATCCATGTATTAATTATTAACTAAATGTTTGCATATACAGCTTGCTAGTCAATTTTCTTGTAAAATTCTTTTAATTTAAAAAAATGTACTCACATAATAAATGCCGAGAAAAGTTTTCTATGCCGATGATCATTTCATTATAGTTGCACTTTTTATCACTTACTTTTCTCATCAGCTCTGTAAAAAGTTTGTACCTTTGCAGCGCAGGGAGGTAGACTTTGGCCACATGTTCGGCCAATGCACCCAGAAGGGTTTTTTCTTTAACATTGATGCTACAACACACAATGCTCTGGAAATTTAAGAAGGAACAAGCAGCCAATTAAAACAGTTTTTTTAACATTATAAGCTAGCTTTTATTTATATTCTAGTTCATTAGATTTTCATATGCCTAAATCATTAATATTAAGCAAAGTTAACCTTTCTTGGGGGGGGGGGGAGGAGAGAATGACACAATGACTTTTAAAAAAGCCTACTGCTACAGATACATGTCACAATTGAAGAAAAGCGAAAGCATATCACACAGAAATTTATTGTCAGATTCTGCTGAACAACACGGGCAATAACTTTTGGCTAAAAAAAATAATATATACAATGTAGTTTCTAGATTTATGATTTAATCATTCATTAATTTCTAGACAGTGTATTTATGGTAGACCTACCAGCAAAACATGCTCCACTTTAGAAACACAAATGAGGTGACATCTGTAGTAAATAATTACCTCAACAATGTTTTTGTCATCTAAAATAACTGGCAATCTTTTGATAAAAAATACACATTTTCCTTCAATGGGCAGGTCATAACCAGTGGATAACAAGACTCGCATTGCTTCTGGTGCCTTAGAAATTGGAGCATATGTTCTGCCGCAATCTGTTAATAGTGGTAAAAAGTGCAATAATTTACAGTAGACTATTCAGTTTTTCTTTAAATAAACTAAGTTGCTTGTGGATAAAGAAAACATTATGGCAAAGTTCAGTTTTCACATTTGTGATTCTGCAGTTCCCTACCAGAATAATTGAGAGTTTTAGCCATCTGATGATGCAGCATTAATACAGAATCGCCGTTGTAAGTGACAAACTCAACCATAGAATGGATGAACTAAAGAATAAAACAAATTGGTCTATTTAATAATCACCTTATAAAAACACTGAAAAAAAAAGAATTAGTGGGAATTTTTTCAGTGTTTTTTTAAGCGTATCCAAGTTTTTAAAAAATATTTGATTTTTATTTTCTATTTTTAGTAATTACAAATTCAAAAGGATAAAATAGCATGTTGATAATTAAGTTTTTAAAAACAATTAGTAGGCCTTTTATTTTTTGCATTTCTTTCATTAAGGAAATATCTAATTAGATCAAAAATGAGATATGTGTTGTTGTAAGAGACTAATGTTAGAGACTAAACAAGATTTGCCACAAACCCACAGACAGATATATAAAAGTAAAAGCTTTTAAAAATCACTATTTAACCACTGCCCACTAGTGGGGGCCACTAATTAAAACCACTGCCAATAACCACTAGTGTGGGACACTAATTATTATAATAAAATATTATAATTTAAATTAAAACCACTGCCAATTACCACTAAAGCGTGGGACACTAATTAAAACCACTGCCAATAACCACTAGAGTGAGCCACTAATTAAAACCATACTCACTAACCATTTAAAATTAGCTTGTTATAATAGTTGTATTATAGAGTTAGAGTCTAGGGCCTAAACTTTTTTTTATTTTAAAAATATAATACGAAGTGCAACAGCGCAGTACCAAATTCGTCCTGGTTTAAAAGTGAAAACAGGTTGCATTTTTTAGGCTAATAGGCATATAGCAATCGTTAGTTAATTTTTTTTTAAATAATTGGGCCCTACACATCTAATATTAATCACAATGGTGTCAGAGTAAAAAGTAAGTGTCAATTATGTAAAACAAATCAATTGAAATTTCGCTCGCAAGTTTCAACCCTTGGCCACAAAGACGGGCGGTTATATTGTTATAAGCAAGTAAAAAGCACGACAGAGAGAAGTTAAATAAAAGCTTGTGAAAAAAAACAACAACTCATGTCTTGCAAAAAAATCAAAAGCTGCAGATAGACGACACAAATGCTCCGTTAGAAATAAAACAGCGTTACGTCATTCTAAAATCTAGTACGCACGGTCGTGCATTTTAGTCCCTATTATTACTATTATTCACTGAATTATATTCCTACTCTTGGTTTGACAAAAACATCTGAATTCTGAATATTAAGTAGAATCCATCTCGTAGGCCACAAAGAAATTTTTTCAGCCTATATTACTTTATTTATATCGTATTAAGCTGATACAATTTAAGTTTAACGTATCCTATTTTGTAGGAATTTCTAATACAATGGATTTTTACTTACGTCGTATGAATCACAGACAAAATCCTCGACCTCGTCGTTAGAGATACCGAGATAATGTGAAGCCAGTGTGAATATGTAACGATGGAAGCCCATGATTGTCTGTTTCCTTTCTTCCCTGGCCTCTCGAGATGTATTCTATGTCAAAAATCGTTTTATAAATGTGCATGGTAGGTCTAAAAACACCTGGCAATTCAAAATAATCTCAACAATGTCCTATAACTAACAACATTATCTCAACAATGTCCTATAACTACCAACATAATCTCAACAATGTCCTATAACTACCAGCATCATCCCTTCATCCCACCAGTCATACCTACCAACATCATAACATCAATGAACGACCTTTCCTACATCCCACCAGTCATACCTACTAACATCATCTCATCAATGTCCGACACACGAACATCATCCCACCAATGTCCTATACCCACGAACATCATCCCACCAATGTCCTATACCCACGAACATCATCCCACCAATGTCCTATACCTACCAACATCATCCCACCAATGTCCCTTACTTACCAACATCATCCCACCAATGTCCTATACCTACCAACATCATCCCACCAATGTCCTATACCTACCAAAATCATCCCACCAATGTCCCTTACTTACCAACATCATCCCACCAATGTCCCTTACTTACCAACATCATCCCACCAATGTCCTATACCTACCAAAATCATCCCACCAATGTCCCTTACTTACCAACATCATCCCACCAATGCCCCTTAACTACCAACATCATCCCACCAATGTCCTATACTTACCAACATCATCCCACCAATGCCCCTTACTTACCAACATCATCCCACCAATGCCCCTTACTTACCAACATCATCCCACCAATGTCCTATACCTACCAACATCATCCCACCAATGTCCCTTACTTACCAACATCATCCCACCAATGTCCCTAACTTACCAACATCATCCCACCAATGTCCTATACCCACCAACATCATCCCACCAATGTCCTATACCTACCAACATCATCCCACCAATGTCCTATACTTACCAACATCATCCCACCAATGTCCCTTACTTACCAACATCATCCCACCAATGCCCCTTACTTACCAACATCATCCCACCAATGTCCTATACCCACTAACATCATCCCACCAATGTCCTATACCTACCAACATCATCCCACCAATGTCCTATACCTACCAACATCATCCCACCAATGTCCCTTACTTACCAACATCATCCCACCAATGTCCTATACCTACCAACATCATCCCACCAATGTCCTATACCCACGAACATCATCCCACCAATGTCCTATACCCACGAACATCATCCCACCAATGTCCTATACCTACCAACATCATCCCACCAATGTCCCTTACTTACCAACATCATCCCACCAATGTCCTATACCTACCAACATCATCCCACCAATGTCCTATACCTACCAAAATCATCCCACCAATGTCCCTTACTTACCAACATCATCCCACCAATGACCCTTACTTACCAACATCATCCCACCAATGCCCCTTAACTACCAAAATCATCCCACCAATGTCCCTTACTTACCAACATCATCCCACCAATGTCCCTTACTTACCAACATCATCCCACCAATGTCCTATACCTACCAAAATCATCCCACCAATGTCCCTTACTTACCAACATCATCCCACCAATGTCCTATACCTACCAACATCATCCCACCAATGTCCTATACCTACCAACATCATCCCACCAATGTCCCTTACTTACCAACATCATCCCACCAATGTCCTATACTTACCAACATCATCCCACCAATGCCCCTTACTTACCAACATCATCCCACCAATGCCCCTTACTTACCAACATCATCCCACCAATGTCCTATACCTACCAACATCATCCCACCAATGTCCTATACTTACCAACATCATCCCACCAATGTCCCTAACTTACCAACATCATCCCACCAATGTCCTATACCCACCAACATCATCCCACCAATGTCCTATACCTACCAACATCATCCCACCAATGTCCTATACTTACCAACATCATCCCACCAATGTCCCTTACTTACCAACATCATCCCACCAATGCCCCTTACTTACCAACATCATCCCACCAATGTCCTATACCCACCAACATCATCCCACCAATGTCCTATACCTACCAACATCATCCCACCAATGTCCTATACCTACCAACATCATCCCACCAATGTCCCTTACTTACCAACATCATCCCACCAATGTCCTATACCTACCAACATCATCCCACCAATGCCCCTTAACTACCAACATCATCCCACCAATGTCCTATACTTACCAACATCATCCCACCAATGCCCCTTACTTACCAACATCATCCCACCAATGCCCCTTACTTACCAACATCATCCCACCAATGTCCTATACCTACCAACATCATCCCACCAATGTCCTATACTTACCAACATCATCCCACCAATGTCCCTAACTTACCAACATCATCCCACCAATGTCCTATACCCACCAACATCATCCCACCAATGTCCTATACCTACCAACATCATCCCACCAATGTCCTATACTTACCAACATCATCCCACCAATGTCCCTTACTTACCAACATCATCCCACCAATGCCCCTTACTTACCAACATCATCCCACCAATGTCCTATACCCACCAACATCATCCCACCAATGTCCTATACCTACCAACATCATCCCACCAATGTCCTATACCTACCAACATCATCCCACCAATGTCCCTTACTTACCAACATCATCCCACCAATGTCCTATACCTACCAACATCATCCCACCAATGTCCTATACTTACCAACATCATCCCACCAATGTCCTATACCTACCAACATCATCCCACCAATGTCCCTTACTTACCAACATCATCCCACCAATGTCCTATACCTACCAACATCATCCCACCAATGTCCTATACCCACCAACATCATCCCACCAATGTCCTATACCTACCAACATCATCCCACCAATGTCCTATACCCACCAACATCATCCCACCAATGTCCTATACTTACCAACATCATCCCACCAATGTCCCTAACTTACCATTATCATATCATCCGTTGCTAACGACCCAGCTGTAGCAAGGGACCCTGCCACTGAGCCTAAAGACCTTGCATCTAGTACAACCGAGCGACTTTTTGCTATAGTCGAATGTTTTTTAGTAAGTTCAATCGGTTTGTTTGGCTCACTCGACATTGTTATTTTGTTTTCTGTATACACCTGCAAAAGGAATTATTCAAGACGTTTTGCGCTTTTTTTCTGGTTTAAGGATTATATTGTTATGTCCTCTCCAAAATCCTACAATGTCAATAATGTTATGTCCTCTCCAAGATCCTACAATGTCATTAATGTTATGTCCTCTCCAAGATCCTACAATGTCATTAACGTTATGTCCTCTCCAAGATCCTACAATGTCAATAATGTTATGTCCTCTCCAAGATCCTACAATGTCAATAATGTTATGTCCTCTCCAAGATCCTACAATGTCAATGGAGTTTTTTCCAGGCATCTCTTCGGGGGGGGGGGGGGCGAACGAAGTAAGTCTACCGCCCCCCCCCCCCCCGAACGAGATGGAATTTATATAGTAAACATACACTTTTACTTGTGTCCGCCCCCCCCCCACCCCCACCCCCCCCCCCCCCCCCGAAAATATCGAGTGCCCCATCCGGAGAAAAAGTCTGGAAGAAACACTGAATGTCAATAATGTTATGTCCTCTCCAAGATTCTACGATGTCAGTAATTGAATGTCCTCTCCTATACCCATCAGGTCACAACCTACGTGCATGTATGTATGTCTGTGTTGACAGCCTACGTGCATGTATGTCTGTGTTGACAGCCTACGTGCATGTATGTCTGTGTTGACAGCTTACGTGCATGTATGTCTGTGTTGACAGCCTACGTGCATGTTTGTATGTCTGTGTTGACAGTCTGCATGTATGTATTGTCTGTGTTGACAGCCTACGTGCATGCATGTATGTCTGTGTTGACAGCCTACGTGCATGTATGTATTGTCTGTGTTGACAGTCTACGTACATGCATGTATGTATGTCTGTGTTGACAACCTACGTGCATTTATGTCTGTGTTGACAGCCTACGTGCATGTTTGTATGTCTGTGTTGACAGTCTGCATGTATGTATGTATGTCTGTGTTGCCAGCCTACGTGCATGTATGTCTGTGTTGACAACCTACGTGCATGTATGTCTGTGTTGACAACCTACGTACATGCATGTATGTATGTCTGTGTTGACAACCTACGTACATGTATGTCTGTGTTGACAGCCTACGTGCATGTTTGTATGTCTGTGTTGACAGTCTGCATGTATGTATGTATTGTCTGTGTTGACAACCTACGTGCATGTATGTATGTATGTGTTGACAGCCTACGTGTTTGTCCCAGTATTATACAAGCCTTAATCATAAACAAGAGGCTTTATATATGCACCTATATGTCGAACTCATACTGGAAAGTAGACATGTGAACTTGATTTTTAGTATAAGAATTGTTAATTAGAATCCAGACATAAAGCATTATACTTAAAAGTATTGTTATAGATATCAATCATCATCATCATATTTTCCCTTTTAAACCTAACAGCCGCATCGTGATATAGATCTATAGCCTACATTTAAAAAATAGATTTCTTCATTCTTATGACGGTAGACGTTTGTGAATAGCAAGATCACACCCAAGATGGGAAACGAGGGGAACAAAATTGGCTAATAATAGCAGGCTAATAATATGCCTTTTATGTGTGTCTAACATCTGAATAATCATGCATGCAGAACCAACAAAAAATGAGTAGACATAGGTAAACTTACTAGACGTTCTAAATTGAATAGGCTACGAAAAAACGCAGCAATTTCAGTAAATAGACTATATAATAAACAAATCTAGTAGATCTATACGGTTTTACATTTCTGATATTTTAATACAGTATGCTTATATTATTGCACAAATTATTTTAAATACTTTATCGGAGTTACCACGGTAACAAGTTTAACTTGTTCAATACAAGATTAGTGCCTAATGGTGCTCGTCGTAGAACTTGCTGCATACATAGTGCCAAACAGCGTTTCTTCCAGACTTTTTTCTTGGGTGGAAGGGGGCACTTGAGGGGCGGACACTGGTAAAAGTAAAAAAAATTGTATATAAAATACATTTCGTTCGGGGGAGGGGGGAGGCGTTCTTTCTCTCCCCCCCCCCCCCACCCGAAGAGATGCTGGTGCCGAATGGTGCTTGTAGTTTAACTTGCTGATGGCATAGTGTTAATGCTGATTGTAAGGCCAGACACAGTATTTCAAAAACAAATATTTTATCTAGCACGTTTTGGTATGTTTAAATCTATAGTACAGTTTGATCCATGACAAAATATAATAAAAATTGTAATAAACAACAGTTGATAATTTATAATAACAAATTTTTATACATGCACTAAAATAAAAGAAAAGGAAGATAATTTTCTTTAAATATAGGCCTATAATGCAACGCTATTTAAATGGTTATAGCCCCCATCACTGGACTTAAGAACAAGACAAATGGTTATAACTCGGCTCGGCATAAAACGCCCCCCCCCCTCAACAAGGCCTGCGATAAACAAGGACCCGCCAAGAGCTCCTGATAAAAACACTACAAAATACAAAGCTGTTGTTGTTTACTATACTCAGGCTGTTTAGATTAAATGCCTGCTGAATATTATCACTGTTTACTAAGCTCTCAGTTTTCGTCATATATCAATTAGCTCTTATATTAGACCCCCTTTTCATTAAACCATTGCTTTCCCTTAGCTCCCGCCTGTACCAAACTGTTTACCCACATTTAACAATGGCAGTAGACTCAGCTCCCAATACTACATTCTACCTACACCAATCTCCTGTAACACGTTCATGTGCCCAACCCTTCGTCACAGAGTCACCCTGGCACTAGGCCTATTCATTTAGGCATTTCTGACATCTCTCAGGGCTAGAAAAATATTTTATTAGAAAATAGGGAGCCTACATAGCAGTGGCGTAGCGAGGTCGGGTGTCACCCGGTGCGGCTCCTAATGGTGTCACCCCCCCCCCGTAAGAACAAAATGTATATATCTCGATATATATATATATATATATATATATATATATATATATATATATATATATATATATATATATATATATATATATATATATATATATATATATATATATATATATATATATATATATATTTATATATATGCTCCATATATATATATATATATATATATATATATATATACGAGAAAAATGGCCCGTTGAGGAAGGATACAACGGGCGCTAGGTTGATAGTGCTCAGTGTTTCTTCCAGACTTTTTTCTCCGGGGGGGGGGGGGGCACTTGAAATTTTCGGGGGGCGGTAGACTTTCTTCGGGGGGGGGGGGGCGGACACTGTTAAAAGTATATATTTTCTATATAAATTATATAAAATTCATTTCGTTCGGGGGGGGGGGGGGGGGGGCGGTAAAAAGAGATGCCTGAAAGAAACTCTGATAGTGCTGTCTATTTTCTCGGTACTTTAATTTATACAAAATATAGTCATAGGCATATCCCTAAACCATGCACCTAATCTCATTCATGACAAAAGTCGCATTTAGAGCTTCTTTCAGGCAACTCTACTTGGGAGGAGGGGGCTTCGCCCCCCCCCCCCCCCCACACACACACACACACTCCAAAACATGTCTACCGTCCCATTCAACGAAATATAATTATATACTTTTTCCAGTGTCCGCCCCTTCCCAGAAAATTCTACCCCCGCCCCGAAAATTTCAAGTACCCCCACCCCTCTCCGGGGAGGAAAAAGTCTGAAAGAAACACTGGTCGCATTTGTAGATCATACAAACTAAAGGAAGAATCTGGGCGGGGCTTCGCCCCTACCGGAAGAGATGCTTGAAAAAAAAAACTGCATGCTAAACACTTTTTAGATTAGAAAAAGTTCCCCCCTCCGGGGAGGAAAAAGTCTAAAAGAAACACTGGTGTCGCGCTTAGCCACTACCCGGAGAATTGCATGAAACCACTTTTTAGATTAGACGGTAATTTTATTATAGAGTATCGATGAAGAAATTTCTTTTGAGTTGGGGAGGGGGCTTAGACGTTCTTACGCGGGGGTTAGGCTTCGCCCCTACCCGAAGAATTGTATGAATGAAACTCTCCACGCAACCCACTTAGATTAGACAAAATTGCCTTTTTATTCAATGTTTACTCGAGAATCAATGACGTCATATTACTGTGTGCACTCTCCGGCTTGATATTATTTTCTACTACATGCTGAATATGACGTCATATTTCGTTTTCGTTTCACTGTGAAAGTTTTTAAATTGCTTGTGTCAGATAGATACACAGATACACAGATAGATACACAGATAGATACACAGACAGCGAAACAATTATTTTATATATATATATATATATATATATATATATATATATATATATATATATATATATATATATATATATATATATATATAGGCCCCCTATATTATATATATATATATATATATATATATATATATATATATATATATATATATATATATATATATATATATATATATATATATATATATATATTCCATAAACACTTGTAAGTATGTGTATGCGCATCTGGATGTATTTGATTTTTCACCCCCCCCCCCCCACACCCCACACACAGCTTTGGATTAACATAGGTTATTACGATTCTCAACCAACCCGTTTTCCTCAGGCATATATATTGCAACGTTGAGTTGATGTAACTCGCCCCCACCCAGTTACCCCCACGGTGATTGCTTTAAACTGTGCTCAGATAATACTAACGATTTGTATCTATATTTGGTTATAAATTCAGCTGGATGTTGCATGTTTTCTTTATCATTAGCAGGTTATAGTCATGGTGTCACTTCCCCCCCCCCTCCACCTCCACCCGTGTCGGGATTTTGTCCACTATTTAATTCACTCTAATTAATCATTTAATTAAGTGCAATTATCATTTTTCTGTCTATAGTTTGCCTTTTTTTTTGCCTTGGTGTCACCCCCCTAAATGGTGTCACCCGGTGCGGCCCGCACCCCGCCGCCCCCCTCCCCCCTCGCTACACCCCTGCTATTTAGTTCAACCAGTGTTCGCCCCCCCCCCCCCTTCCGCTCCCCCTCCCCCGGAGTAGGATGTCTGAAAGAAATCTTGCTCCCAACCCCTTTGTAATTCTTTAATTTAAATTGTTCTCTTAAGCCTCCCTTCCCCACCTCCGGCAAAAAAAAATGCAGTTAGTGCAGTTAGGTAGATCTATGGTTCTATATGTGTTGCATGCAAAGATGTGAAACAACAGTTAAAAACTTAGATCTAGAGTAAATCTATTTCATTTACCAGATTAGCTCTCCTTAGAAAGAGATACACAATTTTACTGTAGCGTAATGGATGGTCAATGTTATTGTTAAGTTACATAATGAAATTAGATTCTAGATCTAGAATATCTATATTATTTTATCCACAGAAGTAATAGAACTAGATCTAGAATGTAGGTTTCTACTTATAATAATTAGATTTCTATATGTAATGTAATCGTGGTTGATCAGTTAAAATGTTAGTTCGATAAATCTAAGAATCTAAGTGTATTCTAAGGTAGGCTTTTTGATGAGAATTACAGAATGATTTTTTTTATTAAAAATGTATCAATAATAGCTAGAACACTAGTAAACTAAGCTAATTTAGCATATTTTAACTTTCTGTGCAAAGTCATTATTACTGAAAAAAATTCCAAAGTCAGGTCAGCCTGTGGCACCCTCCACTGAACGTGACAGAAGGAAAAAAAAAACTTCACCCGTGACCTTCATTAAAACAGAATTTGCTTTTTTATTTTTTTTATTTTTGGTAAACATGTGCTTAATCTTACCCAATAAGTGATAAAAATTTGAAAATTAATTTTAATTACAGTTGTAAAGTAAGATAAACAGCTTAATAAACACATGCTTTCTTGAGGGGGTGTGGCCCGGGTGTGGCACATCGCAATTATAACTTTATATTTCTGTGTTTTATGACTATATTTGTTTACAATCAGCATGCTATGTTTTTAAAATTGATAAAGGGTAAGTATACCAAGTTACAAAATCTGCAATCTAACTAATAATTCATACTTTCAATTTAAAAAATAATAAAAACGATCATCAACGAAGAAAGCGTAAACATTCTATTTTTAGGTGTGACATAAAAAACAGTCATAAATCTAGCCAAATGATTGGATTCTTACGCGGCACACATTTTCCCGCGCCTCGTTTTCACCAAACAAGAATATAATAAAATGGCATTATTACTTACAGCATGAAAAGCATTGTTGTCAGCCTAATTATATTAAACAATTCTATTTTTATTTGATAGTAAAGATGTTATAAAAATTGGGTCTAATAAAAAAGTTATTGGATAACGCACCTGCTTTAGTTTATTCGACTTGAAACGCAAGCTAAGTAAGCGTGACTTTCTCTCGACGGCCTCGTTAAATACAAATAAAGAAATTAGGTCAAAAGTACATCTGGGAATTCTTAAATAACAGACTGAAATAGAAACGGATAGTTCCGATGTCTAAAATTAACGATGGCCTCGTTATTATTAGTTTTATCCCTCTACCGTTTAGTGAAAGCGAAACTGGTCGCCATTTTTGGTAAGCGCATGAGCCATGAGATGGCTTCAAAACAACAAACCCGGAAGCTGTGAATCGAACGGCCTATCTAAGGTGTTTAGGGTAAAGGAGGGCGTTAAGAGCCGTGTGGTATTAAGCCCCAATCAACACCCCACCCCCACAAAACCCACAATAACACTGCTAATCTACTTCTGAGGTAACAACCACTGCTGTTCTTTGATAACAGAGAAACAGAGGATTCATTTTATGTAATTTATGACCCACTTGGTCCAATAGGGAGAGGATGAGACAGGATTGAATCCCACTGCTCTTTCCCTAAAATTTCTCATCTCCATAAAACCATTTTGTGAACTTTTTTTCCAAATAGACATAACTTGGGAAACTTCACTTTGTAATAAACCAAATAAGTTTTTCAAGCCCATTCTTTGTTCCTATATTAGAGCATTGGTTGTTGTACATTTTAACACTATTTTTATAGCTATGGCTAGAATAGTTTTATTTTGGTGAATTTTTTTTGCACAGTGATTATTGGTGCCAAAACAAAATGGCTGACATTTGTCCCATTTTACCATGCTATAAAGTTTTTATCACTATCAGAGTAAAACTTGACTGATCATTACCATAATGGTTTTATTTGTTAGATAATAACTAAATCTTCATGAATACATTAATTTTGTTCACTAGCTTGCCTGTTGAGAAAAGTTATAACAGATACTGTTATGTGGCTCTTAAAACCCTATGTGCGAGTTTCTCATTTATTAGACCACTGAATATGACACTGGTATACGAATAGTTAACACAAAATGTATTAATTGTTAAACAGACTTGTGTCTAAATGATATAAATACAATTCTAACCTGCTAAAAAGTAAAAATTCAGCCATCTGATGTTAGCAATGTAATTTTTAAATTGGTACTTGTACTTATTACCCCTAAGGGGCAATACAGCCAACTCAGCCCCCACCTGTTTCTAACCAACCATAAAACTTCAAATCTCTTTGTAGGTAACAGGAATAAATGTTCTTAGGTCTCAGCCAATCTGGGGTGGTATGTTATGTAATTTATGACCCTCATGGTCCAGCAGGGAAGTAAACAGACACATTAATACCACTGCTCCCCCCCCCCTTACAATTTCTTACCCCCATGATACCCAGCCCCCACCAGTTTCTGGCCCACCATTAAACTTCATCTCTTTGTAGGTAACATGGATTACAGTTACAGATCTCAGACAATCTGGGGTGGCATGTTATGTAATATATGACCTTCATGGTCTAGCAGGGTGGAGACCAAAGAGGAATGAGTACCACTGCTCTCCCCTCACAATTTCTCACCTCCATGATAGCCAGACCCCACCTGTATCTAACCCACCATAAAACTTCATCTCTTTGTAGGTAACATGGACTAAGTTCTTAGATCTCAGCCAACCAGAGATAGCATATCCTTATGTAATGTATGGCCCTCAGGGTCCAGCAAGGAGAAAAAAGGGAAAACCAGTACCACCGCTCTCCCCTCACAATTTCTCACCCTCATGATACCCAGCCCCCACCTGTATCTAACCCACCATAAAACTTATCTCTTTGTAGGTAGCATGGACTTAGTTCTTAGATCTCAGCCAACCAGAGATAGCATCTCCTTATGTAATTTATGGCCCTCAGGGTCCAGCAAGGAGAACAAAGGGGAAACCAGTACCACTGCTCTCCCCTGTATCTAACCCACCATAAAACTTATCTCTTTGTAGGTAGCATGGACTTAGTTCTTAGATCTCAGCCAACCAGAGATAGCATCTCCTTATGTAATTTATGGCCCTCAGGGTCCAGCAAGGAGAACAAAGGGGAAACCAGTACCACTGCTCTCCCCTCAACATTTCTCACCTCCATGTCATGTTATGTAATGTATAGCACACATGGCTTATCAGGGGAAAGCATTAAGGCAGATTAGTTAGTACCACCCCTTTTTACATACAAGAATGTTAACTCTGGACAGCTACACACTAGTATACTAGCTACACACTAGGCATACTAATGTGCCTACTGTAAACTACTAGACTTTAGGCCCTATGTACACCTGCAATTGTATCAATTGTAGACTGGGCCCATTGGGGCCTAGTGATAGCTAGTATCAGTTAAAGTGTGTGTACACAGCATTAACTATTTTGGGGTTAGAAATTAATTATTTTTATTGTGGAGTTAGTCTAAACTAGGAGATAATACTTATTGCCCCACTGCCCGGCTCCTTTCACCCCAAATGCTGATTTTGGGGGTATGACAATAAATGTTCAATTAAACCCATTTAAAGTATATTTAATAGACTTTGTTATTATTTTTATATTGTGTAAGATATGTTAGAATAATTTTGCCATATTTTCAATACTAAAAAATTCTTAGATTAGTAGAAATCTTTAAAAATGTACAGGTGCTAAAAAGTGTGGCTCTTAACGCCCTCCTTTACCCTAGTTTTTGTTTATTATACTGTGACTACTCAGAAGAAGATTTTTCGGTAATCTATCGTTTTGGGTACGTAAAATCGCCCGCGGCTATTAATGTACGAAAACCTTACCTCATTGTCAAGGCTTTAAAAGAAGTTAATTGTCATATATTTGTGTCAAATATTATAGATAAATGAATAATAAACCTAAATCAATGGCTAAATATATCGATATAGGCCAGAAATTAACTTTAAACAGCAGTGTCTGAGAGCAAGATTTGCTATATAAACAGCAGCCATTTGTAAAATAGAGTGGCTTCCCCCTGAATCTGCACTATAAGCTTATAAAAATAAAACTTAAACAAGATGGCTGCTATAGTAAATGAGCATGGTTGCATCTGTTGGAAACATCGCTAGTCTTCATTTATTACGGAATAGTTTTAATTCAATTGTTTAAAAACGGGTACATAAATGAAACAAGGAAACTTTTTTGTATTTTAAAAAACATAAATCCTCCTCAAAATGTGAAATAATTATTAAAATTTAAGGAGTCACCTGTTTTTCACATTACTAGTCGCGGGCGATTTTACGTACCCAAAACGATAGATTACCGATTTTTCTCCCCAACTTCTCCACTTAGTCGGCAAAAGATAGCTCTGCGCTTGCGCAGTAACCTATGGCTAGGGTTAGGGCTAGAATGAGGGTTAGGGATAGGGTTAGGGTTGGTGTTAGGGTTCTGCGGCTGTAAACACACGCATGCGCAGTACCATCGAAAACAGTGTTTCTTCCAGACTTTTTTTCTCCGGGGGGGAGGGGCACTTGAAATTTTCGGGGGGGGCGGTAGACTTTCTTCGGGGGGGGGGGGGGCGGACACTGTTAAAAGTATATATTTTCTATATAAATTATATAAATTTCATTTCGTTCGGGGGGGCGGTAAAAAATTTTCGGGGGAGGCTTTGACCCCCCCCCCCCCCCCCCCCCCCCCCCCCCCGAAGAGATGCCTGATCGAAAACATCACCGCGAAGGCAAGTCGTAGTTTCTCTCCATTGCGCATGCATATTGCATGCGTATCTTATTCCGGCTAGCATTAATTAATAGCCTTATTAATATTATTTATATAGATCTACCTACAAGTACAAATACACTACAAAGTCACAAAGAAGTGGCATAAGAAAATGATTAAAATCTGGGTAATCTATCGTTTTAGGCACGTAAAATCGCCCGCGGCTAATAATGTGAAAAACAGGTGACTCCTTAAATTTTAATAATGTTTTCACATTTTGAGTTTTGAGGAGGATTTATGTTTTGAAAAATACAAAAATGTCTCCTTGTTTCATTTATGTACCTGTTTTTAAACAATTGAATTAAAATTCAGTATTAAATGAAGACTAGCGATGTTTCTTACAGATGCAACCATGCTCATTTACTGCGCAAGATTCAGGGGAAGCCACTCTAACTTACAGATGGCCGCTTTTTATATAGCAAATCCTGCTCGCAAACACTGCTGTTTAAAGTTAATTTCTTGCCTATATCAGTATATTGATAGATTTAGCCATTGATTTAGGTTTATTATTCATTTATCAATAATATTTGGCACAAATATATCACAATATACTTCTATTAAAGCCTTGGTAATGAGGTAACATTTTTGGACATTACTAGCCGCGGGCGATTTTACGTACCTAAAACGATAGATTACCAAAATCTGCTACTCAAAGTCACAATGAGTAGCCTACTGCTAGCTACACTAAAAAACTACACACTACACTACACTGAGACTACATACGGCTGACAAGGTCACTACACTCTGTGACAGTTTCAGTCTGTATTTATTTACTATTTAGTACTAGATCTAGATCTATTTAGTTGAATTTAGTAGGCCCTATAAACTATTTACTAACGGGCGTATTTTCGCGGTTCGCTGTGCATTATTCTTAATAAATTTACCTTATGTTGCACACGATCAAAAAACAAGTTAATAAAAAGTCTAGTGACAATTTAAGCGCAATTTCCTTAATTAATTTTTTGTGACCGAACAAAAGGATATTTTTGAAAACTTTTTCCGGCAATATTGTTCTAAATTATGGCAGGAATCGATTGGTAAATGTTTCAAGTCGCTAAGTGGTCTGGTTGCCGAGATATGGGCCAAAAACTGCATTTTTTCGAGGTTTTTTGGCTTTTCCGGGAAATCCAGGAAGGAATTCCGAGAATTTTTTTGGCCCACAATCATCCTCGGAACGCTTAACATATTTGCTTTTGGAACTAGTCCTCGATATTGCTTCGTTGAGGAGGAGATACGACTTAAAGCTGCGGACACCCATCCATCCATCCATCCAGAAATAATGAATTAATAATCGCAATTGTCAGTATGGAAATTGCGCTAAAAATAGATATTTTTTTTTGTCTTAGCAATTTAATGTTGACATAGATCTAGATCTAGTTTAAAAGTTTAGGCTAAGTGTTTTATTTCAAAACCTAAGATTCTAGTACTTTTAAAAAGACAGTACTGTATCAGTATTAGGTCAGATGATAGTCCTAGATCCAGATACTAGATTAGATCTAGCTAAATCAAACTGCTCTTTAGAAAATTGTTTTTACAGCTATCTGTATGATAGTAGATCTAAGTCTATATTATTAAGCCTATGTGAACTAAAAATAAATGACCAGAAGTAGATCTGTTTTTCAATTGGTTTGAAGGGGGGGAGGAGTGAAGACACCAAAGATCTTGTGAACTTGAGTTCACTCTATGTCTATGACGTGTATTCTATGGGCCTGTTGAACTCACAGTAACCCATCCGACAGTGGTGGGATTTTTCACCCACGGGATAGTTAACGTAAGCAAGCTATCACGTGAGTGACTATGTTTGGAAATTTTATTTTATTTTAAAAAATCACCTGTCATGTTTTCACTATGAAAAAAATAAAATGTAAAAAGACACTAATACCAGACATGCTAACCCCGGGTTTGAACTCAGAGCTCCAGGTCTATGATCTTCAGCTGCCACACTGTTGACTCAACCACACCCGATGTGTAAGAAAAAGAAAAAGTAAGCATTTTCCATGACAGGAAATAAATACTCATTCATTTTACCGCAGGTCAAAATATATCGTAATTCCAAACATAATATAGCCTATTAATTTATACGTAGTGGATTATTTATTACTGGACCTGAATTTGTATATTAGAGTTTATTAGTTATATATGTATAGGGTATTGAATAATTTTCCCGATACCATATACATAATTTTTAAAAAATACTCGTATTGCTCTGTGATGCGTGTAGTCACTTCGTTGCTGGTAAAGCTCTGCGATACACGTAGCCACTTCGATTTACTAACTGAGACTAACTACTAGATTCTACGAGATCTAGTTACAATATTTTTATTTAGGCTTTAACTTTTATACTGAGATTGAGTTTTAGTCTTAAAGTTGTCGTAAATTAATAATGAAGTGACTACTCGGAAAAAGCTTTTTCGCATGTGCAGTGGCCTTAATAGCTGCACTAGGGTTAAGGCTAGGGCAGGCGTTAGGATCAAGATTAGGGTCAGGGTTAGGGTTCTGCAGTTTGTAAACACACGCATGCGCAGCACCATGGAAAACATCAATAGTTTCTCTCCATTGCGCATGCATATATTTTTCCGGCTAGAATTGGCCAACTAATATACTTTATAAACTAAGACTAGACAGTGAAGTCTTTTTTTTTAGATTCTACTTCTAGACTACTTGTATTCCTTGGATAACTGGGGTTTTTTGGATGGGGGGGGGGGGGGGTCATTACTACACTATCATCTCGGCCAGCTAGGCACATACCATTAAGTGAAATTATATGAAAATCAGTGCCTTGCCATACCCCAACACCTGGGCTGTCGCCAAAATGCATTGATGAAATCCTCTTAAAATATTGCCTTGCTTCTAATACCACACCAACTCAAGGGATGGGAACGCTAGTATTAGTAAATAAAGTATATGTATGGGAAGGTGAGGCTAAAAGTCATGGGCAAGTTGTCACAAGATCTGACACTGTTTTATGTATATGCATATATTTTCTTATGTAAGCCTACATAGTAATACATATATATATATATTATATATAGGCCTATACACATATGAACATGTATATTTTTCTATGGTTGTTGAGCACTTGTAAACTTGCCCTGGTGGCTCCACTTTTCTGCACGATTGTATATGTATCAAAAATGTTTGATAAACAAGAGGAAGTTGATCAATTATTACTTGTTCTCATAACTAGAAATTGTCTGTAATTTACCAAGAAGGAATACGATTTCATCAAACACTTACCAGTTCTTTCATTCTAAATCACCTTAGGACCCACTGAGCTATAAACAGGGATGAACAAAATGAATCAGGTCCTACAGCTGCAACTACTAGGACCAAAAGGTGTTGTTAGTAACATTTATAGGCTCTCATCTACTGCATCCAAATCAGCCTTTCACTACTACGACATTCTTGGCCTCAGACCATCGGCCACACAAAATCAGATAAAGTCAGCGTATTATGAGAAGTCTAAAAAGTACCATCCTGACACTGCACAGTGTGTTCAGGACCACTCTCAGTTCACTGAAATAAATGAGGCATATGAGGTCCTTGGAAACATAAGAAAGAGACGCATGTATGATAGAGGGGTCTATAATCACGGTCATATGAGCAGGTATGTTAATCTGCTTTAGATCACACACTTTCACAGTTAAACTGTTGACATATGAATATTCATATAGTCACAGTTAAACTTTTAACGTACTGATATTCATACACTGTCACAGTTAAACTCTTGACATACTGATATTCATACAGTCACAGTTAAACTCTTGACATACAGATATTCATACAGTCACAGTTAAACTCTTGACATACTGATATTCATACAGTCACAGTTAAACTACTGACATACATATATTCATACACTGTCACAGTTAAACTCTTGACGTACTGATATTAATACACTGTCAAAGTTAAATCTTGACATACTGATATTCATACAGTCACAGTTAAACTCTTGACATACTGATATTCATACACTATCACAGTAATACTCTTGACATACTGATATCCATACACTGTCACAGTTAAACTCTTGACGTACTGATATTCATACACTGTCACAGTTAAACTACTGACATACTGATATTCATACACTGTCACAGTTAAACTCTTGACATACTGATATTCATACACTGTCAAAGTTAAACTACTGACATACTGATATTCATACACTGTCAAAGTTAAACTACTGACATACTGATATTCATACAGTCACATTTAAACTTTTGACATACTGATATTCATACAGTCACAGTTAAACTCCTGACATACTGATATTCATACAGTCACATTTAAACTTTTGACATACTGATATTCATACAGTCACAGTTAAACTCCTGACATACTGATATTCGTACTGTCACAGTTAAACTACTGACATACAGATATTCATACAGTCACAGTTAAACTACTAACATACTGATATTCATACACTGTCACAGTTAAACTACTGACATACTGATATTCATACAGTCACAGTTAAACTACTGACATACTGATATTCATACAGTCACAGTTAAACTACTGACATACTGATATTCATACAGTCACATTTAAACTACTGACATACTGATATTCATACACTGTCACAGTTAAACTCTTGACGTACTGATATTCATACACTGTCACAGTTAAACTCCTGACATACTGATATTCATACACTGTCACAGTTAAACTCTTGACATACAGATATTCATACAGTCACATTTAAACTCTTGACATACTGATATTCATACAGTCACAGTTAAACTACTGACATACATATATTCATACATTGTCACAGTTAAACTCTTGACGTACTGATATTAATACACTGTCAAAGTTAAATCTTGACATACTAATATTCATACAGTCACAGTTAAACTACTGACATACTGATATTCATACAGTCACATTTAAACTACTGACATACTGATATTCATACAGTCACAGTTAAACTCCTGACATACTGATATTCATACACTGTCACAGTTAAACTCTTGACGTACTGATATTCATACACTGTCACAGTTAAACTCTTGACGTACTGATATTCATACACTGTCACAGTTAAACTCTTGACGTACTGATATTCATACACTGTCACAGTTAAACTCTTGACGTACTGATATTCATACACTGTCACAGTTAAACTCTTGACATACAGATATTCATACAGTCAAAGTTAAACTCTTGACGTACTGATATTCATACAGTCACATTTAAACTACTGACATACTGATATTCATACAGTCACAGTTAAACTACTGACGTACTGATATTCATACACTGTCACAGTTAAACTCTTGACATACAGATATTCATACAGTCAAAGTTAAACTCTTGACGTACTGATATTCATACACTGTCACAGTTAAACTCTTGACATACAGATATTCATACAGTCAAAGTTAAACTTGACGTACTGATATTCATACAGTCACAGTTAAACTACTGACGTACTGATATTCATACAGTCACAGTTAAACTACTGACATACTGATATTCATACAGTCAAAGTTAAACTCTTGACGTACTGATATTCATACAGTCACAGTTAAACTGTAAACCCCTACAGAGCCAACTGTTGAAACCATCTATAATGTTTCATAGTTACCTTTTTATTTTATTTATTTAAAAATTGTCCTCTCATAATTTCTTTCATTTATTAACTTTCAACTGATTGTATCTCTATCAAGTTGAACTTGTGTTGTGCAAGCACTAGCAGTTAGCTAGCTGTTATTAATGTACTTTGTATGATCCATGTGTTTTTCAGTGAGAGAAGCTCCCCTGAAACAGAGGAAGATTACACACAAGCTTTTCGTAATGCGTCTCAGCAGCAAAAACATAGGCCCAGACCCCCTACAGGACACACCAAAATCTACAACTTTGATGAATTTTATCGGCAACATTACAACGAAAACCGTGAAAGAAAAGCTGAAGAGTTTAAAGCATACCAGAATTACATGGAGATGAAGTTAAAAGCTGAGCAGGAACAAAATGAATTTCCTGTATCATCACTGATTATTCTGTGCGCAGTGATACTTTGTTCTTTTGTAATCTGGTATAAGGATGATAAAGACATTGTTTATGTAAATAGTAAAAACAAATGACAGTTCTCTGACCTTTAGTGTTATAAAATCTATATTTAATCTCTTCTTATGTACACCAGATAATAATAGACACTAAAGTAGATCTTTATGACAAGCTGATATCAGGACTAACCTTGAACTGATTTTAGTTTGCTATCAAAACCTCATTAATTATCATTAATTATGAGTCCATTGTCTGAAATGACTGGTAACATTTTCAACAAATGGCGTTATAGGCCATCTGCTATCCATAAGACAGTAAGACTGTTAACCAACTATCCACCTTGAACTAATGAATCCAGACACAAGTCTGACAACAGTGAACCACTGCCTGTTGCTGAACTACTCCAACTTATCTTGTGGGGAATCCTGCTTGTTTTCTCTTGGACTTATTTAAGTGCAGATAATTATCTGATAATTATTATATGCAACAAAGACGTATCATTTAATATGTTTTTTTAGATTTGATATAGATGAAAAAAGTATAAGAATGTATATTTGTATGTATAGAAATTTATTAAAAGAATGTACATTTGTGTGAATAGGAATAATTTTGGGCTTTCGTTCGATTCAATAAAAGTTTGTTGAACAATATAAAATGGGCTTATTTTCCCCAGTTTTCTGTACGAGTTCAGTTAAAGGTGTATCACATTTTATTTACTTAATTTTACCAAATGAATTGAGTATGTAAACAGCTGTGAAACATTCATGCACCAAACTGCTGTCCATGATGTTCTTTTCTCTAGTACAGTTAGTCTGTTGCTACATTGAGCAATTTTTTTATTTGTTAATTGTAATCACATTTTCTGAGATTTGTCCCTTCCGCCTGATGGCATATCAGCAACTTCGGTACACATGGATGGATTTAAATTTCAGCTGTTATCTCGCTTTAGGCACTTGATTCATTATATTTAAATTGTGTAGCACTTCTTTCATGTGCTAACTCACTGTTGTCATATTTTTTTTTAAACTGGCATTTCATACAAAGAAAATCTGCTTGAAAACTTTATCCATTAAATGCAACATTGACTGCAGTAAAAGGACAAATCAACTCAGTTGTATATTTAGAAATATCTTCACAAGTGACATAATTTTCATTTCAATCTATGAGGGAGCCTTGAGCGCAGAAAGCTGTGCCATCACCTATATACATATAGATTTGTGTGTGTGTAAACTTGTTGCTGCCTTTCACATAAGCTGTTAGCTTTAGCAACCACTTTCGCATTCTTCAAAGATTTGGGTTTACAAAAACAACCTATTACATCTGTGCAACATTGTTGCAATCATTCCCAGAGAACAAAATCTTTTATTCAATTTCTATATTTCCCCAAGTGTAATTTGTGTAATGTAAAAAAAAAAAAAACTACTTTATTTTTAACACATTTTCAAGGCATATTTGTGGGTTTTTTTTTTATTTTTTCATTTATTTAGATTAATACACCTCCCCCCCCCCTGCCTACATCTCAGAGAGGGGATATTTAGAGGCCTTTTAAATAAAACATGTTGGCTATTCTAGAACTTAAATTATGCTGCAGATATTGATAAGATAGGAATGTATGACATTATATTTTCAATTGAACCTAATATTAATAGAACTTTTATTTTCCAATGACAAGAATCTGCTTATAATATTCGTTGTAAAGGTGAAGTGTTTTGGCAGAAAAACTTTTGTCAACTAGACCACAAGAATAGGCCTTAAGTAAGATGTATGCCATCTTCCTTTCTTGCCCGTGTAGCTGCTAGGCCTGTAGTAAATCCATCATTTGAGGGACACAATACAGACAGAGCTGTCTAAGTAAATAAATTCGTCCTGTTCAATATTAGCTCTTCCTTTTTGCTATTGTTCACCAGTCGGTATCAGTGTAGGTTCAAAAGCTAGAACAATATTTAATCTCTTCCAGCTACCGTTTGCACAGCCCGAGTCTACTTCAGTTTAAATAAATACCAATGCTGTCACCTTAAGAATTGTGTCCCTGCGTCTGATGCAGGCCTTTATGTGGGTTAATTCATTCCATCTAAGGCTCTACACTGCCCGGCTACTCCTTGTAACTTTTATACCCGAGTTATCTTCCTTGCCGACTTGGTTTTTATACCCGAGTTATCTTTCTTGCCGTCGTGCAAGCAGATTTAGAGAAGAGCGCCTGACATGCGACTTGTGTCTGTTCAGCTTTATCCTCCTCACCTGCGGGGTAAATAACAGTAAATATTTATTTTGCGAATTTATTGTGAAAAGCACTTGTATACATAGGCACAATTTTTGTGTTGTAGTTGACAAATGCACTATGATTACATTTAATAACGTTGCTGTTGTATTCATCGAAGTTGTCCTAATTTTCAAATAACATAATGAAACCGTTTACGATTGTGAAGATTGCAAAACGAAAGGTGCTCCTATATATTAAGTGACAACGTAATAATGGTTTTCGTGTTGATGTGACAAAATGATAACTACCCATATTGATGTGACAAAATGATTACACATATTGATGTGACAAAATGAGAACTACCCATATTAATGTGACAAAACGATAACTACCCATATTGATGTGACAAAATGATAACACATATTGATGTGACAAAATGAGAACTACCCATATTAATGTGACAAAACGATAACTACCCATATTGATGTGACAAAATGATTACACATATTGATGTGACAAAATGAGAACTACCCATATTGATGTGACAAAATGAGAACTACCCATATTGATGTGACAAAACGATAACTACCCATATTGATGTAACATATAGTCAGGGGAAGGTAGGCCTCCAGCCGATATTTATCCAGCGCTAGAACGTGCTGGAACCTTCTAGAAGCCTCTCTGTACTGACTCATGTGGAAGAGGAAGTCCCCCTCGTGTGTGAGAACAGTCGTGTTGGTACCAAGTGGGATCCTGGGGGATCAAGGCAACAGTCAGTTAATGTGGTGAGAACAGTGGTGTTGGTACCAAGTGGGATCCTGGGGGATCAAGGCAACAGTCAGTAAATGTGGTGAGAACAGTCGTGTTGGTACCAAGTGGGATCCTAAGGGATCAAGACAACAGTCAGTTAATGTGGTGAGAACAGTCGTGTTGGTACCAAGTGGGATCAAGGCAACAGTCAGTTAATGTGGTGAGAACAGTGGTGTTGGTACCAAGTGGGATCAAGGCAACAGTCAGTTAATGTGGTGAGAACAGTCGTGTTGGTACCAAGTGGGATCCTGTGGGATCAAGGCAACAGTCAGTTAATGTGGTGAGAACAGTCGTGTTGGTACCAAGTGGGATCAAGGCAACAGTCAGTTAATGTGGTGAGAACAGTCGTGTTGGTACCAAGTGGGATCAAGGCAACAGTCAGTTAATGTGGTGAGAACAGTCGTGTTGGTACCAAGTGGGATCAAGGCAACAGTCAGTTAATGTGGTGAGAACAGTCGTGTTGGTACCAAGTGGGATCAAGGCAACAGTCAGTTAATGTGGTGAGAACAGTAGTGTTGGTATAAAGTGGGATCCTGGGGGATCAAGGCAACAGTCAGTTAATGTGGTGAGAACAGTCGTGTTGGTACCAAGTGGGATCCTGGGGGATCAAGGCAGCAGTCAGTTAATGTGGTGAGAACAGTCGTGTTGGTACCAAGTGGGATCAAGGCAACAGTCAGTTAATGTGGTGAGAACAGTCGTGTTGGTACCAAGTGGGATCCTAAGGGATCAAGACAACAGTCAGTTAATGTGGTGAGAACAGTCGTGTTGGTACCAAGTGGGATCAAGGCAACAGTCAGTTAATGTGGTGAGAACAGTCGTGTTGGTACCAAGTGGGATCCTGGGGGATCAAGGCAACAGTCGTGTTGGTACCAAGTGGGATCCTGGGGGATCAAGGCAACAGTCAGTTAATGTGGTGAGAACAGTCGTGTTGGTACCAAGTGGGATCAAGGCAACAGTCAGTTAATGTGGTGAGAACAGTCGTGTTGGTACCAAGTGGGATCCTGGGGGATCAAGGCAACAGTCAGTTAATGTGGTGAGAACAGTCGTGTTGGTACCAAGTGGGATCCTGGGGGATCAAGGCAACAGTCAGTTAATGTGGTGAGAACAGTCGTGTTGGTACCAAGTGGGATCCTGGGGGATCAAGGCAACAGTCAGTTAATGTGGTGAGAACAGTGGTGTTGGTACCGAGTGGGATCCTAGGGGATCAAGACAACAGTCAGTTAATGTGGTGAGAACAGTCGTGTTGGTACCAATTGGGATCAAGACAACAGTCAGTTAATGTGGTGAGAACAGTCGTGTTGGTACCAAGTGGGATCAAGGCAACAGTCAGTTAATGTGGTGAGGACAGTCGTGTTGGTACCAAGTGGGATCCTGGGGGATCAAGGCAACAGTCAGTTAATGTGGTGAGAACAGTGGTGTTGGTACCAAGTGGGATCCTGGGGGATCAAGGCAGCAGTCGTGTTGGTACCAAGTGGGATCCTGGGGGATCAAGGCAACAGTCAGTTAATGTGGTGAGAACAGTCGTGTTGGTACCAAGTGGGATCCTGGGGGATCAAGGCAGCAGTCGTGTTGGTACCAAGTGGGATCCTGGGGGATCAAGGCAACAGTCAGTTAATGTGGTGAGAACAGTCGTGTTGGTACCAAGTGGGATCAAGACAACAGTCAGTTAATGTGGTGAGAACAGTCGTGTTGGTACCTAGTGGGATCCTGGGGGATCAAGGCAGCAGTCGTGTTGGTACCAAGTGGGATCCTGGGGGATCAAGGCAACAGTCAGTTAATGTGGTGAGAACAGTCGTGTTGGTACCAAGTGGGATCAAGGCAACAGTCAGTTAATGTGGTGAGAACAGTCGTGTTGGTACCAAGTGGGATCAAGGCAACAGTCAGTTAATGTGGTGAGAACAGTCGTGTTGGTACCAAGTGGGATCCTGGGGGATCAAGGCAACAGTCAGTTAATGTGGTGAGAACAGTCGTGTTGGTACCAAGTGGGATCAAGGCAACAGTCGTGTTGGTACCAAGTGGGATCAAGGCAACAGTCAGTTAATGTGGTGAGAACAGTCGTGTTGGTACCAAGTGGGATCAAGACAACAGTCAGTTAATGTGGTAAGAACAGTCGTGTTGGTACCAAGTGGGATCCTGGGGGATCAAGGCAACAGTCAGTTAATGTGGTGAGAACAGTCGTGTTGGTACCGAGTGGGATCCTGGGGGATCAAGGCAACAGTCAGTTAATGTGGTGAGAACAGTCGTGTTGCTACCAAGTGGGATCCTGGGGGATCAAGGCAACAGTCAGTTAATGTGGTGAGAACAGTCGTGTTGGTACCGAGTGGGATCCTGGGGGATCAAGGCAACAGTCAGTTAATGTGGTGAGAACAGTCGTGTTGGTACCAAGTGGGATCCTGGGGGATCAAGGCAACAGTCAGTTAATGTGGTGAGAACAGTGGTGTTGGTACCAAGTGGGATCCAGGGGGATCAAGGCAACAGTCAGTTAATGTGGTGAGAACAGTCGTGTTGGTACCAAGTGGGATCAAGGCAACAGTCAGTTAATGTGGTGAGAACAGTCGTGTTGGTACCAAGTGGGATCCTGGGGGATCAAGGCAGCAGTCGTGTTGGTACCAAGAGGGATCCTGGGGGATCAAGGCAACAGTCAGTTAATGTGGTGAGAACAGTCGTGTTGGTACCAAGTGGGATCCTGGGGGATCAAGGCAGCAGTCGTGTTGGTACCAAGTGGGATCCTGGGGGATCAAGGCAACAGTCAGTTAATGTGGTGAGAACAGTCGTGTTGGTACCAAGTGGGATCAAGGCAACAGTCAGTTAATGTGGTGAGAACAGTCGTGTTGGTACCAAGTGGGATCCTAAGGGATCAAGACAACAGTCAGTTAATGTGGTGAGAACAGTCGTGTTGGTACCAAGTGGGATCAAGGCAACAGTCAGTTAATGTGGTGAGAACAGTCGTGTTGGTACCAAGTGGGATCCTGGGGGATCAAGGCAACAGTCGTGTTGGTACCAAGTGGGATCCTGGGGGATCAAGGCAACAGTCAGTTAATGTGGTGAGAACAGTCGTGTTGGTACCAAGTGGGATCAAGGCAACAGTCAGTTAATGTGGTGAGAACAGTCGTGTTGGTACCAAGTGGGATCCTGGGGGATCAAGGCAACAGTCAGTTAATGTGGTGAGAACAGTCGTGTTGGTACCAAGTGGGATCCTGGGGGATCAAGGCAACAGTCAGTTAATGTGGTGAGAACAGTCGTGTTGGTACCAAGTGGGATCCTGGGGGATCAAGGCAACAGTCAGTTAATGTGGTGAGAACAGTGGTGTTGGTACCGAGTGGGATCCTAGGGGATCAAGACAACAGTCAGTTAATGTGGTGAGAACAGTCGTGTTGGTACCAATTGGGATCAAGACAACAGTCAGTTAATGTGGTGAGAACAGTCGTGTTGGTACCAAGTGGGATCAAGGCAACAGTCAGTTAATGTGGTGAGAACAGTCGTGTTGGTACCAAGTGGGATCCTGGGGGATCAAGGCAACAGTCAGTTAATGTGGTGAGAACAGTCGTGTTGGTACCAAGTGGGATCAAGGCAACAGTCAGTTAATGTGGTGAGAACAGTCGTGTTGGTACCAAGTGGGATCCTGGGGGATCAAGGCAACAGTCAGTTAATGTGGTGAGAACAGTCGTGTTGGTACCAAGTGGGATCCTGGGGGATCAAGGCAAAAGTCAGTTAATGTGGTGAGAACAGTCGTGTTGGTACCAAGTGGGATCCTGGGGGATCAAGGCAACAGTCAGTTAATGTGGTGAGAACAGTGGTGTTGGTACCGAGTGGGATCCTAGGGGATCAAGGCAACAGTCAGTTAATGTGGTGAGAACAGTCGTGTTGGTACCAAGTGGGATCCTGGGGGATCAAGGCAACAGTCAGTTAATGTGGTGAGAACAGTCGTGTTGGTACCAAGTGGGATCCTGGGGGATCAAGGCAACAGTCAGTTAATGTGGTGAGAACAGTCGTGTTGGTACCAAGTGGGATCCTGGGGGATCAAGGCAACAGTCAGTTAATGTGGTGAGAACAGTCGTGTTGGTACCGAGTGGGATCCTAGGGGATCAAGGCAACAGTCAGTTAATGTGGTGAGAACAGTCGTGTTGGTACCAAGTGGGATCAAGGCAACAGTCAGTTAATGTGGTGAGAACAGTCGTGTTGGTACCAAGTGGGATCAAGGCAACAGTCAGTTAATGTGGTGAGAACAGTAGTGTTGGTATAAAGTGGGACCCTGGGGGATCAAGGCAACAGTCAGTTAATGTGGTGAGAACAGTCGTGTTGGTTCCAAGTGGGATCCTGGGGGATCAAGGCAACAGTCAGTTAATGTGGTGAGAACAGTCGTGTTGGTACCAAGTGGGATCAAGGCAACAGTCAGTTAATGTGGTGAGAACAGTCGTGTTGGTACCAAGTGGGATCAAGGCAACAGTCAGTTAATGTGGTGAGAACAGTCGTGTTGGTACCAAGTGGGATCCTGGGGGATCAAGGCAACAGTCAGTTAATGTGGTGAGAACAGTCGTGTTGGTACCAAGTGGGATCAAGGCAACAGTCAGTTAATGTGGTGAGGACAGTCGTGTTGGTACCAAGTGGGATCCTGGGGGATCAAGGCAACAGTCAGTTAATGTGGTGAGAACAGTGGTGTTGGTACCAAGTGGGATCCTGGGGGATCAAGGCAGCAGTCGTGTTGGTACCAAGTGGGATCCTGGGGGATCAAGGCAACAGTCAGTTAATGTGGTGAGAACAGTCGTGTTGGTACCAAGTGGGATCCTGGGGGATCAAGGCAGCAGTCGTGTTGGTACCAAGTGGGATCCTGGGGGATCAAGGCAACAGTCAGTTAATGTGGTGAGAACAGTCGTGTTGGTACCAAGTGGGATCAAGACAACAGTCAGTTAATGTGGTGAGAACAGTCGTGTTGGTACCTAGTG